TATATATATATATATATATATATGTCGTACCTAGTAGCCAGAACTCACTTCTCAGCCTACTATGCAAGGCCCGATTTGCCTAATAAGCCTAGTTTTCATGAATTAATGTTTTTTCGACTACCTAACCTACCTAACCTAACCTAACCTAACGTTTTCGGCTACCTAACCTAACCTAACCTATAAAGATAGGTTAGGTTAGGTTAGATAGGGTTGGTTAGGTTCGGTCATATATCTACGTTAATTTTAACTCCAATAAAAAAAAATTGACCTCAAACATAATGAAATGGGTAGCTTTATCATTTCATAAGAAAAAGAATTGAGAAAATATATTAATTTAGTAAAACTTGGCTTATTAGGCAAATCGGGCCTTGCATAGTAGGCTGAGAAGTGAGTTCTGGCTACTAGGTACGACATATATATATATATATATATATATATATATATATGTCGTACCTAGTAGCCAGAACGCACTTCTCAGCCTACTATTCAAGGCCAGATTTGCCTAATAAGCCAAGTTTTCCTGAATTAATCTATTTTCTCTAATTTTTTTCTTATGGAATGATAAAGCTACCCATTTCATTATGTATGAGGTCCATTTTTTTTATTGGAGTTAAAATTAACGTAGATATATGACCGAACCTAACCAACCCTACCTAACCTAACCTAACCTATCTTTAGAGGCTAGGTTAGGTTAGGTAGCCGAAAAAGTTAGGTTAGGTTAGGTTAGGTAGGTTAGGTAGTCGAAAAAACATTATTTCATGAAAACTTGGCTTATTAGGCAAATCAGGCCTTGCATAGTAGGCTGAGAAGTGCGTTCTGGTTACTAGGTACGACATATATATATATATATATATATATATATATATATATATATATATATATATATATATATATATATATATATATATATGTCGTACCTAATAGCCAGAACGCACTTTTCAGCCTACTATTCAAGGCCCGATTTGCCTAATAAGCCAAGTTTTCATGAATTAATGTTTTTTCGTCTACCTAACCTACCTAACCTAACCTAACCTAGCTTTTTTGGCTACCTAACCTAACCTTACCTATAAATATAGGTTAGGTTAGGTTAGGTAGGGTTGGTTAGGTTCGGTCATATATCTACGTTAATTTTAACTCCAATAAAAAAAAATTGACCTCATACATAGAGAAAAGGGTTGCTTTATCATTTCATAAGAAAAAAATTATAGTAAATATATTAATTCAGGAAAACTTGGCTTCTTAGGCAAATCGGGCCTTGAATAGTAGGCTGAGAAGTGAGTTCTGGCTACTAGGTACGACATATATATATATATATATATATATATATATATATATATATATATATATATCTACAAAGATTACAACATGATTATACAAAGACGTAAATGAAGCCAATCGTCAAATTATAGGGTGGATCAAATTACAATTTACCTTCAACATTTTAGCTTTAACGGAAAATAGTTTAATCTGGTCTTTTGAGTGCAGGGTTAAAGAGCAAAGAGAGTATTACCTGAAGATTGTCCCTGTTCACCGTGCGGACTAACTTAACACGTAACCTGCCGTCTGGCGCACCCACACTGATGCTCACCGTCCAATCTTCACACTCATCTAACTAGTTTCAGTTCCTTGTGATATAAGTGTACCGACTACCGTATTTGCCGGCGGATATCACCGAGACTTTGTGGAATAATTTCAGTATATTTCCTCATACATATAATGACCGAGATTTTCAGGAGGTTTTGAAGGAAAAAAAATAGAAACGTATCCGCTGGCATATTCGGTAATTAATGTGTGTGTGTGTGTGTACTCACCTAGTTGTACTCACCTAGTTGTGCTTGCAGGGGTTGAGCCTTAGCTCTTTGGTCTGGCCTCTCAACTGTCAATCAACTTGAGCCTGTGTGTGCGCGCGTGGGTGTGTGCGTGGGTGTGAGTGTGCATGTGTGTACTTGCGCACTCATGTTTGTGTGTGTGTGTGTGTGTGTGTGTGTGTGTGTGTGTGTGTGTGTGTGTGTGTGTGTGTGTGTGTGTGTGTGTGTGTGTGTGTGTGTGTGTGTGTGTGTGCGCGTGTGTGAGTAAAATATGTGTGCGCGTGTGTGAGTGCAATTCCTAATCGTAGTTAGTGGATGAGAGCTACGCTCGTGGTGTGTTTCTGTGCGTGTGTGCGCTTGCGTGCATGCCTGTGTGTGGGTGCGTGCATGCATGTGTGAGTGCGTGCAAGCATGTGTGTGTGTGCATGCGTGTGTGTGCACATGTGTTTGTGTGTATGTGCGTGAATGTACGTGCGCGTGTGTGCGTGTAAATTTATTTATAAATAAATAAATAAATAAATAAATATATATATATATATATATATATATATATATATATATATATATATATATATATATATATATATATATATATATATATATATATATATATATTTATATATATATATTTATATATATATTTATATATATATATATATATATATATATATATATATATATATATATATATATATATATATATATATATATATTTATATATATAAAGTGAGTGGTGTTGCTTAAGACTGGTAGTTTGTGTTTGTCCTGGTCACGAATCGCCTGCTGCTGTGAAAGCAGGCGTAAGAAATGCTTGCATGAGCTGTCTACGTGTTGAGTAACATTGTTTGTCTCGTCACCAGCATCTCCAGGCAGTAGGTAATGCTACAACTAGAATTTCCTTATAAATCAACTCTAATTCTTAATCAAACGGTTCTCAATTATCCAATATAAAAGAATGTTCTCATATTTTCAATATAAATCAATAAATAGTATGTCAGAGTTAACGTTCAGGCTTCACAAGGCTAGGAATATGTTATGGGTTGAATACAAATATCTAGAACAATAAAAATATTGTAATATATGTTACTCTTCATGCGAGAGACTGACACAAACTATAGCGAGAATAATGATGAACACAGAACAGTCCTAAAATGGTCACAGATCATAAAGGGAATATTAACGGAACAGCGACTAGAGAGGGACATCTTGGCACTGTGACACCATCAAGGGTAAGAGAAGTGTTAACCTCAGCAGGTTCACTGCCCATGATCACCATATATGAGATAAAGGACTTCTGTCCTTATTGTTCACCTCATAAATGATTCCCAACAGGCAACCAATCACTCCACATATGAACAGAGAAGCATACAAACCACTGCAATATGTAAGTATTCATTGAGTAAACAATAATCTACAGCTTTGATTTACACTTCACTACAACATTACATCTTACATATTGCAGTATGGACGACAGAGCAGCGTATATCACACTATGAAACACATTTGTTCTCATGGACCATGTACTGGACCACACGTTGAAACAGATCAGACCCAAGACCAGAGGAAACATGACGGACCGGACGGTGACACTCACTCTTTGCATCAGTAAGGGACACAGGACACACTCTGGACCAGAGGGGGACATAGATAACACTCTGGACCAGAGGGGCACATAGATAACACTCTGGACCAGAGGGGGACATAGATAACACTCTGGACCAGAGGGGCACATAGATAACACTCTGGACCAGAGGGGGACATAGATAACACTCTGGACCAGAGGGGCACATAGATAACACTCTGGACCAGAGGGGGACATAGATAACACTCTGGACCAGAGGGGGACATAGATAACACTCTGGACCAGAGGAGGACGTAGATAACACTCTGGACCAGAGGGGGAGATAGATAACACTCTGGACCAGAGGGGGACATAGATAACACTCTGGACCAGAGGGGGACATAGATAACACTCTGGACCAGAGGGGGACATTGATAACACTCTGGACCAGAGGGGGACATAGATAACACTCTGGATCAAAGGGGGACATAGATAACACTCTGGACCAGAGGGGGACATGGATAACACACTGGATCAGAGAGGAGACATTGGTAACACTCTGCATCAGAGGGGAACATAGATAACACTGCATCAGAGGAGGGGGACATGGATAACACACTGGAACAGAGGGGGGAGAACATGTAAAATACTGGACCGGATTGGGGCTCATATCACACTCTGTACAAGGAGACAATATTATATTTCGACTACAAAAGGGCACTTAAGACTAGAAGGGGCTACATGTCACACTCTGTACCATGCAGATTGAAATGCATGCCATACATTGACCAAAGGGTAACACATGTCATAATTTCGACCACAAGGGGACTCAGGTCACACTTTTGAACTACAAGGGGGACACATGTAACTATAAGGGACTAGAAGGGGACACGCTTGGGCACACATTTTGAATCAAAGAGCAACGTTTGTCACACTTTGGATCAAATGAGACACACATGTCACTCTTGGGATCAGACGGACACATGAAGCACTTTGCCGAAGAGGGAGACACATCAGATTATGGACCAGGTGTGGAGATATGTTACTTATTGGATCACATACAATCCACAATTGAAACCAAATGACATATGTTACACTTTAGGTCTGAGGCCACAAGTGACATTTTGGACCAATGGGGGACAAATGTCACACTTTGGATTAGTGAGGGGTCACATTTCACATGTCACATTTTGGACTAATGTGGAGTGAGCGATGTCACTCTTTGGGTCAGTGGGGGAGACGTGTTTTACTTTGGACCAATGCGGGATACATGTCACACTTTGGACCAAAGGGGAGCTTCATGCATTAATTTGAACCAGAGAGATACAGATCTCACTTTTGGACCAAAGGGGGATAAATGTCAAAATTTTAACTAGAAAGTCAAACATCTAATTAGAATCAGATAAGGATGGTCACACTTTGGCCAACGAAAGGGTACATGTCACACATTCGACCGTAAAGAGACAATTCTCACACTTTGGACAAGAGGATGACACCCATAACACATAGGTCTAATTATGTGTTTAGGTCTCACATAGCTCCAAATATGTGTTTAAGGTCTCACATAGAGCCAGATATGATAATAGCAATCTTGTCTTCCTTGTGTGACTGGGTGGTGGTGGTGGGTTCAGGCCACAAAGATCATGGAAGGCCTTCTGCCGGAGGAGCAAGTTCAGCTACACCTCGGCAGGCGCGAGCCCGACCCTGATACTGAAGAACTCCAGGAGGTAAGGTCTTAGTTCTGACTTTTATATCTTATAAAGCTCTTGTAACCACTTGATAACGTGCATCACAAAATTAAAGCTACCATATTTTTGTCTTTGCTGTTGCCTTTGGTACAGTTAGCATCCTAAATTAATTTTTATGCTCAACACATCACTAATATCTTTTTAATGGGCACTTACTTCTGCCTTTGTGAAATGTCTTTGGGTTAATAATATCCGAATTATTACTTTCTCGACAAAGTATATTATGATTACTATTACCTGCTCTATCACTGAAGTCTCTATAAGCTAATTAATGATCATCATCCTCCGTGTTCTCGTATTTCTTGCTTATTGCTTGCTACTTCATTTAAAAAAAAAATTGTAATTCCTGATTACAGAAACTTATTACAGAAATATTCATATATTAAGCAATAAGCACTGCACGTTATACTGTAAAAATCTAATAAGATTTAATAAGCTTATTATTCAACAAAAAAAGATCTAGGATATCGTTATGAATTCTACTACATGGTGCACCCATGAAATTTATTGGACCTTTCCCTAAACAGTTGTCCAATAAAACAAGATTGGTTAATATGCGAAGAAAATATTGAACCAGTGTAGTCGCTAAAGAAAAGTTTGCATACGTTGGCAAGTAGGTGATGCTTGAATGATTTTTTTAAATATCATGAATAATTCACCACTGGAATATGTCCGTGTGACAGGCGAATAACGGAAAGATAGGTGATAAAATAGTTGGTATTTGCAATAATTCAAACTTGCATTATAACATGAAGGCTTGGTGCAGTGTCCTAATATCATGTTTTAACGGGCTATTAACTGGCATAAAAGTTGACAACATTGATATGATCAAATTAATAACAATTTGTACTCAAAATATTGCTAGATAACACAGGAAATTTAAGGAGATTTAAAAGAAATTTAAAAACAGGAAAAAAAATCCACTGGAGATGATAATATCCAGAGTGAAGATATCTTATACTGGCACACCTTAGTCTCAAGTAGTACAAACCCACTGCAATATCTCACATTAGAAAGCTCTTGCTATACCCCGTGACTTGACTCGTTGCAGACGCAACAAGCACCCATCCAAGAGCATATACATCGTTTGTTTGTCTTCTCTATGATGTGGAGTGTGGGTGCGCTCCTCGAGCTGCCAGACCGAGCCAAGCTAGAAGATCATCTACGGACCGAGTATCCGCACCTAGACCTTCCCCCTCGCGGACACAGCCCCGCTGACTCCATCTTTGACTACCGTGTTGATGAGAACGGTGAGTACACCGTATTATAATGGTTCCTGCAGCTTAGTTATATAGTCAGCTCTAAGTTACTGAAATTACTTTAATAATCACTGCAGTTTATTCGGTCAATGTAACCTACGCTAACTTTGAGTGCAATCAGTGGAGTATAATTTATCCTCCTCCACGCATATATATAAGAAACACTGAAACAAAGGTTGAAGGTTACAAGAAGAAAATTTACGTCAGGACCGGAGATACTGCAGTTATTGCTATATAGTACAGCCTCCGGCTACAAAGACAAACTGCCTCAGTGACCAGGCAATCATCTGGGAAGCATAGTCCCAGGCCAGTCAGCGAGCGCAAACACTCTGTCAAAACCATAAGCAGTTACCCTACAGGAAGCAATAACAGAACACAGTGATACTATACATAGTAATAGAGTATCCTGAGGTGGAGAAAATGTCCACACTACAACAATAATTTTGATTATATTACATATAATAACTTACTTCCAAGTTTTACACTTAATGAACGTCATTGTTGTTTTGAAAAGAAAACGACAAAACCGGAGTACATGATGTGATAAACAATTATCCTCAGGTTGATGGACACACCTTACTTTCCTGTTTTATATAATAACAACACAGGAAAATATGTTTTGGTCAGGATGGTGGCAGCACTGGGAGACGCGGGTGACGGAGTTCGTGTACCCCGACACTGGCTGCCCAGACTACACCTCCTTCCTGGTGCCCAACGTCGACAACGTCAGGATGGACTTCCTCGTCCACATAATAGCGCAGCAGGGAAAGGTCAGTGAATTCGTCGTTATAGTTTTGGGATTGGTGGGACCCCCGGTCACGATGTGGGGTTATGTGGGACCCCCGGTCACGATGTGGGGTTAAGTGGAACCCCCGGTCACGATGAGGAATGTGGTAGAACCCTTATCAGAGTGAGGTGTGTAGTGGAACCCTCGTCAAGGTGAGTGGTGTAGTGGAACCCTCGTCAAGGTGAGTGGTGTAGTGGAACCCTCGTTAAGGTGAGTGGTGTAGTGGAACCCTCGTCAAGGTGAGTGGTGTAGTGGAACCCTCGTCAAGGTGAGTGGTGTAGTGGAACCCTCGTCAAGGTGAGTGGTGTAGTGGAACCCTCGTTAAGGTGAGTGGTGTAGTGGAACCCTCGTCAAGGTGAGTGGTGTAGTGGAACCCTCGTCAAGGTGAGTAGTGTAGTGGAACCCTCGTCAAGGTGAGTGGTGTATGCCACTCAATATGCCTCAGGCACCAACTGGTAAGCCACCTCACCACCTTCTTGACAGCATCATAGTCACTCGAGTCACTTACTGAAAGTGTGGAATACATTGTTTGGGCTTTCCAAGTAAGCACAGATTGAATCATGATAACCCAATTGTTCCTTATCCAATCCAGAAACAGCTACTTTCTCGAAGGCAGCAAAGAACTTGGAGACCTTGCTGCATGATATGTACCCGAGGATCAGGTTCCTATCCATGACGTCCTATTACCTAATTTTGTCATGGGAACGGTCGAACAGAATGTCCTTGTTGACATGTGATTAAAGGCAAGTGTATACTGCAGATATGTGGACGACATATTACTGCAGGTACCTGCTATTTAGCACTTGCTATAGCTTAAGGATGCATTCGAACAAAGTTCAGTGCTAAGGTTCACTTACGAGATTGAGAGTGGAGGTAGACTACCATTCCTAGATGTAATAGTCCCAGAAAGAAATGGTGGCTTAACACTGCACTCAACGCTAAAGGAACTAACATGGGAATGTGCCATAATGTTTAAAGTGAGTGCCCTGATAGGTACAAGCGGAGTGTTGTCAATTACTGTCACCAGCGCCCTCACACACAGCTCCAGTTGCCAGGAGGTTGACGAGGAACTCGGTACAGTAAGGCAGGTCCTGATCAACAGTCTAATGGATTTGTCGAGGAAATTATCACAAGGAAAGTTAGCCGCCAGATGACTTCATATACAACAGACAACATCGGTTCCTACTATTAAAATATTCTTCAGAATCTACTACTCCACGGCTGACTAAATGGAAGAGAGGGTCCTGATTAGCATCATTGATAGAAATGTGACCTGTGCTGACACCAACCAGATGATGTAATTAATAATACACTATAAGAGCAAGAAGATAACCAACTTCTTCACGAAGAACTCTCTTTAAACCAACCAAAACCCCATGAAAGAGATGAATGTCTTCTATGCCTTCACATACCCACTTGGGGACTATCAGCCCCAACGCATTCAATATATAGGCAGGATCTCAACATCCCTTTCATGGCGCCTAACAATGCACAAGTAGCAAGGACCTATTAAAGAACATATAGTCTCTATACATAACCAGACCATCACCAGAGATATACTCACAAACAACAAAGTAATCGACAGATACAGCGGCAACAGAAGACTGGACATCGGCGAGGCATTATTTACAAAGGACACCAAAGCCACCTAGCAATAGTCAATTAGCACTAAATTACACTTTACCGACTTCCTGAACACACCGGAACACACCGCATACAACACCAGCCCTCATGTAAACACTAGAGCGATAAGATTCAGTAGAGCTATAAGTGAGGTGGTTCTTCACCTCATCCCAACCACCTCATCACCTCCAGCTCATCCCAATCACCTCATCACCTTCAGCTCCTCCCATTCACCTTCAGCTCATCTCAATCACCTCATCACCTTCAGATCATCCCATTCACCTCATCACCTTCAGATCATCCCATTCACCTCATCACCTTCACCTTATCCTTGGTTACAAATGCATCAAGACAATTTCTAATAATTTTACGGGCTATTCATGCCCGTGCCACCTCTTGGGTGGCTTAATCTTTATCAATCAATCAATCATCTAATCATTCTTACGCTGCCTTTGACGATATTAACAAGGATTAACGAAATGTAAGTCCTAGTGACAGGTCAAATAAAACTGTAAAAATTAGCTTTAGAGAGTTAATTTTTCAACTTCCTTCTAAAGTGAAAAAATGTTTGGAAAATAGAATGATTTCGCGCTAGAATCATTGATTTCACCCTCGCGGTCACATTCAGTAATATATGCCTACAGGAAAGACTGCTTTCCTACCTTGAGGTGCTTCCGGGGCTTAGCGTCCCCGCGGCCCGGTCGTCGACCAGGCCTCCTGGTTGCTGGACTGATCAACCAGGCTGTTGGACGCGGCTGCTCGCAGCCTGACGTATAGTTCCTATAGGCTCATATTATTTCCAGTGACATTTAGTAACACATTTCATGTTATTGCATGTGACCATAAATAATTCTAGTTGAAATCATCTCTCCTGTCATTTATACTTTGTTGTTGCTGACTGATCGAGGGGCGACCCATTTATACTTGTCTGCATTTCTATTGCGCACGAGTTTGATCAGAGTGTAGGTCAGCTTGCAGGCGATGAGTCACAATAACGTGGCTGAAGTATGTTGACCAGACCACACACTAGAAATTGAAGGGATGACGACGTTTCGGTCCGTCCTGGACCATTCTCAAGTCGAAACGTCGTCGTCCCTTCAATTTCTAGTGTGTGGTTAGGTCAGCTTCTTGGGCTTGGAATAAAGCGACAGTTTTAATGTTGCTGCAGGCAGTGCTGCTGATTGGTGAGCCGGGGTCAGCCAAGACGGTCACTATCAACGCCTTCATGAAGAAGTACAACCCGGAGGATCACCTTTGTCGCAATTTCAACTTCTCCTCAGCCTCCACGCCCCTCTACTTCCAGGTAGGTGCCGGCTCACACCACACTCACAATTTCATTCTGCTAATTACTACATGTGATGTTTACTATAGGAGATAAGACTTGGTAACTTGGGTAATTTTATATAAATATAAAAATAAAAGCTTATCATGTATTAATTAATAGTTACAAGTAGGCAAAAAAATCCTCTGTATTTAGGATGTCTCAATTTTATTATACATCATTAATCATATATATTTAATGATTTTAAAGGGCAGTACAACCTCTTTTTCTTGTATTTATTGAAGGTATATTTCTTATATTACCATTAAAAGTCAATTTTCATTGCAATATTTTGAGCTCCATTTTAGAGAATTTACCAGCTTTACATATTTATTTCTTGTTAATTTTTAAGTCTCCGACGACATAAAAAAACAGCATTTAGTAAAATGAAATGCCTCCTTCTAGCCCGAATGCTGCTACAGACTAGGGGGCTGAACCGAAAAAATATTCGAATTATGTGAAAATTACTTATAAATGTTAAACAAATCTCCAACATATTGCCTCAGCGTCGTGCAAGTTTCATCCCAATATTTCCCGAAAAGGATTTTAGACGATTTTTTTTTAAACAAGAACGTTTTGTTGATAAGATGAACAGCTCCTATTAATTGGAACTGAGGGATTATGCAGTAATAAAGAGATGCAACCACCTGTCTGACGCACAAAGAAGAAGGAATAGTAGTAAGAAGTGTCCATAAAGTGGATATGCAGCTGGTGCCTTTATAACATTGCTGAGTAATACATAATAACACAAATAATAATGAGTGAGTATGGTATTATGCTCTGTTTTGTTATATATCATATAAATACATTGCCCAGTGTTAATCTCAGTTATTTTTATTAATTTCCCCTCCCCCTAAAACAAATTGTGGGGGAGGGGAGATTTTTCTCTCTCCTTTGTTTATTATCTGATTTTGGTCTAACCTCTACATCCTGGAGAGTGCATAATCGTCCCTAACTATGTGAAGATAGGATGAAATTGGTCAACAAATAAATCAGTCACAACTTTCAGGACTTGTACTGAATTTTTCACAGGTTTCAAACTCTGTTTTCTTTCTCTCTTTAGGTTGTTTGATGTTTAGGGATCTATTAGTGCTTTATCACTTATATAAAGTACATTATATTATATACATATATATATATATATATATATATATATATATATATATGTCGTACCTAGTAGCCAGAACGCACTTCTCAGCCTACTATGCAAGGCCCGATTTGCCTAATAAGCCAAGTTTTCCTGAATTAATATATTTTCTAAAAAAAAATTCTTATGAAATGATAAAGCTACCCATTTCATTACGTATGAGGTCAATTTTTATTTATTGGAGTTAAAATTAACGTAGATATATGACCGAACCTAACCAACCCTACCTAACCTAACCTAACCTATCTCTATAGGTTAGGTTAGGTTAGGTAGCCGAAAAAGTTTGGTTAGGTTAGGTTAGGTAGGTTAGGTAGCCGAAAAACAATTAATTCGTGAAAACTTGGCTTATTAGGCAAATCGGGCCTTGCATAGTAGGCTGAGAAGTGAGTTCTGGCTACTAGGTACGACATATATATATATATATATATATATATATATGTCGTACCTAATAGCCAGAACGCACTTCTCAGCCTACTATTCAAGGCCCGATTTGCCTAATAAGCCAAGTTTTCATGAATTAATGTTTTTTCGTCTACCTAACCTACCTAACCTAACCTAACCTAGCTTTTTTTGGCTACCTAACCTAACCTTACCTATAATATAGGTTAGGTTAGGTTAGGTAGGGTTGGTTAGGTTCGGTCATATATCTACGTTAATTTTAACTCCAATAAAAAAAACTGACCTCATACATAGAGAAAAGGGTTGCTTTATCATTTCATAAGAAAAAAATTATAATAAATATATTAATTCAGGAAAACTTGGCTTATTAGGCAAATCGGGCCTTGAATAGTAGGCTGAGAAGTGAGTTCTGGCTACTAGGTACGACATATATATATATATATATATATATATATATATATGTCGTACCTAGTAGCCAGAACTCACTTCTCAGCCTACTATGCAAGGCCCGATTTGCCTAATAAGCCAAGTTTTCATGAATTAATGTATTTTCTCTAATTTTTTTCTTATGAAATGATAAAGCTACCCATTTCATTATGTATGAGGTCAATTTTTTTTTATTGGAGTTAAAATTTACATAGATATATGACCGAACCTAACCAAACCTACCTAACCTAACCTAACCTATCTTTATAGGTTAGGTTAGGTTACGTAGCCGAAAATGTTAGGTTAGGATAGGCTAGGTAGGTTAGGTAGTCGAAAAAACATTAATTCATGAAAACTTGGCTTATTAGGCAAATCGGGCCTTGCATTGTAGGCTGAGAAGTGCGTTCTGGCTACTAGGTACGACATATATATATATATATATATATATATATATATATATGTCGTACCTAATAGCCAGAACGCACTTCTCAGCCTACTATTCAAGGCCCGATTTGCCTAATAAGCCAAGTTTTCATGAATTAATGTTTTTTCGTCTACCTAACCTACCTAACCTAACCTAACCTAGCTTTTTTTGGCTACCTAACCTAACCTTACCTATAAATATAGGTTAGGTTAGGTTAGGTAGGGTTGGTTAGGTTCGGTCATATATCTACGTTAATTTTAACTCCAATAAAAAAAAATTGACCTCATACATAGAGAAAAGGGTTGCTTTATCATTTCATAAGAAAAAAATTATAGTAAATATATTAATTCAGGAAAACTTGGCTTATTAGGCAAATCGGGCCTTGAATAGTAGGCTGAGAAGTGAGTTCTGGCTACTAGGTACGACATATATATATATATATATATATATATATATATATATATGTCGTACCTAGTAGCCAGAACTCACTTCTCAGCCTACTATTCAAGGCCCGATTTGCCTAATAAGCCAAGTTTTCCTGAATTAATATATTTATTATAATTTTTTTCTTATGAAATGATAAAGCAACCCTTTTCTCTATGTATGAGGTCAGTTTTTTTTTTATTGGAGTTAAAATTAACGTAGATATATGACCGAACCTAACCAACCCTACCTAACCTAACCTAACCTATATTTATAGGTAAGGTTAGGTTAGGTAGCCAAAAAAAGCTAGGTTAGGTTAGGTTAGGTAGGTTAGGTAGACGAAAAAACATTAATTCATGAAAACTTGGCTTATTAGGCAAATCGGGCCTTGAATAGTAGGCTGAGAAGTGCGTTCTGGCTATTAGGTACGACATATATATATATATATATATATATATATATGTCGTACCTAGTAGCCAGAACTCACTTCTCAGCCTACTATTCAAGGCCCGATTTGCCTAATAAGCCAAGTTTTCCTGAATTAATATATTTACTATATTTTTTTCTTATGAAATGATAAAGCAACCCTTTTCTCTATGTATGAGGTAAATTTTTTTTTATTGGAGTTAAAATTAACGTAGATATATGACCGAACCTAACCAACCCTACCTAACCTAACCTAACCTATATTTATAGGTAAGGTTAGGTTAGGTAGCCAAAAAAAGCTAGGTTAGGTTAGGTTAGGTAGGTTAGGTAGACGAAAAAACATTAATTCATGAAAACTTGGCTTATTAGGCAAATCGGGCCTTGAATAGTAGGCTGAGAAGTGCGTTCTGGCTATTAGGTACGACATATATATATATATATATATATATATATATATATATATATATATATATATATATATATATATATATATATATCTATATATATATATATATATATATATATATATATATAATATATATATGTGTATATGTATATATATATGTGTATATGTATATATATATATATATATATATATATATATATATATATATATATATATATATATATATATATATATATATACATATGTCGTACCTAGTAGCCAGAACGCACTTCTCAGCCTACTATGCAAGGCCCGATGGCTCAGAGGTATGCCACCAGACTAGTGCTCGAACTAAGGGGCATGAGCTATAAGGAGGGACTACGGGAATTAAACCTCATGTCGCTAGAAGACAAGAGAGTTAGGGGAACATGATCACCACATATTAGATTCTCAAAGGAATTGATAGGGTAGACAAAGACAGTTTATTTAACAAATTGCGTTTATTTATTCCATAGCACAAATACTAGGGGGACAAAGATGGAACTTAAGTGCCCAAATAAACCATAAAGACATTAGAAAGAATTTTTTAGTGTTAGAGGAGTTAATAAATGGAATGCATTAGGAAGTGATGTGGCGGAGGCAGACTCCATACACAGTATTATGAGTAGATATGATTGAGCCCAATAGGCTCAGGAAACTGTACACCTGTTAATTGACGGATGAGAGGTATATAGACAGACGGAAAGCACTGAGACGAATAGACAGATATATAGAAGATAGAAAACTTACTAAGAAAGATAGCCACAGAGTCCAACAAAAGAGATGAACATTGACAGACATTAAGAGAGAGAGAGAGAGAGAGAGAGAGAGAGAGAGAGAGAGAGAGAGAGAGAGAGAGAGAGAGAGAGAGAGAGAGAGAGAGAGAGAGAGAGAGAGAGAGAGAGAGAGAGAGAGAGAGAGAGAGAGAGAGAGAGAGAGAGAGCCAGCAAGACAAATTCAGATAAACATGAAGAGACAGAAGACAGCGATATATAGTGAGAGACGGAGATACGGAGGCAGGCAAAGATCCGTGACAACTTTTCTTTCTGAATTGTGGCTCGACTCTGGGAAAAAATATATAGATAAAACAAAATGCATTTTTTCTAATATATCTTTAAACTCTTTTTTTTTTTGCTGAAATTACCATGCCAAAATTCTTAAAGCAATTCTATTAGTTTACATTCAAGTAAGTTTATTGAAATAATGAAATATATCTATAAACAGACTAAAGGGTAGAGTAGCTTAGGTTATTTGTACCCTCGACCAATTCTATTCTTCAAACTTATGCTTAAAGAAGATGAATACATTTTTATATCAGTTTTTTTTTCGAAACTTTCTGTTTATTACAAGAAGGTCAAGAAGACAGCGCGACAGATCTTGGCTGCTCGGGGTCCACCCGGGCATTATTGTCTGTATCTATGAGTGAATGTCTGTTGAAGGCTGGACGTCTGATGGTTGGGTTAGCCTTACCCTACTTTCCATGATGAATTGTGATTTTAAGGCATATGTCATGGAGTAGTTTGGCGACCTCCGTTTTCCTCTTGAAATACAACTGGCTAATTTTACAGTGATCAGCGACTCCTATTAGGTAAATTAGAGACTGTTTAGCTAAGTGAAGCAAAATTTGCAGATAATTGTAGCCGAGTGAATTTAGTTTTGGTTTAATCTGGGGTTAATACAAATGCTGTATGGGTGAGTGGGACTGAAGGCAGTGTGTGATCCTCAGAGAACCCTGGAGAGCTACGTGGACAAGCGGATGGGCAGCACCTTCGGGCCTCCCGCCGGGAAGAAGATGACAGTGTTCGTGGACGACCTCAACATGCCGCACATCAACGACTGGGGAGACCAGGTCAGTCCCCAGCCCTCACTCCTGTCACACGCCAGTGTTTTGTATGTGTTATCATCAACGACTGGGGAGACCAGGTCAGTCCCCAGCCCTCACTCCTGTCACACGCCAGTGTTTTGTATGTGTTATCATCAACGACTGGGGAGACCAGGTCAGTCCCCAGCCCTCACTCCTCTCACTCGCCAGTGTTTTGTATGTGTTATCATCAACGACTGGGGAGACCAGGTCAGTCCCCAGCCCTCACTCCTGTCACTCGCCAGTGTTTTGTATGTGTTATCATCAACGACTGGGGAGACCAGGTCCGTCCCCAGCCCTCACTCCTGTCACACGCCAGTGTTTTGTATGTGTTATCATCAACGACTGGGGAGATCAGGTCCGTCCCCAACCCTCACTCCTGTCACACGCCAGTGTTTTGTATGTGTTATCATCAACGACTGGGGAGACCAGGTCAGTCCCCAGCCCTCACTCCTGTCACTCGCCAGTGTTTTGTATGTGTTATCATCAACGACTGGGGAGATCAGGTCCGTCCCCAACCCTCACTCCTGTCACACGCCAGTGTTTTGTATGTGTTATCATCAACGACTGGGGAGACCAGGTCAGTCCCCAACCCTCACTCCTGCCACACGCCAGTGTTTTGTATGTGTTATCATCAACGACTGGGGACACCAGGTCAGTCCCCAACCCTCACTCCTGTCACACGCCAGTGTTTTGTATGTGTTATCATCAACGACTGGGGAGACCAGGTCAGTCCCCAACCCTCAATCCTGTCACACGCCAGTGTTTTGTATGTGTTATCATCAACGACTGGGGAGACCAGGTCAGTCCCCAGCCCTCACTCCTGTCACACGCCAGTGTTTTGTATGTGTTATCATCAACGACTGGGGAGACCAGGTCAGTCCCCAGCCCTCACTCCTGTCACACGCCAGTGTTTTGTATGTGTTATCATCAACGACTGGGGACACCAGGTCAGGCCCCAGCCCTCACTCCTGTCACACGCCAGTGTTTTGTATGTGTTATCATCAACGACTGGGGAGATCAGGTCCGTCCCCAGCCCTCACTCTTGTCACAAGTAGCGTACCTTGAGGCTACCTTGAGGTGCTTCCGGGGCTTAGTGTCCCCGCGGCCCGGTCGTCGACCAGGCCACCTGAAGGCCTGACCAGGCCTCCTTTGCGTAGGTTGAGACTAGAACCGTGCACAGCGCCTGAGCAGGTGAGCTCATTAAGCCCCCCTGCTCAGGTGAGCACAGGTGTATAGTCACAATGGGGTCTGGGGGAAGGGGTGATTCCCCGAGTGTTTGGCACGTGGCTGACGTGTGGCGTCCAGACATGCGTCACTTAAGAGAGGGTTATGTTGGGGCGGGAGGGTATGTGGTTGGTATGCGGTCATGTAGGGAGAAGGAAGAGGAGGAGGAGGAGAAGGAAGAGGGTGAAGAGAAGATGAATATGTATGAGTATGTGCTGTAGAGTTATTCCTGTGTATGTAGATAGATTGGAGTATGTTGAGTGAAGGAGAGCATAGTCTTAAGATGGGCATAGGAGTATGTAGGTTATGTTGTGGAGGGAGGGGAGAGCCCCATACCTGAGAGAGGAGCAGGCTCTTAAGATGGGAGGGGAGCAGGTGGGAAAAGTGAGGGAACAGGTGGGTTTGTGTGAGAGTAAATGTAAACAAAGATGCGTTTAACATTTTCTCAGCCAATGCAGCTGTGTTGGTGGTGATCAATGACGTCTATTAGTTCCCCGTACATGGACAGGAAGTGTTGAGGGGAGTGTGTGTGAGAGAGAGAGAGAGAACAGGGTCTTGCGGATGACGTCCATCATCCTTAATCGTTTTCAAAGTCTACAGAGGAGTCTGGGAGATGTTCACCCCGCCAGGGTTACCCCTCCACTGCGGTTTCGTTAAGGAGCGGTGTTGTTACTACCGCCAGCAGGGGGGAGAAGGAGAGAAAAGGGAGGCAACAGGTGGCAGTGGGTTTGTGAGTGATAGTGGAGTCATTATTTTTTCTTAAAGAATGACAGTTTTATGTACCCTCCCTGCTTCCAGAGCGCTTAGGATATGAGGGCCATCCCTACCAAATAGCTCTGAGGAGTGACACCTCATGACCACATAGGGTTACCTCTTCAAAGGTTGAGGCCTAACTGCGAATGTCATCATCAACCTGTACCATAGTAAGTCATCCCCACCCCTCCCCCCTCCATCCACATAGCAGGACGTACCACATACCAACACCACCACCACACTGCTGGGAGTGACAGCAATATGCCGTACCATACTCTCTCCTGACACAGCTCACACCGGCACATACCTTTGAGTGTGTCATTGTTCTTCCTCAAAGGTGTGCCATGACATCAACATACTAATTCCAAATGCAGGCCTAGGCAGGAGAGAGCCTTTGTGGGCGGCTCTCCTCTTGGGAGAGACTGACACACAACTGGCTAAATGAGGCAGCACTGCCAGATCTATCCCAGGCTCCAACAGACCCACACCCCCAGCCCCTCCTCCCCCTTACCATCAACAAACCTTACCCTCTCCCACATCGATTTTCTGTGCAAAGCCTTTAGTATTATGTGTAACCTTGTATCACTACCTCTCCCCCTCTCAATTTAGCTTTCGCAAATGTCGCACGACAACTGATGTCTTGGTGAACGTGGAGGCCTATCGTCGTACTGGCTTTGCTGTGAAGACCTCTGCTTTTGCTGTCCTTTTCGATCTGGAAAAGGCATATGACACCACTGGAGACACTATATTCTATCCCAACTCCGTTCTTTTGGTCTTGTTCGTAATCTGCCTCTCTTCTTACAAAGTTTCCTCTCTAGTCGTTCATTTCGAGTGAGGTTTGGTACCACTCTCTCTGCCTTTTTTTGGCAATACGAAGGTGTACCTCAAGGTAGTGTTCTGAACACTACTCTTTTCTTGGTTGCCTTCAATGGCCGTCTTTCCTTCCGTCCCTCAAGTATTTTCTCAGATCTTTGTGTTGATGAACTGACCATTTGCTGTCGAGGTGATGACTCGCCTTTCCACCGACGGCTTCAACTTGCGATTGATGCCGTGTCGTCTTGATCAGCAGTCATGGCTTCAAGTTCTCTTCAACTAAGACTTGTGCCATAACTTTTAATTGGAAGCAGGTCGTTCTTCATCCCCCTTTGTCGCTTTATGGTAATCCCCTTTTGTTCAAAGATTCTGCTTAACTTTTGGGGTTAATCTTTGATACTTGTTTGTCTTGGTCACCCCATATCTCTTACCACCCCATTGAACGTAATTAACGTAAAGTCATGTCCTATATTCCCTGGTGAGCTGATAGGCACGTGCTCATCTCTTTACATTCCTCTCTCGTGCTGTCTAAACTCGATTATGGTTGTCCTGCTTAGTAGTCTGCCTCTCCTCCTACTCTTCACCGTCTTGATGCTATGCACCATACTGGGTTAGGGTTCAGCTCTGGTGCCTTTCGTTCGTCCCCTACCCTGAGCCTTTATCAAAATCGGTATCCTCTCTCTACAGGATCATCTACAGACCGCTTCCTTGCTCGGTCCGTACAAAATCCTCACTCTAGCTTATATTGTGTTTTGATTTTTACCTCCTCCACTGGGCCTTGTTCCCTTTCATCACCTTTATTTTTCTGTTCGATATGTCCCACTTGCAAGATACTCTCTCGATCGCGTTAGCAAAACTTCTTCTCATATCGTTCCATCCTTGCCCCCATGGAGGGTCCCACTTCTAAAGTTTTGCAAAACCTTGACCCACATGGTAAAGGTTTCCACGCCACATACAGTTCTGAAATGCCTTTTCTTTGCATATTTTCTTCACACTCCCACTCCTTTGCCGTCTTCACAGATGGGTCTAAGTCTGCTGGCGGTGTAGGCTACTTAGTTGTATTTCCTGACTGCACCTGTATGTGTCGCCTGCCCCCGTAGCCTATCATCATCACGACCGAACTTTAGGCAATATTTTATGCTCTTCGTCAACTGCTTTCTCGCTGTCAATCTTCCTATGTTGTTGTAGTTGACTCTCAGAGTACCCCTCATGGCTCTGGAGTCCTTTTATCCAGTACATCGTGTGGTAGTCGAAATTCAATATTGGCTGTTTATCTCCAGCAAGTTTAAGACTGGAGTTTTGCTGGGTTCCCAGCCATATTGGTGTGTCCTTAAAATACGTGCGGATGCTGCCGCTAAGGAGGCTATCCGCACTTGTCCCATCTCCTGTAAAGGTGTTCCCTATTCTGTCTTCTAACCAGTTATTTATTCCTCTATCCGTGAACATTTGTAGGGTCGTTGGCCTTCTGTTATTCGTAACAAACTGCGTAATGCCAGTAACACGTAAATGCCAGTAACACGTAAATGCCAGTAACACGTAAATGCCAGTAACACGTAAATGCCAGTAACACGTAAATGCTAGTAAACTGGCAGTAACCTGCCGGGTTACTGCCAAGTTACTGCCTGGTTACTACCTGGTTACTGCCAAGTTACTGCCTGGTTACTACCTGGTTACTGCCAAGTTACTGCCTTGTTACTGCCTGGTTACTGCCAAGTTACTGCCTGGTTACTGCCTGGTTACTGCCAAGTTACTGCCTTGTTACTGTCAAGTTACTGCCAGGTTACAGCCAGGGCACTGCCTAGTTACTACCAGGTTACAGCCAGGACACTGTCAAGTTACTGCCAGGTTACAGCTAGAGCACTGCCAAGTTACTACCAGGTTACAGCCAGGGCACTGCCAAGTTACTACCAGGTTACAGCCAGGGCACTGCCTAGTTACTACCAGGTTACAGCCAGGGCACTGCCAAGTTACTGCCAGGTTACAGCCAGGGCACTGCCAAGTTACTGCCCGAGTTATTGTCTGGTTACTCCCAAGTTACTGCCCGGTTACTGCCAAGTTGTTTCCCAGTTACTGTCTGTTACTGCCAAGTTTTCTCTCGGTTACGGCCAGGTTACTGACATGTCTTCATCTCTCTTATCGCAGATTGTCACCACATCTACAACAAGGATCAGATATCTGTAGAAGAGGCATTACATTACAGAGGCATTAAGCAATTTACATTTAAGAAGCTGCTCTTATTGACAAGTTCAAGCTTCGATTCATTGTATACATATGCGAGGCTCAGGAACTGATGACACGCTGATGTCTCTTGCAGGAAAACAAATGGATATAGATTATGCTAATGCAAGTAACTAAATAAGAATATATGAAAACATGAAATTACTAATTACTACTTTACACTAATGTTGCAATATTGGGAGGTTTGTTGGTGACTGTGTGACTCTTCCTACACCAGCAGCACGTGTGGGGGACTACACTTACGTTGTGTGACTCTCCTTCCACCCGCAGCACGTGTGGGGGGACTATTCTTACCTTGTGTGACTCTCCTTCCACCCGCAGCACGTGTGGGGGGACTATTCTTACCTTGTGTGACTCTCCTTCCACCTTGCCCTGACGTCACTCAACAGTTATTACGGGAAATGTATTGAGTGTGTGTTTGGTGTTGATCGCTGACGGAAGAACAACATTATAGTTACTAGACGTTTGGTTTGACCGATATTTTAAAGTTACATTTAAGTTCCTACACCTACTTTGAGTACGTGTAAATACTACTCTTTATTCATCTTCTCAGAACCTGTATGAGAATTGTCTCTTTTGCAGCCGACCAACGAGATAGTGCGACAGACGATGGAGATGGGCGGGTTCTACAGCCTGGAGAAGCCTGGAGACTTCACTTACATTGTCGACTTGCAGTTCCTGGCAGCTATGGGCCACCCGGGTAAGAGTGCATGGCATGATAGCGAATCTGAGTCTCAGAAATTACGGGCACATGTACTCAGATGTACGTGAAGATGTACACAGAATTTGTCATGACAAGAACCCAATACAGTATAATCCTGTATATAATAGAATGACAAAACTACTCTGGAAAATTATTTTTTTCTGTAAAGAGAATAATTAGTTTCAATATCATGCATACTGAATATAAGCAGGACCTTATTGTTAATGGCATTGACATACTAATATTTACATACTTGTACCTGGTCTTCCACCTGTATATTTGCTTATCTGTATCTGAATCATAACCGTATTATTATTTATGTTCACTTCACTAAATACGGTAACGGCGACCTTCACTTAGACATTCATCTGAATTTCTCCCGTGTCTTCTCCTGTATTTTATATTATCCGTTGTATTTCATCTGTGACCTGTATTTCGCCTGCACCATTTCCTGTATAAACTGTACCTCTGCCAGTCACCCACCTGTTCCTTCTCCTGCACCTGTAGTCTGGTCACTGATATAAAGAGTAAAACTCACACTGAGAGTGGAATATCCTGTGTCAGGTGGCGGCCGCAACGACATTCCCTCCCGCCTGAAGCGCCACTTCTGCATCTTTAACTCCACCATCCCGTCCGAGGGCTCCATCAACAAGATCTTCGGCGTGATTGCTCGCGGCCATTACAGCGTAAAGCGCGGCTTTAATCAAGAGGTCAGGGACATGGTGGAGAAGTTGGTGCCTTTGACGAGGAAGATGTGGGCTCATACCAAGGTATACATGACCTGATAGTATTACATTCTCAAGACTGTATATGATGAAGATAAGATTGTACGGGAGAACAGAAATACGAATTTCCAATTGTCCAATATATAGTTTCGTTCAGTGCTGAATGTTTGCTTCCTATGCTTCTATCTTTCTCATATATTACTGGATTAAATATATTGTCAAATTTGCTTTCTATTCCCTAGAACCACGTAAACAATTATTAAATTATTTCCATACTTTGCAACATTTTAATATAACATTGCTTAATATAATGACCAAAGCGCAACTCAGAAGATGGAGAAGCGACGACGTTTCGGTCCGTCGTGGACCATTACCATGACGTGTGAGGGAACGGACGGACCATGTGGTGTGAGGGAACGGACGGACCATGTGGTGTGAGGGAACGGACGGACCAGGAAACGTCGCAGCTTCTCCATCATCTGAGCTGTGGTTTGGTCATTATTTCTTTAGCCTCGTTATTGTGACTCATCGTCTGCATTGCTTAATAATGTCCACTGAAAATGATCTGTGATATACAACACATATTAATATATTCTGATTGATGTAACACAACACAATATTATACAGTTTACAAGAGCAGTATTTTTGAGCATGTGGGACCCCACGGATCAAACACCAAGTAGTGTTGTCAGCCTCACTAGTGAGTGGTGTGGGGTCCAAAATAGTGTTGCCAGCCTCACTAGTGAGTGGTGTGGGGTCCATAGTAGTGTTGTCAGCCTCACTAGTGAGTGGTGTGGGGTCCAAAATAGTGTTGCCAGCCTCACTAGTGAGTGTTGTGGGGTCCAAAGTAGTGTTGCCAGCCTCACTAGTGAGTGTTGTGGGGTCCAAAGTAGTGTTGCCAGCCTCACTAATGAGTGGTGTGGGGTCCAAAGTAGTATTGCCAGCCTCACTAGTGAGTGGTGTGGGGTCCATAGTAGTGTTGCCAGCCACACTAGTGAGTGGTGTGGGGCCAAAGTAGTGTTGTCAGCCTCACTAGTGAGTGGTGTGGGGTCCAAAGTAGTGTTGCCAGCCACACTAGTGAGTGGTGTGGGGTCCAAAGTAGTGTTGCCAGCCTCACTAGTGAGTGGTGTGGGGTTGAGGTAAACATATATATAACTGCACTAATAACCATTGTGAGTAAGACAGACAGTGAGCGTCGACATGTGTGTGTTACAGAACAAGCTGCTCCCCACACCGGCCAAGTTCCACTACGTGTTCAACTTGCGCGATCTCTCACGCATCTGGCAGGGCATGCTGGGCGCCGCTGCCAATGTCGTCACCTCCTCTGACACCCTGCTGGCCCTCTGGCGCCACGAGTGTTGCCGGGTCATAGCTGACAGGTGGGTGTTGGCCCTCTGGCGCCACGAGTGTTGCGGGGTCATAGCTGACAGGTGGGTGTGGGCCCTCTGGCGCCACGAGTGGTGCCAATTGACCAACTTTAGGGCAGAGGCGGGTGAATGCAGTAGTGTATCTCGTGTATTGACCAACTGTGAGGTAGAGGCAGGTGCATGTAATATTGTATTGTCTTGAGAGATCTACATAGACGTATAAACTAATGTACACCAGGTATTCACCATTTACAGAAAGCCAAACAGTTTTTGCTTCCGGGTAATAAGTGCTTTTTTCTGATTGCTAATGCCACCAATGTATTGAAAAAGGTTATTATTTCCCTCAAACTGCCTTGACTGTTGTGTAAAACAGTTCAGGGCAGGTATTTGAGGGTTGCCGACTTAATGTCTAGAGCTATGCCATAGTGTTTCATAAACCTGCAGCCTTAAGGGACCCTCACGGCGTCTTCACTAACCTGTCATAGGCAAAGGTCATAGCAAAGTTTGAGGGGAATAATAGGCCTCTTCTATGTTGGTGGCATAAGCAATCTGAAAGTAACACATTCTACTCGGTGCTTTGAATTACAAATGTACACACACGACTTTGTGAGGCGTTGGTTAGGTTAGGTTTGTGTGGCGATGGTTAGGTTAGTCTTGTGAGGCGTTGGTTAGGTTAGTCTTGTGTGGCGATGGTTAGGTTAGTCTTGTGTGGCGATGGTTAGGTTAGTCTTGTGAGGCGTTGGTTAGGTTAGTCTTGTGTGGCGATGGTTAGGTTAGTCTTGTGAGGCGATGGTTAGGTTAGTCTTGTGTGGCGATGGTTAGGTTAGTCTTGTGAGGCGATGGTTAGGTTAGTCTTGTGTGGCGATGGTTAGGTTAGTCTTGTGAGGCGTTGGTTAGGTTAGGTTTGTGAGGCGTTGGTTAGATCAAGTTTGTGAGGCGTTGGTTAGGTCAGGATTGTGAGGCGTTGGTTAGGTCAGGATTGTGAGGCGTTGGTTAGGTCAGGATTGTGAGGCGTTGGTTAGGTCAGGTTTGTAAGGCGTTGGTTAGGTCAGAATTGTAAGGCGTTGGTTAGGTCAGGATTGTGAGGCGTTGGTTAGGTCAGGTTTGTGAGGCGTTGGTTAGGTCAGGTTTGTGAGGCGTTGGTTAGGTCAGGATTGTGAGGCGTTGGTTAGGTCAGGTTTGTGAGGCGTTGGTTAGGTCAGGTTTGTGAGGCGTTGGTTAGGTCAGGATTGTGAGGCGTTGGTTAGGTCAGGATTGTGAGGCGTTGGTTAGGTCAGGATTGTGAGGCGTTGGTTAGGTCAGGTTTGTAAGGCGTTGGTTAGGTCAGGTTTGTGAGGCGTTGGTTAGGTCAGGATTGTAAGGCGTTGGTTAGGTCAGGATTGTGAGGCGTTGGTTAGGTCAAGATTGTGAGGCGTTGGTTAGGTCAGGTTTGTAAGGCGTTGGTTAGGTCAGGTTTGTGAGGCGTTGGTTAGGTCAGGATTGTGAGGCGTTGGTTAGGTCAGGATTGTGAGGCGTTGGTTAGGTCAGGATTGTGAGGCGTTGGTTAGGTCAGGTTTGTAAGGCGTTGGTTAGGTCAGGTTTGTGAGGCGTTGGTTAGGTCAGGATTGTAAGGCGTTGGTTAGGTCAGGATTGTGAGGCGTTGGTTAGGTCAAGATTGTGAGGCGTTGGTTAGGTCAGGTTTGTGAGGCGTTGGTTAGGTCAGGTTTGTGAGGCGTTGGTTAGGTCAGGATTGTGAGGCGTTGGTTAGGTCAGGTTTGTACGGCGATGGTGAGTGTGTGAGAACATACGCGGTAATTATACCCTCTGGACCTTTAATATGAACAATACACTGTCAAATATGGCGACAATACCGCTCCCCGAAATGACCTTTAATGAAGGTTAATAATTAAACGTAAATGTTATACCATGAACTATAGATGTATAAAATCTGATTGTATAAATACAAGTTTACATCACAGGAACTTTTCCATAAGCAAAACTGTGTGTTCAGTTATTGATAACAGTGAAGCATGTTTAGCGATAATTGTAGTGCAGTTGTCGGTGGGAAGTCCTTCCCGCAGTACTCACCTGTCTCCTGCTCCTCTACACTCACCCGCCTCCTGCTCCTCTACACTCACCCGCCTCCTGCTCCTCTACACTCACCCGCCTCCTGCTCCTCTACACTCACCCGCCTCCTGCTCCTCTACACTCACCTGTCTCCTGCTCCTCTACACTCACCCGCCTCCTGCTCCTCTACACTCACCCGCCTCCTGCTCCTCTACACTCACCTGCCTCCTGCTCCTCTACACTCACCCGCCTCCTGCTCCTCTACACTCACCCGCCTTCTGCTCCTCTACACTCACCCGCCTCCTGCTCCTCTACACTCACCCGCCTCCTGCTCCTCTACACTCACCCGCCTCCTGCTCCTCTACACTCACCCGCCTTCTGCTTCCTGATAACCGGTAACCTGATCTTCAGAGAACGCTTGCCTCCTTCAGGTTCACCTCGCCGAAGGATGTTCGGTGGTTCGAGGAGGCGTTGGTGAGCCTGACGCAGCAGGAGCTCGGGCCGCGCTTTACCAAGGACATCACCACCACGCACTTCTTCGTCGACTTCCTTAGGTGGGTCTTGCGCTGCGGAAGTCGCAGGTCAGTTCTAGTTGCATTGATTTGACACAGAATAAAAGTGAAGAGTGTCTAGTAAACTTAGGATGAAGAACAGGAGGAGAACATGAACAGGAAGATTAACAAGAGGAAGGAGTGTGAAGTTAATGTCATAACAGTTTTAGTTAAACAGAACTGGAGGACTTGTTTGTGTTGCCTTACTAATGCAAAATAGTCAGATATAATAGTTACATTGTTGTGTGTGTGTGGGGAGTTGGTAAGTAATTATAATTGTTACATTGCTGTGTGTTAGGGGGTGGGGGGGGGGGGTGGCAAGCAGTTATATTAGTTACATTGTTATGTGATGGACTATTCTGGCAGTGGTACGGAAATGAGTCTCGACTCTTGGGTTTCACCTCACTGATACCGCTTATCTTGTAACTTGATCGCCTTTGATCAAGAACAACGTCTTAGCTGCTTTCTCAAGACCGCTCCTTCTGTTGATCTTCTACTGACCTCCACTATCTATGACAGATCTTCTAGTGATCTCCACTGTCTACGAAACACCTCTTACAGAACTACTGTCTATGACAGACCCTCTATGGAACTGCAATATCTCCGACAGACCCACAATTGTCCTACATATAGAACTTTACTGTGGTAGAGCCGACATAGACCTTTGTAATGGGAAACCCTTATAGTTCAGCAATGTGGTAGACCCATTATTTTTTTATTTATTTATTTATTTTATTTATGCATATACAAGAATGTACATAAGGAATGTGAGGATACAATTATGGTAATTACAGTCTTGTAAAGCCACTAGCACGCGCAGCGTTTCGGACAGGTCCTTAATCTAAGAAAATTTTAAGGAGGTAAATACTTGCAAAATTTATAGACAAAAAAATGATAACAGATTACATGGAATGAAAAAAAAAAAAGATGAGAGAAAATTATAGGTACAGTATATTAAAGCACATAGGTAGCTATGATTGATTGCAATGACAGCTTAAAATGGTAGTTGACAACAAATTGGTAGGCACAATACAGCAGAAACAATATAAGATTGATTGCAATGACAGCTTGAATGGTAGTTGACAAAAATTGGTAGTCACAATACAGCATATGGCTAGCACATAAAAGAAGACAGCAATGAACACAATGATAAGGTTGTTTGATATTACATAAAAATTAGGAGATTGGGTACCACTAGGTACAGAGCAAATTAAAGCTCAGTGTAGGAAACTAAATAGATGAAGTTAGGTACTTTTTGGTTTTGCTTTTAAATAAGGCAAAAGTTTTACAGTTTTTCAATTCACTAGGGGTTACCTTTTGCTTCATTGAACCCATATAGACCTTCACTATGGTAGACCCATATAGATCTTCACTATGGTAGACCCATATAGATCTTCACTATGGTAGACCCATATAGATCTTCACTATGGTAGACCCATATAGACCTTCACTATGGTAGACCCATATAGATCTTCACTATGGTAGACCCATATAGATCTTCACTATGGTAGACCCATATAGATCTTCACTATGGTAGACCCATATAGATCTTCACTATGGTAGACCCATATAGACCTTCACTATGGTAGACCCATATAGATCTTCACTATGGTAGACCCATATAGACCTTCACTATGGTAGACCCATATAAACCTACCTTGTGGTTACCTTGAGGTGCTTCCGGGGCTTAGTGTCCCCGCGGCCCGGTCGTCGACCAGGCCTCCTGGTTGCTGGACTGATCAACCAGGCTGTTAGACGCGGCTGCTCGCAGCATGACGTATGCGTCACAGCCTGGTTGATCAGGTATCCTTTGGAGGTGCTTATCCAGTTCTCTCTTGAACACTGTGAGGGGTCGGCCAGTTATGCCCCTTATGTGTAGTGGAAGCGTGTTGAACAGTCTCGGGCCTCTGATGTTGATAGTTCTCTCTTGAACACTGTGAGGGGTCGGCCAGTTATGCCCCTTATGTGTAGTGGAAGCGTGTTGAACAGTCTCGGACCTCTGATGTTGATAGTTCTCTCTCAGAGTACCTGTTGCACCTACACCTGTTGAGTACTGTTGAGTACAACAGAGTACCTGTTGCAACCTACACTATATAAACGACTTATAGACTTATACTATATTGAGGTCTTATATATCTACACTATATAGACACCTTGCACACCTACACTACATAGATGACTTACACACCTACACCATATAGATGTCTTACGCATCTACACTATATATATATACAACTTACACACCTTCACTATATAGACAACTTACACACTTTCACTCTATAGATACCTCAAACATCTATATACATCCCTTATACATTCCTGAGTATCCACCATAAACCTCTGTTCTGCTCCTGGAGGCTCACTACCATGTACATCTTTAGGTTCTCCTAAATATTCAACAAGACACTTCTGCAGTTCTCCCAAAACTGCTGCACAATGAAGTCCTCTTCAAACACCAGTGATGCTTGACCATTGATTTCACAGAGACACGTGAAACTCCTCTTTTCTGCTCCTTTACACTGCTTGAGGTCAACTCCTCACTGTGGAGTTCTGCTCTCCCACAGATTTCAGCATACACATCTCCAGCCTCGAAGTTTCCTCCATTAATTCTCTCCCTGGCTTTGCAGTTCTTCCATCAACTTCTCCCCAAACAAACTTGCAATTCCAGTGCCATGCCAATAAAAATGTTTCCGTACTAAAACATTATTAAACATATTCACACAAAATAAAACTCCTCCATCCGACATCTTATTAAACTCTAATGCGTCACCGCAACGGTCCTCCCCCACCTTGGGCGAGTCCATCCTCGACGTGTCTAGACATGCTGCTGCCATCACCGGGCCTGTCCTCCCTCAGTCACCCACTCACATCCGGCGACGACGGACATACCGTCGTTCTCTCCAGCCTGTCCTCTTATCTCTACTCCCTTAATTCAGCTTACTGCCTTAATAAAATATCTATCCTACATATATAAACATCTGCCATCATCGCTGGGCACACGATCAAGCACAATTAACCACTGTAACAAGTGTTATATGAGCTTACCGCAGAGTCTGTGTCTCGAGGGCGTTCAAAGGGCGCTCAGCTGGGGGCTCCTAGAGGTCAGCCTCTCAGATTTCCCCCCAAAGTTTCTTTATGATGTCCTTACAGCTTTTCTGCTCTTGACTTGAGTACATTAAGTCGTTCTCAGGCTTCACACAAAAACACCTGCTTGATTACCTCCTCTTGTAGGACACACAGTTAGGGGTTTTCCACCTCTGCCAGGACCTCAAACACAGAGCTCTCCTCTCTCACGACTTCCGTTGCTCAAGTAAATTCAAGACGGCCTCGCGAGCCTCACATCATGTCAGCAAAGCATCGACATCTCCCTCCATATCAGTTATTTGCATGTTCATCCTCTACTCACAATTTTAAAATAGTCTCCGACATTTATTGCATAGATATATACATATCTCTATCTTTCCTCTGGCCTCTCAATTAGGTCTGGTAGGTGGAATAACTCTCAGATAGGTAGACTCGTTCTTCAGGTTACCTGAGGTCATAACAATATGTGTAGTTCCTGAGCGTGTTGTGTATGTATTTTAATTACCTGATTACCAAAGTGTAGTGCGTTCTACCTGTGCACAATGGTGACGTTATTAATCACCTCGGAACACGGGTTAATATTTACACGAGGTGACAATACACATGGGGTTCTAGGGACGCTCCAGAGCCGACGGGGGACGAAGGGGAAGACCTGGACATGGAGATGCCTAAAGTGTACGAAGCCATACCCTCCTTCGCCACCCTGGAGGAGCGCCTGCAGATGTTTCTCTCCCAGTACAACGAAATGGTCCGCGGCGCGGGCATGGACCTGGTCTTCTTCAAGGACGCAATGATCCACCTTATCCGAGTAAGTCCTTCTTAGTAATCTTAAGACGCCTTTCCTTCCTTTGTGTGACCTTAGGTTTGAGCGGAGACGCTCCTTTATCATCATAACTTCATGTCTTACCTGAGTAAGGCTAATCCTTATCTCATTACTTAAGGGGTATTTAGGGTTGAAAAGATAGAAGGGGGGGTTAATCATTGTCCCCCAGAACCCTAGAACTGATTGATTGATGGGATATATACTCAAGACAAGGAACTGGAACTGGTGGGGATATTTAACCTTCAACTCCTCAACGGTGTGAGTAAAACACCTCCCTCCCTCATCAATGAGATCTTGTGGGTGCGGGAGCAACTCATTCCTCCTCATCCATATGAGGTTATGGGTATGTCGAGATGTAATTCTTTCATCTGGGTAAATGGCACTAATGCCCCCGTGTGTATACTTACCTATCAACACTTATCAGTGACTTCTGGAAGGTGAAGTCTAGCTTCTTATGCCCTGCCTAGTGTTGCCTCTTGTGTGTTGACTTACGCCCTGCCAAGTTGTGCCTCTTGTGTATTTAATTATGCCCTGCCTAGTTGTGCCTCTTGTGTATTTAATTATGCCCTACCTAGTTGTACCTTTTGTGTGTTGATTTAACTATTCTGACGTTTTAATTCTTTGTTGAATCTTGCCTGAAAGTTGGCAATGGAGTCGGCTTCTACAACTTCTTCCTTCGGTGTCGAGTACGAGTGCTTCCTTACATTTTCTCGACTCAGTTGCATGTCCAGCTTCCACTTATGCCCACTTGTTTGACTTTCTCTATATTAAAAGAGGCTGTCTTTGTCCACAATATCTGTCCCTCCATATTATCTTGTGTGTTGTGATTACGTCCGCCCTGTTTCCTCTGTCTTCTAGGATTGAGATCTATTTCCCTTAACCTATCTGGAAAGCTCAAGTAATAATCTTCTTGGAGACCTTTGTACTTTTTTAACTGTTGTTATGTATAGTACTCTAGCAAATGCTTTGTAGCTTACCTTGTAGAGTAGTGATTTAGGTTCGTAAACAATGTTGTAATGTTGGCCAGCGTTCCAAATGCTGCTAATGTATAAAACCCTTTTTACATACAGCGATGGTGTCAGTGTTGGAAATATGTCAACTCCAGAATCTTTCTCGTCTTGATTCATGTAGTTGACTTTTCCCGAGGGTGTACCTGTACACCCTGACCTCCTGTACTCTTCCTCCTTCTCTCATTGTCATTGCCTTGAGGCTGAGTTCCAGCAGCTGTTTGTCTGCCAACTCCTTGAGTTTGTCAAGGCCTTCCTGTAACTTCCAGTAGTCCTCCTCGGTATTAAAATGTGCTACTTGAGTTGCGACTTGTACAAACCTTGTCGTGTGTGTGTGTAAGGGCGCTTGTTATCTTTGACTCACGTTGTGGTACTATAAATATACCCAAATGGTTTACTGTGAACTAACTTTCTTCTCACTTGATATAATTACCTCCGAGTCCAGAATCAGCTTAGCGTCCATTTGCAATAATCCATTAAGTTTTATAAAATACCGGCCATACTGGCCCCTGGACAATGTCCCGTGCATATTGTCCCAATTATACAGCTCATTTGTCATTGTATATCTGAGATCCGTACTGAATATTATCATTGTGAGACAAAACGCTACTGTGTAGTGTTATTATAATATGTCTGGCACTAGTACAGTGTTGTCTGGAACTAGGGCAGTAGTGTGTGGCACTATGACAGTAGTGTGTGGCACAGTACAGTGTAGTCTGGCACTATGACAGTAGTGTGTGTGGCATCAGTTTAGTGTAGTCTGGTATTATGACAGTAGTGTGTGGCACCAATACTGTGTAGTCTGGCACTAATACCTTGTGACACTATGACACAGATCTCCCGCATTATACGTAACCCTGGAGGCAACGCCTTGCTGGTGGGCGTGGGCGGCTCCGGCAAGCAGTCGCTCACCAAGCTGGCCTCATTCATCGCCGGCTACAAGACCTTCCAGATCGCCCTCACCAGGTAAGTCTTCTCTCCGGTAAATCCTATGTCATATCGCTAAATATATATCTATTCTGCCAAATAGCTGTATAACTAAGCTTGAAGACAGCTGACTCCTAATAGCCCAACCGGGGGTTGAAAGCCATCGATGAGGTCCTTGATAAGAAAATCGCCGACCTTAAGAGGATGGATGGGAGGATTGAGGATATTGATGCTCATGATGCACTCTACCTCATCACCAGATGTCTGTCCCTCCCCAGGTTAACCTACTTTCTGAGGTGTTCACCATACTACAGTAGCCAAAAACTAGGTGAGTATAACCTGTTACTGAAATCAATGTTAGAAAAAGACCTCACCCTCCCTCTCGATGACCAATAGTACGAACAAGCCTCTCTTCCCTTGGGCCCTTGGACTGGGGAGGGCCTCGGAGTTCGAACAGCATCGCAAATCGCTGTACCAGCCTTTCTGATCTCCTCCTCGGCATCCGACGACCTTGTGAAGGAAATTCTACCTGTCTACTTACATCAGCTGGCATGCATACACGATCCCAATTTTATACACTGTGCCACCGAGTGGGTCAGTCGTGCAGGCCCATCACCTCAACCACCATCCCCAAAAGCCCACAACAATCCAGCTTGGATGGCCCCATTGTAGACCAAGTTGCAGCATAGTGCCTGGGTGCTGCAACAACACAACACGACATTGCTCGCTGTAGTTATGTGTATGAGTCTGAGCCAAGAATCACCAGCGGAGGAAGGAAAGTGGCCCGAGTTGACGGTACTCAACTCTCCAACACCGAGAGCTTAATGCACATTGAGGAGAGACAACATCTGGAGGCGAGGCAAAGAGGTGACCTAGTGACTCTATTAAAGAAGAACGAACCACTTTCCACGGACGTTCCCCGACGACAAGGAGCGTGGTGCACGAGGTAGAGGTGAGAGGCGAGAGGCCGATTATTCAAAGTGCTTATCGATTCAGTCCGGAGAAGAGGTAACTAATGCGGAAGAAGCTGGAATACCTGTTAGAAATGATTTAGCGGAACCTAGCAACAGCGAGAGGAGTTCACCCGGTCTGTTGGTGAAGAAGAGTGACGGTTCTTATCGCTTCTGTATGGAATATCGAAAGGTGAACGCGATCACTGTCAGACTCCCATTCCCTGCCACGAGTGAGTGATTGTATTGACCAGCTGGAAAACGCTAGGAACGTTTCGAAGGCTGATTTATTAAAAGGATATTACCAAATACCATTGACCACGAGGGGATGAGGAAAATTTCTGACTTTGTCACGACAGTTGTAATTTTCTAATACAAGGTGCTTCCGTTTGGGATGAAAAACAGCGGAAGTTGTTTCCAAAGGATGATGAACGAAGGGCTTTGGGGAGTTAAGGGATGTACGGTGTATATAGATGACATTGTGGTGTATTCCGATAGCTGGGAGGAATATGTAACTCGTCTCAGGAATCTGTTTATGAGGCTGGAAGAGGCGAATCTCACTATAAATTTGGCGAAAAGAGAGTTTGAGAAGTCTCGCTTAGAGTATTTAGGATTTGTTGTAGGACAAGGAGAGGTGGCCTCAGTTGACCAGGAGGTGGCAGCGATTAATGAATGTCCAGTGCACCGTACGAAAAAGGAATTGCTTTGTTATTGGGGCATGATCGGGTACTACAGAGGTTTCTGTAAAAAAATATCTACAGTGACCCACCCATTGACGAGTTATTATCGAGTGCAAGGTGGAAGTAGAGTAAAGTCTGCCAGGAATCATTCGAAAAGACGAAGAGGTTGTTAACGGAGGCCCTAGTACTGATATCCCCAGACTTCACTAAAGGATTTATATTGTACGTCGATGCCAGTGATGTAGGAGTGAGAGTCATTTTGGCACAAGAGAAGAACGAGGTGCACGCTCAGAGTTCCACCTGCCACGACAATGAGCTAAAGTCTCTCCAGTTTGAGAGGCCAGGGAGCCTCAAAAAGAGGATTATTCAGCAATGGTTATTATCACAAACGTCGGAAAAAACTTGCCAATTCCAGGGAAGTGTAAGAAGGCTTAGCTCATCGGGTAAAATGGACGCCAGGAGTTAGAGACCGACAAGTCCTACGACCGTATGCGGCCACTGGGAGGAGCCATGACGATGTTCCTGTGGGTCATGCACTGGCATGATTGGGAGAGGCTGACAGGACAAGAGGTATGGGCTATTCCCCACGAGTTGCCGTGGGACGTACATGAGCCAATTAAATACCCTGTCATCGAGGAGCAGATCCATGAGCAAGGGACCCCGACTGCCATCACGAGGAGGAGACTATGACTATTTGTAGCAGAGGGAGTCGAGGTAGATAATCCTTCCCTCCCGATTTCCCTCGAGTTAGGTGAAGTTAGTTTATCATTCATATTATTATTAATATATTGATGGGAGAATGCCAGTATTAGCAGATATGTAGTGATAGGAATACGTGTGTGTTTATTTCATGTCCGAACAATTAGTGAGTATTGTGGAAGGACATTATCACCTCAGTGTTGTAGGGAAGAGTGAGCCAAATATATTTGTGCTAGCGAGAGGAAATGACTAGATCGAGGTGACAGTTTGAGACGAGTTTCAATGGATAAGCTGATGGAGTTGCCAGAGGTGACTGACTGGAGTGTTGCCGCCATCCAACAGGTAGCAGATTTTGTCACCTGTTATCCCGAGTAGAATTTAGCACCTCTTGTTTTTTTTTTTTTTTTTTTTTTTTTTTTTTTATTATTTTCTACCACAGACGTGGCCACACATTTACAATGCTAACCAGCATATATACATTTTCTTCTGTCCTCCATGGACAGGGTTAGAGAAGTGTTAAACATACAGTTCAAGGGTTTATTGAACACTCAACCACAGAAGGTGATTCGGTGCTTTTGAAATGCTAAGCTAACCTACATACGTAAATACAAAGATACACAGATTTACGTACGCCCTACATAAAGTATTAGATGTGTCTTTTACATAGTGTCATTAATGTACATTCACAAAGGTGAAATGTAATTCTGATCAGCTTCCATATTTGCTTTATACCCATACATATACATACACACACACACATACACATACATATATACACACATACATGCATTCACATACATTTGTCTCATTTACCCTGACAGGGTGAGGTAGCTGATAAAGAAACTAGTGTGCAATTAAGCACTTAATCACTGAAGGTGATGAAGGTGCTTTTACAAGCTCAGGTTATATAGTTACATCACATACATACATTGTATGATTGATACATTACATGGTCAATTTTGGATACAAGTCCAATATATCATCAAGTGTTCCAGTACTCATATAGTAACTACAGAGTTCAGCATACCTTAGCCCAGGAGGGCGAAAGTCAGTCAGTATGGGACATTCTACAATATAATGTTCAAGAGAGTGCATGTTTTCTCTTTCACAAAGTTGACACATTGTGTACTCGACATTTGCACCTCTTGTGCAAGTGGAGGGACCCATAGCCTCGGAGAAGAAAATAAAGAGTACTCAGAGAAGACCTTGAAGAAGATCCACACTGACCATTTTGATATTGCTATATTGTTGTTGATATTGTTATTCTTGTGGGTATACAATAATTTTTGTTCCATTGTCTGTGGAAATATGGACAGTGTCTGGATTGTCGACTCTAGAACTCCCGACCTTTCCCCGTCCCCCCGACCTTCCCCCGTCCCCCCTTTCTCCCAATCATTTCCCCATTACACACGTCCTCCCCACTATCCCCCCCCCCCTCCCTCATCCCTTCGTCCTCCCCATCATTCCCCCCTGCCCCATCCCCTGGTCCTCCCCACCACAGGCAGAGCCTCAGGCAGTGCCTGAGTGTTGCTGACGGAGCTCTGGCGCTGAGGAATGTGGCTGGGACGCCATGCTGACAGCTCTAGCACTGAGGGATGTGACCGGGCCGACACACTGACAGCTCTGGCACTGAGGGATGTGGCTGGGCCGCCACACTGACAGCTCTGGCACTGAGGGATGTGGCTGGGCCGCCACACTGACAGCTCTGGCACTGAGGGATGTGGCTGGGCCGACACACTGACAGCTCTGGCACTGAGGGATGTGGCTGGGCCGCCACACTGACAGCTCTGGCACTGAGGGATGTGGCTGGGCCGCCACACTGACAGCTCTGGCACTGAGGGATGTGGCTGGGCCGCCACACTGACAGCTCTGGCACTGAGGGATGTGACCGGGCCGACACACTGACAGCTCTGGCACTGAGGGATGTGGCTGGGCCGCCACACTGACAGCTCTGGCGCTGATTGATGTGACTGGGCGGCCACACTGACAGAGAGCTCTGGCATTGAGGGCTGTGGCTTTGCCGCCACAGTGACAGAGAGCTCTGGCACTGAGGGATGTGACTGGGCCGCCACACTGATAGCTCTGGTGCTGAGGGATGTGGCTGGGCCGCCACACTGACAGCTCTGTCGCTGAGGGATGTGGCTGGGCCGCCACACTGACAGCTCTGGCGCTGAGGGATGTGGCTGGGCCGCCACACTGACAGAGCTCGGACATTGAGCTTGAGCTCTACACGAAACATGCTACAATGTAAATGTTTATATTTGTATTATTTTTCTGCAGAGTTTACTGACAAATTAATCATAATATAAGAAGAAAATAGTTTTTTGCACATAGGAGAAGATGCATGGGATTGATTGCTGCTTGTTAGAGGTTAAAGTAATTATCAAAAGAAGTGTTAGAGGTTATAATCTATATTGGTAATAAAATGCTGAGTAGATCTGTGGAAAAAATGAAATAAATTGAAAACCTGGCATTCTGGGTTGACTGAGGCAAGCTTCAAGAAAGAATTAATACTAACAAGAAAGTTCAAAAACGTTATTCGCCTTTTTTCAATAATTTACACAATACTCAGACTGGGATTTCTTACAAGTTTTTCATTGTATTCCAATAATTTGTATTTCTCTCCTCTCAGCTATACACTTAGTATATCGGATCTCGAGAATACATCTTGCTGACTTGAAACTTGAAATACTTGCAGTGTAGTAAAAATATATTTAGCTATTTTTGAAAATGAGCATTGAAGCATAAAGTATAATTTTTCTGTAAATTATCTTAAGAAAACCCATTTGTGTTTTATTTAAACTGTCAGCATTTATATACAATAATAAAACTTGGAATTTTATAGTTTGATGTAAAATAACACAAAAGAACTATTGTTTATTATTTTAATACATCTGATTTAATGTATAATAAATAAAGCATTCAAGTTCTTTAGAATGTTCATAATATTGATTGTATTGAGAGATGTCTGGTGTATGAAGCAGGAATACTTGACAAGATCGGAGGCCATCAACACACATCTAGTTACTTATGTGTATATTACTTAGATCCTACAATACGACCAACTTATTAGAGGACCTAAAAGTGCTGTACCGGACGTGTGGGATCCAGGGAAAGGGAACCACCTTCATCTTCACTGACCAGGAGGTGAAGGAAGAAGCTTTCCTCGAGTACCTCAACAACGTCCTCTCCTCAGGTGAGTCACTTATATGAATTATCAGTATTTAGAGAGGCGGCAAACCTGCATTAGATGGCCAAGGATTTTAATATGCAATATGTTATTCATTTTATGTACAATTTTGGGTAGAAAGAAGTTATATATTATTTTTGTGTAGACAAAGATATAATATAAACACAGCGTGTGTGAATAATTGCTCCGAGAGGCATTATGCCAGCTGTCTGCTGCCGGGTCGCAGGTCGTCATTATCTCTCCGCCCAGAAAAGTGGTGCCTTCATATATTTGGCAATTATTTCTAACCTGTAGGATATACACAAACGTTTTAATAAATAAAAGTTGACTCTTTTTATATTTACTACAATTCATTATTACTGTATAAGAATATTTAGAGGTTTTCAAAGCTGATTAGATATCTGGTGTTAATGGGGCGAACACGAGAGTCGTGGGTGTTTAGAGCAGGTAATGGTGGACGGTGAGGGGTGTCGTGGGTGTTTAGAGCAGGTAATGGTGGACGGTGAGGGCGTCGTGGGTGTTTAGAGCAGGTAATGGTGGACGGTGAGGGGTGTCGTGGGTGTTTAGAGCAGGTAATGGTGGACGGAGAGGGGCGTCGTGGGTGTTTAGAGCAGGTAATGGTGGACGGTGAGGGCGTCGTGGGTGTTTTGAGCAGGTAATGGTGGACGGTGAGGGCGTCGTGGGTGTTTAGAGCAGGTAATGGTGGACGGAGAGGGACGCATGGATAGTGGTTCCCAGGTCTAGCCAGTTTCTCCACGCCAGACTGTTCATATAAGACACATTTAAAACTAATTTACTTGCAGGAAATCCTCGAGTCTTTTGAGTAATTCAGATTATTAAATACTTAGAAAGTTCTTGTTTCATATTTTATTTCCTCCGGCTACTTCCCCGCGGACATGTAGCAGCAAGGTACTGTTAACATCCATCCCTAGACGTACAACCACGTGAAAGCACCCACTGAGCAGACGTCTTGACCCCTGGTGAGGGCCAGCAGACACCCACTGGGCAGACGTCGTGGCCCTGGTGAGGGCAAGCAGACACCCAATGGGCAGACGTCCTGGCCCTGGTGAGGGCCAGCAGACAACCACTGGGCAGACGTCTTGGTCCTAGTGAAGGCCAGCAGACAACCACTGGGCAGACGTCCTGGTCCTAGTGAAGGCCAGCAGACAACCACTGGGTAGACATCCTGGCCCTAGTGAAGGCCAGCAGACAACCACTGGGCAGACATCCTGGCCCTAGTGACGGCCAGCAGACAACCACTGGGCAGACATCCTGGTCCTAGTGAAGGCCAGCAGACACCCACTGGGCAGACGTCCTGGTCCTAGTGAAGGCCAGCAGACAACCACTGGGCAGACGTCCTGGTCCTAGTGAAGGCCAGCAGACAACCACTGGGTAGACATCCTGGCCCTAGTGAAGGCCAGCAGACACACCATACGTCCTCAGAGCCAGCATAATCTAGTCATCACCAGCACAGTGGCAGATATATATTTTTATCTTTATCTTCATTTTGCCATAACAGTTTTTGAATTGCCAGTTATTCTATTACTTTAGATATTTAATTTAGAAAGAGTTGATTTTTTTAGCATTATTATTATAAAGTTCACGAAGTTAGGTGTGCTGTGCTTTGATCAATGTTGAGACTTGGTGTTTATTATTGAATTGTAGTACATTACACATTACTGTTTATTTGGCTTACATCCCTGGAAACACAAACCGTAACTGTCTCTATTTTCCGCTTGTTACAACTTGTAATAAAGTTGTTACATATTGGCTTAACGTGTTTATGACGTATTAGAACGTTGTTACAACTTGCTATATTGGTTTTTATAACTGGTTAGGAGGTGTTAAAACTTGTTCGAACGTTGTACCAACGTCATAGTTTCGGTGTGTGTTTGGCGGGATGCCATTTGTTTGTTTGTCAGGAGTTATTGTGTGAAAGTTTGTTTTAATTGTAGTAATTTAGTTATGTGGATGTTTGTGATCATTCTGCTCACTCTCCCCAGACACCAGATGTCTTAATAATTGTAAAAGCCAAGAACAGGAATAAGAAATATTCCTGCAACGTTCACCTCACTAGACCATGTGCTGGCTCACATTCTGGGATCAAATGTACAGCAAAAATATTGGAAAATTTAGGTTATCTTGAGATGATTTCGGGGCTTTAGTGTCCCCGCGGCCCGGTCCTCGACCAGGCCTCCACCCCCAGGAAGCAGCCCGTGACAGCTGACTAACACCCAGGTACCTATTTACTGCTAGGTAACAGGGGCATTCAGGGTGAAAGAAACTTTGCCCATTTGTTTCTGCCTCGTGCGGGAATCGAACCCGCGCCACAGAATTACGAGTCCTGCGCGCTATCCACCAGGCTACGAGGCCCCCTCACCTTACGAGGTGATTCAGAGAGGAAAATTACTCTGTAGTAAGACCTCTAATATGAGAATGCTCAGTTGGTTGTCAAGGGCATTGGAACGTATTACGCAGCTGCAGCGATTTATTTTTGGAATGATAATAATTTTTTAGATTCTATTCGTGTTACTCTGTACGTTTTGTCTAAATGTTTTCTCATGCATTGCAGTATTTTGTTTAGCACATTTGTGTACAGGAGAAGGCGACTTATAACTCGTGTTAGCAAGCTGAGGGTATTCCCTTCCCGTAGCTCAAGACAATCCTTACCCACTAGTTTTTTTCATGGAATACGACCTGCCAATTGGTTAAGAACCAGGTACACACTTACTTCTGTGTGAACAGAGGTAAATGCTTATCGATTAGTACTCGCTTTTCAAGCATATGCATTGTGCTGCTCGTTTATAAAAATAGCTTCTCATTCGTTTATTTTTGCATTATTAAAATATGAAATCCATTCCTAACACTTGTTCCTAAATATCTATACTCAATTACAAAGAACAGCTAAAAACGTTCTAACTGTCAATATCAAACAAACGTAGTTAATCTTGAATGTACTAAGGAATACACACACACACTTCACATGTGTTCGATAAAAATAGAAAGTAAAGTTAAAAAAAATCAATTTTGCATTAACTAAGAATATTTTAAATCCCGTAGCTACATTTGATTGTTAATTTGCGAGTTTTGCTTTGGCCAGGGATGGTGAGCAACCTGTTCAACCGAGACGAGCAAGGCGAGATTGTTAGCGAGCTGATCCCTATCATGAAGCGCGAGCACCCTCGGCGCCCTCCCACGCCAGAGAACGTCATGGACTTCTTCCTCGCCCGCACCCGCCAGAACCTCCACGTCGTCCTCTGCTTCTCCCCGGTCAGTACTGTTAATGTTACGCTCCCAGGCGCCCGCCACCCTCGGCTCATCTTCTCACTCACTGTGACCACCACTTGTGTTACACCCACACCCATCCTAACGTAACCTTTCTAATAACCGAGGTTATTAGAAATGTTGTGTTATTGGGCATTTTCTGTACATCAATTCAACCCAACTAACCACATACCTGGATCTGGGCATTTTATATCATATTCTTAGGAAAGTGATATTATTCACTATATTCATACCATTAACATAACCTAATTTACTTTAACCTTATTCATAACTGGGTTTATTCCCCCTCCAACTAATCTATAAATTATGCTATATTCTTAAGGTAAGAATATATTATTTATCACACATTATCCAATTTTTCAATAATTTAGAAAATGTAGGTTTAAAATTGTGTGAGAGGTTATTTACACATTGAAGTAAGAAAATAAGAATGTGCTGTATATAATGAAAGAGAATACTTTTCCCCCTTTCAGATAAGGATAAATAAATAACTTTTTCCTTTTACGACCGTCCCCTTTCAGTTTTTCGGGGGACATTTGCAGTGTTACTGCATATTATTGGTACACACACGCCAGGCACCTGATATAACTTCCCACGATACTTGTCACCAAACACATCTTTAAATCACTTGACTACTAAATCTAAAGTACCTATAACATTAAGTACTCTATCAGTGACAAAACTTTGATACAGTACACCATATTTATCGACCAAAGACTGGTCTGCTCTGTATAGTAGATCTTAATGAGGATTGCCAGAGATCATGTGAAAACTACACGAAACTGTCAACGCGTGACCTTCGGGGATCACAACAAAATAAAGTGTCTTTGTAAAGCAGTACCGGATGTTGTAAGAAGCTGGCCAGATAGGTAAGAACAATATGTAAATTACATACTAGTACGTTGATCCTCATGATACCCCATGAGAACATCAATCATAAACAGAATTCTGTGACGTTCTGGTATGGCTCACATTACATCCAAAGATTAGCTCAAACGGTCTCAACTATAATACTCTAATAATTTTATTAATTTTTTTATTTACCCGGATGTAGGGCACCTGTAGGTGTCCTTCGGGTGATTACTAATTATCCATAATGGGTTCTACTAGCTGTCTTCAGCTAAGTATTGCCGACATGTCTTTAGCAATAGTGCAGGTGACGAACCTCATGTCTAACCCTTAGGTTGGGGAGAAGTTCAGGAGTCGTGCCATGAGGTTCCCCGGGTTGATTAGTGGTTGCACCATCGACTGGTTCCAGCCATGGCCGAAGGAGGCACTGGTGGCGGTGGCCCAGCACTTCCTGAAGAGCTACCAGATCATCAGCACCCCAGAGGTGAAGACCAGCCTGGTCAAGGGCATGGGCACCATCCACGACCACGTGGCACAGCTCTGTACCGACTACTTTCAGAGGTCAGTGCTCACACACTACCCTCATGCAACACTGTATGTTACTTATGTGCTGTACCGACTACTTTCAGAGGTCAGTGCTCACTCACTACCCTCATGCAACACTGTATGTTACTTATGTGCTGTACCGACTACTTTCAGAGGTCAGTGCTCACTCACTACCCTCATGCAACACTGTATGTTACTTATGTGCACAATAGTTTATCTGGAAGCTGACAATGAAATTCACAGTTAATTTTTTTGCTATTACATATTTAAATTTACCTACTTTTCTAAAAATCTAAATTTTTTAAATGAGGTATTTTTTGGTACCCTATTTGTTGCTACTGGGAATTCGTAGCAACTCCTATCCAGAGTTATACCTCCGACTTCAAGTTTGATGAGGTATATAAAGCAGAAGTTCTGGTGTGTGTAGCTCCTTGACGTATATTGTATTGTATGCTGGCACCCAAGGCAAGGATTTTTGTAGGTTAAAGTACCATAGTATGTGTAGATGTGTGCTTGTTTCTGAGGGACTATTGAGTATGCAAAAGCGTTTTAGGAACAGAATTTGATGTATGTAAATGTGAGTTGGGTGAGTTTAAATATGTAGCTATCCGAAAATTGTGCTTACTGATCACAGTTATCCAAGGAAGAGGCAGTTAACTGATGAGGGTATTTTGATATTTTCATTTACTTGGAACATGTATTTAAGTGGGTAGAACTCTACAGCAAAATGTCTTATGCTCAGGTACCGTCGTGCGGCCCATGTCACCCCAAAGTCGTTCCTGTCATTCATCAGCATTTACAAGAAGATCTATAATGAGAAGCGGGATGAGATCGGAGAGTCGGCCACCAGGATGACCTCGGGACTGGACAAGCTTCAGGAGGCGTCGCTGGCGGTGGAGAGGCTGAGGGAGGAGCTCTCTGTTATGGAGGAGGAGTTGGCTGTCGCTTCCCAGAAAGCGCAAAAGGTAAGATTCATACAGTCTGCTGGTAGGTGACGGTTGCAATCCTTTTACCTAGAATGTGGGTTCCGGTCCTCGTGTCTCCAGGCGACAGGAAGGGTCGCCAACCATCTAATGTAACTAACTTTTAATCTAACGAAAGGCGCAGTTGATTTCCGCCAGCAGGCGACGTCTACCAAGTTATGCATTTACCCCACGACAGGGACGCCAAAGCACATCCGGCAATCTTGCTGCCGTGGCTCCTAAATCAGCAGCAACAACAATATGATCGATTCTGATGGCGTTTGTATTTAAACTTCAGATAAAATAAAAAGCACGTTATTCTGGCTACTAGCTGGATAGCGCTGTAAAACTAGTAAGATTTATCCTTTTTAATACATAAAAATCAACATTAGATAACCGCGTTGAAGAGAAATAATAACCCACTTGACAAAAAAATTAAGAGAATACTGAAACATTACAGCTAAGGCTACAGAGAGGACTTCGTTGGGGACCTCTGCCTTTGGCTCACTCAATCACAGCAGCTCATATGTGACTGGTGGAACACCTTCTCATCGCATGTTTATATAATGCCCTAAATACAAGTTGCACCGCGTGTTGGAATGTCTCTCAACTACGGCAATAAATCTCTGGCCGTTGGTCACTGTAGAGCACTTAAATCAGCAACTTAAGAAAAATCACATATATCTTGGAGTTTTAAACTCAAATTTATAAAAATAAGATAGTTGGTCTTTGTCAGCACATTAGTAACTTTAATAATGTACATTAACAGATAAGAGACAATGTTTCGTAGTGATGATGACGGGCATGTGCCCTGTGTTAGTGCTCAAGAAGACAGTACCAGTGATTAGACTTTGTTATTAACAATGAATAAGGACATAACTCTAAGGGAGCTAAAATGAACGCACTCAGAGAAGAGTTTGGAGAAGTAGCAAATGTAAATGATGATAACTTAGTCTGTAAGGAGGAGCAACATTACTTAGCAGCATGTGTGATCTCTTCCAGATCTTAGAGGAAGTGACCCGTCGGGCCGAGGAGGCAGAGACCATCAAGGAGGAGGTGGAGAAGGTGCGAGACAAGGCTCAGGCACTCGTCAACGACATTGCCAAGGACAAGTCCCTGGCGGAGGAGAAGCTGGAGGCAGCCCGCCCTGCCCTGGAGGAGGCAGAGGCTGCTCTCAACACTATCAAACCTGCGCATATTGGTCAGTTGGCACCTCCTCCTTCTCCTCCCTTTATTAATACCAATATATTAACTTTCACTTATTGACTTGAACTCTTCCTGCTTCATTATGAATGCAGTTCCTCTTTTCTAACCTGTACTCTACGGTAATATATACTTACTACTGAGTGTTCAGTTTGGTAGTAATTAACATTTCAAATGAATCCCATTCTTCAAAAATTAAAGTTCATATAGCTATAATTAATTAAATGTAGAAATGGTGGACTGCTACACATAAAGACATCCCCTTTTGTACTATTGGAATATTAAAAAGCACATCAAAAATTTTAAAAGCCCAACCATTAATCTAACCTGTTCAAGGTTAGATTAAGCAATCCTAAGCCTAATATAATACATGTACTTTACTAGGCTCTGGAACATGTAAGTTTTGTTATTTTCTTTGCTCTTCAGCCCCTCTACAAAGTGAATAATTCAAAATGTGGACATAATTTTTTGTAGAACAGTTCATGTTTTGTGCATTCCATTCATAGTAGCTGTATGCCTTCCCTCTGGCCATCCTGCCCTGGATGAGAGGAAGGCCAGAAGGGAGAGAATTTGGTTCTTATAGTGGAAATTATTTCTAATAAATGCTCATAGTGTAACGTCCTCTTCAATAAATGTTGATGTAGTTCCGTTTATTATAATGTCACTCATACTGTTGTATTATTTACTGTGTTTCAGCAACGATACGTAAACTTGGTCGGCCGCCGCACCTCATTATGAGGATCATGGACTGTGTGTTGATCCTGTTTCAGCGGCACCTGCAACCCGTCAGGCCTGACTCCATTGCTCCTTGCCCCAAGCCATCTTGGCCCGAAAGCCTCAAGGTAACACTTCTCCTCCTAAGTGTTATAATAGCAACGCACACACTATATTAAATATGTTACGATTCCATTTCAATGTTTCAGATTGCATGGAAAATAAAAATTTTCAAAGATTTTGATTTATTTTCATTTGGATTTAATTATTTTGTGTGACATTGCATTGGAATTGAGCTGTGTTGTTTACCATAACATTCATTTTGTGAGTATAGTGTATTATTTTATTTTTTAACTGTTTTTCATATATTTCAGTGATGGGAACATCAGATCATTTGATGTTCTCAATTCTCTGATGGGAACATCAGATCATTTGATGTTCTCAATTCTCTGATGGGAACATCAGATCATTTGGGAATGCATCGGACAAGTGAATGGTGGAGAAGACAAGAGAACGGGAGTGGGGGATGGGGGGGAGTACGGAGAGACAGGGGAGGAGGTAATTGTGGGGAGGACTAAGGGACGGGGGAAAGGGAATGGTATAGAGGACGAGGGGACGGGGGACTGGGAGATGGTGGGGAGGACGAGGGGAATGGTTGGGAGGACGAGGGGATGGAGGTGTGAGGAATGGTTAGGAGGACGAGGGAGGGAGAAATGGTGGGGAAGACTGGGGGGGACAGGGGAAGGTTGCTGTGGCTCAGCAATGCGTGTAGCTGGGTACTGCTAGTATGTATGTATGTATATATGTATGTATGTATATATATATATATGTATATATATATATATATATATATATATATATATATATATATATATATATATATATATATATATATATATATATGTGCCTCAATGCCAACAGTGACTGCCCAGACAGGTACAAGAGGAGTGTCGTTAACGCTTATGTCGAAAGAAAAGTGAAAAGAAATGTAAGAAACATTGAGAAAATTCGTGTTAGAATTATTAATCTTACTTTTTCGGTCATATTTAATAATATATGTCTACAGGAAAGACTGCTACCAATATATATATATATATATATATATATATATATATATATATATATATATATATATATATATATATATATGTGTGTGTGTATATATATGTGTACATACAAAAGAATGGGGGTGGTAGGAGAAGATAATATTAGTGTTCAGTGAGAAACCACAAGGTCACCTCTGAATACTTTTTATTTTCTTCTCCGAGGCTATGGGTCCCCACATTGGCACCAGAGGTGGTACCCTCACAAGCTTTTATATATATATATATATATATATATATATATATATATATATATATATATATATATATATATATATAGATATATATATGTCGTACCTAGTAGCCAGAACGCACTTCTCAGCCTACATTGCAAGGCCCAATTTGCCTAATAAACCAAGATTTCATGAATTAATTGTTTTTCGACTACCTAACTTACCTAACCTAACCTAACCTATCTTTTTCAGCTACCTAACCCAACCTTACCTATAAAGATAGGTTAGGTTAGGTTAGGTAGGGTTGGTTAGGTTCGGTCATATATCTACGTCAATTTTAACTCCAGTAAAAAAAAATTGATCTCATACATAATGACATGGGTAGCTTTATCATTTCATAAGAACAAAAATTGGAAAAATATATTAATTCAGGAAAACTTGGCTTATTAGGCATATCGGGCCTTGCATAGTAGGCCCAGAAGTGCGTTCTGGCTACTAGGTACGACATATATATATAGTAGTAGGCATCCTTCAGTCTCGGGAGACTATGGAGTTGCGCCCTAGTTGTCAATCCTGGTGCAGCGTCTGGTGTGACTGATGAGGCCAATCCGAGAGTGGCAGTCCATCCCACACCGAGCACAAACGAAGTCCGATTCTGGTCTGTCTTCCTGGTTACCGGCTTTCCTTCTCTGTCTCTTTGCCTCCGATTCCTTGGCAAGTGACTCCTCGAACTTGGAGAGACCTCGTTGAACAGACTGCCTCCAGGCTGAACGGTCTGCAGTCAGTGTCTCCCATATAGCAAGATCGACGTCCATGGCTTTCAGGTCCCTTTTGCATACGTCTTTGTACCGTAGCTGGGGCTTGCCTATTGGACGCTTTCCCTGCCTCAGCTCTCCGTACAGGAGATCCTTGGGGATCCTGCCGTCGCCCATTCGCACAACGTGCCCGAGCCAGCGCATTCGTCTCTGTTTCAGCATTGTGTACATGCTGGTGATTCTTGCTCTCCCCAAGACGTTGTTGTTTGTCACCTTGTCCTGCCAGGTGATGTCCAAGATGTGTCTAAGGCAGCGCATGTGGTAGGCATTCAGCCGTCTTTCCTGACGGGCGCGGAGTGTCCAAGACTCACTGCCATAAAGGAGAGTGCTCAGGACACAGGATCTGTAAACCTGAATCTTAGTATACTCAGTTAGCCTATTGTTGGCCCACACTCTCTTTGTCAGTTTGGACATGGTAGTAGATGCCTTACCGATGCGTTTGTTTAGCTCCGTATCAAGAGAGAGGGAGTCAGAGATTGTGGAGCCCAGGTACACGAAGTCGTGAACAACTTCCAGTTTGGAATCAGAGATGCCGATGTCAGGTGGGGAGTCCATTCCTTGTCCCATGACTTGTGTTTTCTTCAGACTGATGGTGAGTCCGAAAGCCTGAGAGGCCTCGCTGAAGCGGGTTGTGAGCCGTTGGAGGTCTTCAGCTGAGTGGGCAGTGACTGCTGCGTCGTCGGCAAAGAGGAAGTCGCGCAGACACCTCAGACGACATATATATATATATATATATATATATATATATATATATATATATATATATATATATATATATATATATATATATATATATATATATATATATGTCGTACCTAGTAGCCAAAACTCACTTCTCAGCCTACTATGCAAGGCCCGATTTGCCTAATAAGCCAAGTTTTCCTGAATTAATAAATATTCTCTAATTTGTTTCTTATGAAATGATAAAGCTACCCATTTCATTATGTATGAGGTCAATTTTTTTTTATTGGAGTTAAAATTAACGTAGATATATGACCGAACCTAACCAACCCTACCTAACCTAACCTAACCTATCTTTATAGGTTAGGTTAGGTTAGGTAGCCGAAAAAGTTAGGTTAGGTTAGGTTAGGTAGGTTAGGTATTCGAAAAACTATTAATTCATGAAAACTTGGCTTATTAAGCAAATTGGGCCTTGCATAGTAGGCTGAGAAGTGCGTTCTGGCTACTAGGTACGACACACATATATATATATATATATATATATATATATATATATATATATATATATATATATATATATATATATATATATATATATATATATATATATATATATATTTATTGTGTTGAATATGACCGAAAAGGAAAGATTAATAGTTCTAACACGAATTTTCTCAATATTTCTTATGTTTTTCTTCACTGTCGGTGGTAATAAAAATAACAATTCTCCGAAATTCATTTTTTAATTATCTGACGCCTGAACGCGTTTCGTAATTCGTATTACATTTTCAAAGACTTCATTTACACACAAATTCTTCGTACTTATACTCTATTGGATGAGGTGATATGGTACAAAAGTTTTGGGTGAGGTAACAAACACAAGACAGATCACGAAACAATGGGTATAAATTCGATACGTGAACATATGAATGGAAGCAATTGCAGAAGGCCTATTGGCCCAAACTTCCTCTTGCTGCTTCCATATTGGTTCGGGGTTTTGAAGTGGGTACAATATCGTTGTACGTTAATTGGCTCTTGATTGCTGGTGTTGACTTTTTGATGTGTCTACACATCTTCTCAATATTTTTTTACGTTTTTCTTCACTATCGGGGGTAATTGAAAAATTAACTCTCCAAAGTTCATTTTTGCATTTTTATTTATGGTCTGACATATTGAAGCGTTTCGTAAAACTCTTCTCACATTTTCAAAGACAAACTTTAATATACTCCGTTTCATGCTTAAATTTGTTTTTGGGTGAGGTGATATGACATAAATGTTTTTGGGTGAAGTGATAAAACACGAACCAATGAATAATATTGGGGTAAAGATAATTTTACATAGTCAGAACACGAACCAATGGGTAATAATGGGGTAAGGATAATTTTTCATAGTCAGAACATGAATTATTACATATTTTCTCTTCTTGCTTCTATGTTGGTTCGGATTCTTGAAGTGGGTACAATATAGTTATGTGTTAATTGGCTGTTGATTGCTGGTGGTGACTTTTTGATGTGTAGTGCCTCACTGATGTCGAGTCTCCTGCTATTGCTGTATCTATCGATGATTTCTGTGTTGCATGTTAAGATTTCTCTGGTGATTGTCTGGTTCTTTGAGGAGATTATATATTGTTTGATGGAGCCCTGTTGTTTGTGCATTGTTAATCACCTAGAAAGAGACGTTCTTGTCTTGCCTATATACTGAGATCTTTGGGGCTGACAGTCGCCAAGTAGATATGTGAAGAAATAGACGATGATAGTTTCTTTCAATGCGTTCTGTTTGGTGTTTGGAGAGTTCTTCATGAGTAGGTTGTCCATTTAAACGGCTATTTCTATGTATGAGGATCGTCTTGACAAGCAATTCAGGTATTGCTTCCTAAATTGGCCTAATCTGCTCTGCTACCACCCTCCCTCCATCAAAACAGGAGGAAATGTATATGTTTACCTCTCAGAATGTTTGGTAATATGTTTATTTGTGATGTGTGTCTATGTATATATTAACACGTTGTACTGAACGGGGTGAGAATAGCTTGAGCTACCTCATCCCTTTGTGTGTATTTTACCTCAATAAACTTATTTCAATTTCAATTTCAATTTCCATCAAAACACTCCTGGATAAGAAAATACTAGAGATCCCAGTTACTCCTACCTCGATCATTGACAACAACGTACCTATTTCTACACCATCATTCTCACATCCTCACAGATGATGGCAAGCACCACTTTCCTGTTGTCGCTGCAAAACTTCCCAAAAGATACCATCAACGACGAGGTGGTGGAACTTCTGGAGCCTTACTTCGACATGGAGGACTACGACATGGACACGGCCAAGCGGGTGTGTGGCGACGTGGCCGGCCTCCTCTCCTGGACTCGAGCCATGGCCGTCTTCTTCGGTGTCAACAAGGAGGTCCTTCCTCTTAAGGTATCATCCACCCGCCAGCATATTTTTGCATTTGGTCTGGAGCTTTTGTCATTCTTATAATACGACTAAAAAAATATATATTTAAATTTGTATTCGCTTCATTGCTACTTATTAAAAACCATTACCAATAATTACAAACTACATACATACAAAATATTAATTATTTTTAGTATAAATTTATATAACACATTTTTGTTTAAATTTGGTGAGAGAGTTACATTCCGGCAAAGCCACTAACACATGTAATAGAGATGGAAACGTCATTGTTAATTCATAATGTTTTCCTTCAACTTGATGTTCTAATTTCCTCATCGTTTTCCTCTGCACTGTCTGCAATATATATTCACACTTTTATTATTGTTATTATCTTCGCTAGTTGTAGTATGTGATTGCGGATTATTGTTTTCTTACCTTAATTATATTGACAATAAGTATGTCATCACTATTATTTAATAATAATACCATAAATAGTAGCAAATGTTGCTAATCAATATTATAATAATTAAAACAATTACAGGATTTTAATAATAAATAATTAGTAAATTTTTGGAAATGTGATTATAATTATACAAACAACGAGTCACAATAACGTGGCTAAAGATATGATGACCAAACCATACACATCAGAAAATGAAGAAACAACGACGTTTGGGCCGTCCATGACCTTTATCAACTTGGGTAATCCAACTTGATAATGGTCCAGGAGGAACCGAAACATCGCCTTTTCTTCATTTCTTGATGTGTAAAATCAAAAATCACTTCTCCAAAATTCATTTTTATTTCTAGTCTGACGCGACACGGGCGCGTTTCGTAAAACTTATTACATTTTCAAAGACTTCACAAATACACAACTGATTAGAACGTATCTCTGATTTTATATCTACACTTGAGTGAGGTGGGAAGGGTGATGTGGCATTAACACAAGACAGAACAGGAGAGGATATTAATAGGGTATTAAAAGTATCAACACAAGACAGAACAGAAACAATGGGTATTGAATAGAAGTGTTTGTAGAAAGCCTATTGGTCCATATTTCTTGATGCTTCTATATTGGAGCGGAGTCTTGAGGTGGGTAGAATATAGTTGTATATAGTACACAACTATATTCTACCCACCTCAAGACTCCGCTCCAATATAGAAGCATCAAGAAATATGGACCAATAGGCTTTCTACAAACACTTCTATTCAATACCCATTGTTTCTGTTCTGTCTTGTGTTGATACTTTTAATACCCTATTAATATCCTCTCCTGTTCTGTCTTGTGTTAATGCCACATCACCCTTCCCACCTCACTCAAATGTAGATATAAAATCAGAGATACGTTCTAATCAGTTGTGTATTTGTGAAGTCTTTGAAAATGTAATAAGTTTTACGAAACGCGCCCGTGTCATGTCAGACTAGAAATAAAAATGAATTTTGGAGAAGTGATTTTTGATTTACCTCCAACAGTGAAGCGTAATGTACGAAAGATTGAGAAAATTCGTGTTAGAATTATTAATCTTACTTTTTCGGTCATATTTAATAATATATATATATATGTATATATATATGTCGTACCTAGTAGCCAGAACGCACTTCTCAGCCTACTATGCAGGGCCCAATTTGCTTAATAAGCCAAGTTTTCATGAATTAATTGTTTTTCGAATACCTAACCTACCTAACCTAACCTAACCTAACTTTTTCGGCTACTTAACCTATAAAGATAGGTTAGGTTAGGTTAGGTAGGGTTGGTTAGGTTCGGTCATATATATTAATTCATGAAAACTTGGCTTATTAAGCAAATTGGGCCTTGCATAGTAGGCTGAGAAGTGCGTTCTGGCTACTAGGTACGACATATATATATATATATATATATATATATATATATATATATATATATATATATATATATATATATATATATATATATATATATATTATATTTATTGTGTTGAATATGACCGAAAAGGAAAGATTAATAGTTCTAACACGAATTTTCTCAATATTTCTTATGTTTTTCTTCACTGTCGGTGGTAATAAAAATAACAATTCTCCGAAATTCATTTTTTAATTATCTGACGCCTGAACGCGTTTCGTAATTCGTATTACATTTTCAAAGACTTCATTTACACACAAATTCTTCGTACTTATACTCTATTGGATGAGGTGATATGGTACAAAAGTTTTGGGTGAGGTAACAAACACAAGACAGATCACGAAACAATGGGTATAAATTCGATACGTGAACATATGAATGGAAGCAATTGCAGAAGGCCTATTGGCCCAAACTTCCTCTTGCTGCTTCCATATTGGTTCGGGGTTTTGAAGTGGGTACAATATCGTTGTACGTTAATTGGCTCTTGATTGCTGGTGTTGACTTTTTGATGTGTCTACACATCTTCTCAATATTTTTTTACGTTTTTCTTCACTATCGGGGGTAATTGAAAAATTAACTCTCCAAAGTTCATTTTTGCATTTTTATTTATGGTCTGACATATTGAAGCGTTTCGTAAAACTCTTCTCACATTTTCAAAGACAAACTTTAATATACTCCGTTTCATGCTTAAATTTGTTTTTGGGTGAGGTGATATGACATAAATGTTTTTGGGTGAAGTGATAAAACACGAACCAATGAATAATATTGGGGTAAAGATATAAGGATAATTTTACATAGTCAGAACACGAACCAATGGGTAATAATGGGGTAAGGATAATTTTTCATAGTCAGAACATGAATTATTACATATTTTCTCTTCTTGCTTCTATGTTGGTTCGGATTCTTGAAGTGGGTACAATATAGTTATGTGTTAATTGGCTGTTGATTGCTGGTGGTGACTTTTTGATGTGTAGTGCCTCACTGATGTCGAGTCTCCTGCTATTGCTGTATCTATCGATGATTTCTGTGTTGCATGTTAAGATTTCTCTGGTGATTGTCTGGTTCTTTGAGGAGATTATATATTGTTTGATGGAGCCCTGTTGTTTGTGCATTGTTAATCACCTAGAAAGAGACGTTCTTGTCTTGCCTATATACTGAGATCTTTGGGGCTGACAGTCGCCAAGTAGATATGTGAAGAAATAGACGATGATAGTTTCTTTCAATGCGTTCTGTTTGGTGTTTGGAGAGTTCTTCATGAGTAGGTTGTCCATTTAAACGGCTATTTCTATGTATGAGGATCGTCTTGACAAGCAATTCAGGTATTGCTTCCTAAATTGGCCTAATCTGCTCTGCTACCACCCTCCCTCCATCAAAACAGGAGGAAATGTATATGTTTACCTCTCAGAATGTTTGGTAATATGTTTATTTGTGATGTGTGTCTATGTATATATTAACACGTTGTACTGAACGGGGTGAGAATAGCTTGAGCTACCTCATCCCTTTGTGTGTATTTTACCTCAATAAACTTATTTCAATTTCAATTTCAATTTCCATCAAAACACTCCTGGATAAGAAAATACTAGAGATCCCAGTTACTCCTACCTCGATCATTGACAACAACGTACCTATTTCTACACCATCATTCTCACATCCTCACAGATGATGGCAAGCACCACTTTCCTGTTGTCGCTGCAAAACTTCCCAAAAGATACCATCAACGACGAGGTGGTGGAACTTCTGGAGCCTTACTTCGACATGGAGGACTACGACATGGACACGGCCAAGCGGGTGTGTGGCGACGTGGCCGGCCTCCTCTCCTGGACTCGAGCCATGGCCGTCTTCTTCGGTGTCAACAAGGAGGTCCTTCCTCTTAAGGTATCATCCACCCGCCAGCATATTTTTGCATTTGGTCTGGAGCTTTTGTCATTCTTATAATACGACTAAAAAAATATATATTTAAATTTGTATTCGCTTCATTGCTACTTATTAAAAACCATTACCAATAATTACAAACTACATACATACAAAATATTAATTATTTTTAGTATAAATTTATATAACACATTTTTGTTTAAATTTGGTGAGAGAGTTACATTCCGGCAAAGCCACTAACACATGTAATAGAGATGGAAACGTCATTGTTAATTCATAATGTTTTCCTTCAACTTGATGTTCTAATTTCCTCATCGTTTTCCTCTGCACTGTCTGCAATATATATTCACACTTTTATTATTGTTATTATCTTCGCTAGTTGTAGTATGTGATTGCGGATTATTGTTTTCTTACCTTAATTATATTGACAATAAGTATGTCATCACTATTATTTAATAATAATACCATAAATAGTAGCAAATGTTGCTAATCAATATTATAATAATTAAAACAATTACAGGATTTTAATAATAAATAATTAGTAAATTTTTGGAAATGTGATTATAATTATACAAACAACGAGTCACAATAACGTGGCTAAAGATATGATGACCAAACCATACACATCAGAAAATGAAGAAACAACGACGTTTGGGCCGTCCATGACCTTTATCAACTTGGGTAATCCAACTTGATAATGGTCCAGGAGGAACCGAAACATCGCCTTTTCTTCATTTCTTGATGTGTAGTTTGGTCATAATTATATAAATTTAAAGTAAAAAAAGAGTTAACAGAAAAGCATGACGATTTTTGTCCTTGTCCAAGTATCTCAGATGAGATCACTGGACAGGGAACTTTGTTCAAAGGATGCACGAGAGGGTGCTTCCTGGTACTGGGATACGTGACATGGTGACTGCATGAGCTGTATTTTGTCCAGAAATGTGTTTTAATTGCAAGGAATGATGGTGGCACGGGTCAAAATGAGAAATTAATAAACAGGTTCATAGTATCACCATATATGACTAAGAACGATGATGAGTTCTTGTTGCATGTGACATTCTGCCAAAGGAAGAATGGTGGAAGCAATTAGGATCATCCTAAACTTGAAATGCACTTTTTTTTATTGTGTAATATCATTTGTGAGCAATTAGAACCCGTTCTATAGCAGAAAACACTGTGAATAAAATTAAAAGGATGCACCTGTCGAAGGATGCAATGGCGACCTTAGCGGACTCGTTGGAAGACGCATTTAGTTGGACTTTCTTAGCAACTTGATGTGTGGGTGTGAAAAGGAGCAATAAAAATGTAGCATGGGGCATTAAGGGAACAGGTCATTATAAAGCAAAAGAAGTGCACATGGGTTGCAAGAATGGCATCAGCTGTTCGGCAACATCAAATTAATCCTTACAAATTGTATTAGGTTATATTACTAACCGTAGATGAATAAGAAATAAAATGGATGATCTCAGAGATGTCGTGTGAACGAGAAGGTTAACCCAATAATATTTTCATCGAGACATTGCTAAACATACTTAAAGGACTTAAATTCGTAGTAATGGCAGTTTTTTTTTTTGGGGGGGGGGGATATAAAATGCAGCACAATTCAAGAAATAAAGTACGAGGAATGTACAGAACCATTTGGGTAAAAGAAGGTGCTCACAACGCACAGCTTACCAGTGAATACAGGCCTCAGGACCTTGTGAAGCTGGAGGCAGACTCATCAATCTGCAATCATTTTTTTCTTGGAAATTTCCCATTATCGATTTAGGGGGGCATAATGACAAAATATGCAATAAATGAAAATTGATTGGATTTCAACCAAACTTTTTTGACGAGTTGTATATGAAAAGAGTTTCATCTGGTCCATGTCTCAGCATCGTAGCATAAAAAGGAAGGGAGAAAAAATATTGAATTATGTGTTAAATATTTTTTTTAATTTCCAAAATTGGCAAAAATTAACATCAAATACAAGTGTCAACTGAAATCATGTCTACGACTGTCAGTTATAACAATAACATATAATAACAATATTTAATAATTAGTTTTATAAAAAAAATCAATAACAAAAATAATATTTTTTCTTATATATTTATCGGACGATTTGCATGAAACTTAAACACCTGACTGGGCGTAAGCCAATCTGTAAGGGTGCCAATTTTGGAGGAAATTGGTTGATGTCAACCTCAGTCACAGATAGCAGAACCTTAGGCTTTATTTTTTACTTATTATTTCAAGTAACATAAACGTTCCTATAACTTTCATTTTTTATTCAATTTACATGAAACTTGCACCTTACATGTAGAGTTTAGGTTTCTACAATCTGATTCGAGCTGCTTTTCCTAAATTCATGTATTGATTTTATAATAGTAATAAACTATGATATATTTGCAAAATTTGTTTATGGAACTTTGACTATATATATTAATAAAACTAAACATATTTTGGAAAATCCGTTGAATCAGATCCTTTATTATATGCTAATGTGATAGAAAAGTGTCATAGAAAGGATTTCATTTGAAACTTGTGGTTGTAGTTTCGATTTGAAAATGTGTAAAATTCGTTGAAAAAAAAATCTCCATTTCTATTTAGACTGCAATACTGAAAATTGGCACAATTCCAGCCCTTTTCATACACAACTAGTCAACAAAGATATGTTGACATTAAACAACTATTAATATCCACCATTATGCCTCCTTAAAGCGTTCTGATTGGTGGTTCATGGCAAGATTTACATCCCTCTTTTTGAAAACAGGGACATTGTTTGCGACGTTCAAGGAAGTAGGAGGCTAAACTAATGCCAATTAATTCGCTTAAGTCTTCTGAATAACTAATCAAGACCAGCAGATATGTTTGGCTTAGGCCACTGAAACTTTTCAAGGTTATACCCGTTAATCTGCATGTTACATAGTCTATTTCCAACAAAAGTCTTGGAAGATTGTTTCTGTGATCGGTGAATTTTCAAGAAATTCCTTAGTGAAGAGTGACATGAAATATGTATTTAGCAAATTGTTCATTTCTTCCTCCTCTTCATTTTCTTGTTACTGAATTATATTTTCAGTGGTCCTGCCTTTTCCAGTCCCTTCAGTTTTTAGAGTTTAAAAATTCCCGTAGAATTCAATACTGCATCTCATGTAATCAGTTTTAGATTCCTAATTTTCGGGGCTTTTCGTATTTCTTGCTTGACTTGTTTTTTTGCAATTCATTATTCTGAACTTATGTTCGTTCTATGGGTAATTTTTCGTCGAATAAAATGTATAATCTTATAGGACAATGTCCCAGTAGTCAACCCATCCTCAGACCAGGTCCATTCCATTCAGCGGTCGACCCAAGAGACCGACATTCATAGATTTTACATGCTGTTTGCTTAAAAAAGGAGTTTTCTCAAATATAAATTAGTATTGTTATATATTAGCATACTGTGCATATTTAGGCATTGGTTAGGTTAGGTGTTTAGACTCTGTTGGTAATTATTTGTATTTGTAATTTTTGGGGTAAAGCATTTACAGCGTTATGGTTCGAACAATACCGGCAAGTAGTGTAGCAAGCTTAAAAATTATGGAGTCGGACATAGAATGGCGCTGCTTGTAATGGGTCAAGAGAACCTCTGTGGTGATTCAGACTTATGCTTTTGTTTCCCCCGTGGACACCAGTCTAACCTGGCGCTGCAAGAAGCCCGCTTACGTCTGGCGATGGGAGACCTGGAGCGGGCGCAGGCCGAGCTGGACGACAAGCAGCGGGAGCTGGACGTGGTGAGGGGACAGTATCAGGCCGCACTCGCAGAGAAGCAGAAGCTCATTGACGCTGCCAATGTGTGTCGCAGAAAGATGCAAGCTGCGGCCACTCTCATCAATGGTCTGGCTGGGGAGAAGGTGCGTTGGACCAAGCAGAGCAAAGCTCTTAAACAACAGCTGGGAAGGTGAGTTGAAATTATGTGAGGGGTACTGGGGGTGGGATGAGTTCAGTTATGTGATGTGGGCTCACTCATAATAGTGATGTGATTTATGTGTCAGTTGATCCACATTTCTATAATTATCTGTATAATTATGAATGTGGGGGAGTGAAAGCACGTGTACATCTTGCGGAGATACTGTCTGTCAACCCATCACTACACACACCCCACGATCAACCCATCACTACACACACCCACGATCAACCCATCACTACACACACCCACGATCAACCCATCACTACACACACCCACGATCAACCCATCATTACACACACCCCTCGATGAACCCATCACTACACACACCCCACGATCAACCCATCACTACACACACACCCTCGATCAACCCATCACTACACACACACCTCGATCAACCCATCACTACACACACCTCGATCAACCCATCATTACACACACCCACAATCAACCCATCACTACACACACCCACGATCAACCCATCACTACACACACACCTCGATCAACCCATCACTACACACACCCCTCGATCAACCCATCACTACACACACCCCTCGATCAACCCATCACTACACACACCCCTCGATCAACCCATCACTACACACACCCTCGATCAACCCATCACTACACACACCCCACGATCAACCCATCACTACACACACACCTCGATCAACCCATTACTACACACACCCCTCGATCAACCCATCACTACACACACCCCTCGATCAACCCATCACTACACACACCCCTCGATCAACCCATCACTACACACACCCTCGATCAACCCATCACTACACACACACCCTCGGTTTGGTAGCCTCGGCTACCAAACTCTTTTGTCCTGTACATCAGTTGCAGAGTGCTTCTGGCAGTATGGGTTCGAGTCACTCCTGGGGTGTGAGTTTTCAGTTGCATATATGCTTGGAGACTTTTCAGGCTTGTTCGCATTTGTGTTCCTCATGTGTGCCCCAAAGAACGAGGTGATTTGATAAAATACCATGCCCAAGATTACCTTCAGAGTGCCGGCGGGAGGATGGGGAATTAGCCTCGGCTACCATCCTCTTTTGTCCGGTCTGGTATACCTATGGAAATGTCAAGATCCACAAGCCTGGAAACCCACTTCGACTAATATTCAGCCAGATACCCACTCACTGCGGGGAGCACGGGCCACGGGGATAAGAGCCTCGTTGGATGTGGAGTTTATCACTATTTACCAACGTACCTGTAGAGGAAACAATCGGGATGATAGCAGAGTGTTTCGTGACCTGGCTTGCACTCCTTTTGACATGCCAGAAAGCATACTGAAGAAACTACTCCAAGCCTGCACTAAAGAGGCACCCTTCTTGATCCCAGATGGGCACATGTATAAGCACTTAAATGGGGTCGCCATGGGTTCTCCCCAGGTGTCCTATTTGCGAACTTCTACATGGGCACCATCGAGCAGAGGGTCTTAGTTGACATGGACTTGAGACCCGCCATATACTGCAGGTATGTTGGCGACATTTTTACACAGGTACCTGATGCCAGATGTCTGCAGTAGCTGAAGGAGGCATTTGAGAGGAATTCTGTGTTGAGTTTCAATTACGAGATTGAGAATAATGGGAACCTTGTCTTTCTGGATGTAACAGTCACAGAAATGAGCGGAGGCTTCGACACTGCAGTCTACACCAAGGAAAAAAACATAGGAATGTGCCTCAATGCCAATAGTGACTGCCCAGACAGGTACAAGAGGAGTGTTGTCAATGCTTACGTCGACCGTGCTCTCAGCCATAGCTCAGGATGGAAAAAAGCCGATGAAGAACTCTGTAGGGTAAGGCAGGTCCTAGTCAACAACGGCTTCTCTAACGGTTTCGATGAAGACATCATAAAAAGAAAGGTGAAACGCTATGCAACCTCTGGAGAGTCAACCAACACTACACTTGTACTAACTATTTGTCTATTTTACTAGAACTTCTTTTCGACAGCTCATAAAATGGAGAAACAGGGTCCTGAAAGATATTGTTGATAGGAACGTTATCCCTACAGACAAAAATCAGAAAATACAATTGATAATTTATTATAAAAACGAAAAAAAAGGTCAACCTACTCATGAAAAACTCCCCAGACACCAGGCAGAGCGCTTTGAAGGAGACCAACGTCGTCTATGCTTTTAAATGCCCACTTGGGGACTGTAAGCCCCAAAGAACTCAGTATATAGGCAAGACAACAACGTCTCTTTCCAGGCGACTAACAATTCATAAACAACAGGGCTCCATCAAGGCACATATAATCGCTTCTAACAACCAGACCATCACCAGAGAAATCTTAACGAACAACACAGAAATCATCGATAGGTACAGTGATAGCAGGCGGCTCGACATCATTGAGGCACTACTCATCAAAAAGTCAACACCAGCAATCAACAGCCAATTAATGCACAAGTATATTCTACCCACTAAGCCGGTCGGCCGAGTGGACAGCACACTGGACTTGTGATCCTGTGGTCCCGGGTTCGATCCCGGGCGCCGGCGAGAAACAATGGGCAGAGTTTCTTTCACCCTATGCCCCTGTTACCTAGCAGTAAAATAGGTACCTGGGTGTTAGTCAGCTGTCACGGGCTGCTTCCTGGGGGTGGAGGCCTGGTCGAGGACCAGGCCGCGGGGACACTAAAGCCCCGAAATCATCTCAAGATAACCTCAAGATAACCCAATTCAAGGCACCGTATGGGCCAATTGGCCCTCTGCAATTACTTCCATTCGTAATAATAAAGACAATGTTCATGATATGAAAGATATTCTAGCTCACCTAGATCAAGGGGTAATAGGGGGGAGGATTTATCTACCTTAATTCTTTCTGCTACGAAGCCGACCTCTCCTCTGGCGAGGGGTTGCTGAGGTCCCCGGTCCTGGCGTTTGGTCCTCCGTTGATCAGGGTCCTGTACACAGAAGATCCACAGTCGACTTGTAGATGCGCGTCCTCGCCGTTCTCACACTCTGCAGGCAGGTCCTCCTCCACCTCCTCCTCCACCTCCTCCTCTCGAGGTACTGGAGACAGGTCCCTGAGCATGTCGCCTTCTTCCTCCCACATTGGCACTGTAGACAACTTGCAGTCTGGTTCAGTGTCCCCTCCTTGGTCTGCCAGTGGACTTGACCCCAGGCACAGCAGCTTGCCTGATGCGTTTGAACGTGATCCGCTAGGCGTCCCAGCCCAACGTTCGTCTCTGCTACAGACTATCAGTAAAAGCGCTCTAACATCAGCCAAGCCTTGCTTCCATGTACTCTACAGGAGTCAGATCACCTCCCACGATGTCTGCAGTACCAATGCAGCTGCTTGGGTCCATTGGTTAGGGGTTTCCTAGCCTCTAAATCGGGAGCTCACTAGAGTGCGGCCACTCTCTATGATAGGCCGTGACATACTAAGCCGGCAGGGGCGCCTGCCGCCCGAAGCCCTCCACCTCGTTACGTCACACCGCCCGAGGGCTCCTCCCCATTGGTCCATGATGTCACGTGACCCTATCTGGCCAATCGACAGCCGGCAGGCATCACGCTCCTTTGGCGGGAAGCAGAGCGCTTCGGCACCATCTTGTAACTCAAAAGGGCGTAAGCCACTTGTATAACCAAACTAAAACGGCAAATTCACTGCCATCACGATAACATTTCATACCTTCATATATATATATCAAAATGGTCCGTGAACATCAGAGAACATTCAGGTTGTAGAGATATAACTCTTGATGCCGGGACAGTAATGATATAGGGCTGGGACACCGTCACAGCTCCTAGTGTCCAGGTGAAGGAAATATACATACATATATATAATCTACTCATTATGCATAGAATTAAATACAAACATTCATACTTTTGGCTTTGTTCTTGCTTAGACTAGATTGACGAATATTAAGGCTGTGAACTGACAAACAACAAGAATGTTGACAGACCTACTTATGGTTATATTTGAATCAGGTTGATAGATTCCCTTAAGGTTAACACTCAATGCACTATGCCACTAACTTCAGGCTTGTAGGGGACGTGCTGATGACCACGGCGTTCCTGTCGTATGCGGGGCCCTTCAACCAAGAGTACCGCACCAAGATGACCAAAGCCTGGCGCTCCCTTTTCAACTCTCGCAGCATTCCCTATACTGGAGACCTCGACGTCACTACCTGGCTTATCGACAATGCTACTGTATGTTGATTTTATTTTACATTTAATTTAGTTTTCTGTGGGCTCCCACAGAAGCCGATGTATTAGTTTATATTATAATAGTTTGGCCTTATTAGTTTGGTGCCGTCAGTTCCTAGAGTTATATGCCTACCAAGGGCCACGAGCCAGAACCTGGCCCCATCAGAGAGGTCAAGGGAGCAATGCACATATGAGAACTTTAGATTTAGAGTTTGTTATGTCTGCCATAGACTGGGAAAGGCACCCAAAAAGGTAGGCGAACCAATACAAACCTCTAACTGGTTAAAACTGCGACCTACGTCCAAACAGTGCCCTAGAACTCCCCACAAGAAAACAAGGAAACAAACAATCGTCATCCAATTAACGCACCTGTCGGGGAGGGGGTGGGGGGTAAGGCATCTGAGCCCGCTCAGGCGGAAGTCCCCGGCTGCACCGCCACCAGTTCGTTGACTAATGTTCCGGTGTCCAGATGTCCTTTCTGGCCTCAAATTATTGTCTGGCTTTGGCGTTTGTGACTTTGCCATCTGTGTGGGGGGTTATGGCCAGATGTTCTTTAAGTTGTCTGGGCTGCATGCACTTAGGGCTATCTTCTATAGGTGCTCAGTCAGTACTTCCCTTGCGTGTCAGAATTATCTTCTCTGGAATGTTCGGGGTCTCACTTTCGTTTGAAAGTTTCATCGCTTGCTGGTGTTCTCGCCTTTAGGGTTTGTCCGCGGTCTTGGGCTTTCCGCCTTGCCCCATGTAGGGAGTGGGCTTTTGCTGGGTGGAGCGCACTGTGGCTGGCGCAACTTGCATCAGCGACAGCCGACGATTCTTTATGGAGACCAGTTGGTTTGTGTGTACTGCTTTGGGGACCTTTTTGTTTTCTTCGTTTTTTTGGCGCATATTCGCTACCTTGGCGGAGGTGGTCTGCCTAGCTTTCCATTACGCTATCCAAGGTTGTGCTTGTTCTCCTTTTCTGTTGCCACGAGGTTTCAGGCGGCTTCGGGAGTTGCCCCTTCCGACTTGGGGATGGAGGTTGAGCTCGATTTCCCCACCGAGGCTTCAGAATCTGCTGGGCAGATTCCTCTCTGTGTAGCTTTTCCCTGGGACACTGCCTTTTCTTCAAGGGTAGTGGGAGTGGATATGGGCTCTGTCCCAGAGCCTGTATCAGGTGGTTCCCAGGGGTGTGCTTGTAGTGTTTGGACACCTTTTGATCTTGCTTATGCCCTTGTGCTGTCTGGGCAGGGTTTGTTGTCGCAGGGCTGGGGGTTTTCGTATGCTCCATCTCTGTATGAAATTGAGGTGGGTGTTGCTCCCCCCCCCCCCCCACAATGGGTTTGTTTCCGGATGCCTTTGGGTTCCTCGGATATATCATTCCAGAGGTTTCTTCCTCTCGGATTTCTCATATCGAGGTTTACAGTTTCCTGGTTTATGTCTCGATAATGGATCCGTCTTGTTTTAAGTTCTTACGTCGGTCGCTGCATCTCTGACTTTCTCTTCAGGTTTTTCAGGGTTCAGTATCTTCACTTTCACTCGCTCGATGTGTTCATGTACGCCTTGTCTTTCGGTTGTGGTTTTGTGACTAGCGCTCATCAAGCCGGTGATGGTCGTTGGGCTCACAGCACGATGCGAGAGTTTGCGGAGGTGAGGCAGGCGATAAGATGTATTTGGTTGCCTCGGGATTCACCTCCATTGGACTGCTCTCCTGTAGTTCATTGTCTCAACTGGGAAAGGGGGGAAGAGATTCTCTGTGGTCCGCACTTTGGGGCTGGTCATTTCACTTCTGCTGTGTTCTTGGAGTTTAGCTCTCCACACCAATCACATTCAGGGGGGGGGTGTCCAACGTCCTAGCTGATGGCCTGTCTCACTTCATTTCTCTTCCTGTTTCAACGAAGTCGACGTTCGACGCCGCCTTCTTCCTTTGACTTTGTTGGATGTTCGGGCCTTTGCTCTCGGATGTCCCCGGAGGTGGATCTCTTTGCGTTGGCTTGGTCCCTGCGCCTCCATGAATAAGTGGCGCCATTCCCCAACAGGTCGAGTGTTCACTGCTTTCCGGCAAGACTGGTCGAGGTGGGGGTTCATGTATCTTCATCCCCTGATCCAGATCTTGCTTTGGGCTCTGGTGTGGCTCGAATCCTTTCGGGAAAGAATGGGTTCTCCTGGTGGCCGGCCTAACCTTGGTTTCAGATGCTACTTGCAAGTTTGAACATGTGTCCGAACTCCCAGTTGTTCTGCCATTTGTTTTGAGAGTTGTTCTGCCTTTTTCAGCAGGTTGGGCCAGGGAGGTACCTCGCTGGTTCGACTCATTCTTTCACTCTTTGTTTCTGTTTTTTTCTTTATGCAGGTGTATCGCTATTTGTACGGTGATCAGGTGACTTCAATGATAGTGTCCCACCTGAGGTCTTCCTCTCAGTGACAGCATGAAGTCTCCTGGCAATCTTTTTGCCATTTCCTTTCCCTTTTTAGGGTTTTGTTGGTGTCTGCTCCAGTTGTTTTGTCTTTTCTTTCTTGGCTATTTCAGGACAAGTGAATTATGCCAAATACTGTCGCTTCTTATTGTGCGGCACTGGCGGAGTTGCTCCAGCTTGCATTCGGGGTTCATACACTGCCCAAGCCTTCTTGTCTTTGGACTGGGTGCTCTCATTTCTCTCTTCTCGGTTTGTAGTTGCCTCTTCGGTCCGTGATTATTTTCTTACGGCCATGTTCTTGTTGGCTTTAGTCTCTGGAGGATTGGGTTGGGGGAGCTTCATACTCTTCTCCAATGCAGGGGCTTGTGGGCTTTTGGTCCTGGGGGATCGATTTCTTCGTTTGCAGCCTTCTCCTTCTTTTCTGACGAAGAATGAGACAGCTTGTTTGCAGAGGCGTCCATGGGTTGTTGATGCTTGGTTGGTTCGTCCGGGCAAGCATCATGTGTTGTGTCCGGTTGTGACTTTACGTCACTACCTGTGCGCTACTGCTTCAGCGACAGGGTACGCACTCTAGGTTGACCAGGTTTCCCTGTTAAAGGGTTCCTGACTCTCAGGTTGTCTACAGGGTTATTAAGTCTAGCCAGTCTGCGGTCTACCCTCGTGCCCATGATGTGAGGAAGACTGCAGCTCTTGCTACTGTCCTTGGTAATATGTGTTGGATCGAAATACGGGATAGGGGGTTTTGGAAATCGAACAGGGACCTGGCCGCCAGATATCTTGTCAATGTTCCAGGCACTTTGCGGCCTTGTGTTGCTTTGGGGCGTCTGTCGTGGCCAGTTGTCTCCGTTGTTAGAGCTCCAGTGCTGCCGCCTCCCAGGTAAGTCTCTGTTATTACTTATCTGTGGGTAATTAGCTTCAGGGAGCCGACGGGGCTCTCAGAAAACCAGCGGTGAATGTAATTAAACGCCATTTTCTGGGTGAACCCGGAGGCTCTCTGACACAAATCCTCCCTCCCTTGGCGGTTTGTCATCATTCTATGAACTGAGGGTGGTGCGGCCAGATCACCTGAGCGGGCTCCCATCCCCCTGTCGGGGGAGGTGAGGGGGAGGGGGCACTAATTGGATGACGATTGCTTGCCATTTTTTCTTTGGGGGGGGGGAGTTCTTTGACTCTGTTTGGATGTAAGTCGCAATTTTAACTAGTTTGGGGTTTATATTAGTTTAACTAGTTTGGGGTTTATATTTACAATACAATACAATTTTATTTAGGTAAGGTACATACATACAATAAATATTTACAAGGATTGTTTAACTTATAGGTATAGCTAGTACATACAATGCCTAAAGCCACTATTACGCAAAGCGTTTCGGGCATATATTAGTTCGCTTACCTCTCTGGGTGCCTTCTCTAGTCATTGGCAGACATTACAAACTCTAAATGTAGAGTGCTCTTATAGCCATTGCTCCCTGTGCCTCTCAGAGAGGAGCCAGGTTCTGGTTCATGGGTCCTCGGTAGGCACAGAACTCCAGAAACTGATGGCACCAAACAAATATGGCACATGTCAGTTTGTTAGCTTTGGGAGCCTCCAGGACTCACCCAGAAATGGCGTTTCATTACATTCAACGCTGTTTTTTCCTAAATACGTGTAAGTAAATATCTTAGTGGCTTCACTAACAAATCCTTCTTCACTAATCCATTCACTATTGATTGTTTTTACGGTACAGGTATCGGAGTGGAACCTGCAGGGTTTGCCAAACGACGAGCTCAGCATCCAGAACGGACTCATTGTTAGCAAAGCCTCCTGCTATCCTCTCCTCATCGACCCTCAAGGCCAGGGTAAAATATGGATCAAGAACAGAGAGGCTATGAATGAGCTGCAGGTCAGTCACAACAATAGAAATACTTTACAGAAAGGGATTAACATAGCAAATGAATAGTAAGAATAAGTCCAATTTCGATGGCATGTATTCCGCTGCTTTTAATGCAATACAAATCATTAATGAAGCCTTCAAGCTAGGCAAATCGTGCATATTGTTTAAGAAAACAAATTACTAAAAGATATTTAGGTAACAATTGCAGAATAATTTTAGACACCAACGTTTTTTAAATGCAGAAAAAAGGTTACGAGCAGGGTATGATGAGACGTTTGATTGTTAATTTAGGCATGCATACAAGGTTGATATATATGAAGTCGACTAATTTGTGTGATGATATGATGATGATATATAGTTGATATCTACAAACACCAAAATGCCTTTGTTAATTACAAGTCTTTTGATCTTGTGCGTAATAATTCAATCCGTTCTCGCTATAATATAGTACCTATATACCTAAAGGCTCATAGTTCCTATGCTGTTAATATTCATAGTTCCTCTGTGGTAGATTTCTAGTTATTACCTATCACCAGGTACCAACCCTTCCTCATGTACCATAGTATGTCCCATAGTACCCATCCCATGCCCATAGACAGCAGAATAGTCGGAGTGCTCCAATTTTAATGATAATTGTATTTCTCCAGTCCCAGTAAATTGTGAAATTTGCGAATTATTTTCCATGCTATTTGAATATCATGGATCGGCTACATCCTGGAGAAAAAAAATACACAACGTATTATGCAACGAATGTTCAACATTCTCAAATAATCTCACGGAACACATGTGTCAACTAAAATGTCTACTATGTGCTGTAGAAGCACAAACTCTTGTAATAATTGTAATATGTATGTGCAATATATTTATCTTTAATTTTTTTTTTTTCTTTTTTTTTTTTGGGGCCAATATTTTTTTCTCGTTTGTTATCAAGGGATTTGCATGAAACTTGCACACCTTGCTCAATGGATGCCTATCTGCAAGGGTGCCAATTATGAACGAAATCTGTCGAAGTCAAGCTCAGCTACAGGTGGCCGAACTTGGATCTTTATTTTACTCTGGAAAGTAATTTACACCTTCAAATTACTTCAGAGCTTTCATTTATTAATCAATTTACATGCAAATTACACCTTATATGTAGCGTTTGTGCTTCTACAGAATCTAGTAGACATTTTAGTCCAAAGTCTATTTGTTGATTTTATAAAAATTTATAAATATCCCTTAAATACACTTACATCGCATCAGGCTTGGATACCCATGTGCATAGGAAATCCCCTTACAGGTTCCAGAAGATGAGAGGAAATGTCAGCATACTCATCCAGTGGGTGGTAGTAAACCACTTAACATTTCATGCACTTTCCATCACGTGGGAAGTAGCGGAACTTATATAAAACCTTCAGCTGCAGTTGATTCCATACCCCAACCCGTAAGCTGTAGTTGACTCCATACCCCAACCCGTGAGCTGTAGTTGACCCCATACCCCAACCCGTGAGCTGTAGTTGACCCCCATCCAATAAGCTGTAGTTGACCCCATACCCCAACCCGTGAACTGTAGTTGACCCCCATCCAATAAGCTGTAGTTGACCCCCGTGATGTGCCTTCCTTTTACAGATCTCCTCGCTAAACCACAAGTACTTCCGAACCCACCTGGAGGACTCGCTCTCTCTGGGCCGACCGCTCCTCATCGAGGACGTCGAGGAGGAGCTCGACCCCGTCCTCGACAACCTGTTAGAGAGAAATTTTATCAAATCTGGCTCCATCTTAAAGGTATACCTTTAATAAATTTTTCCTACTTTTCCTTCTTCCTCTAGAGCAAAGAAGATTTAAATTGTCATATGTACATGTTATTTGAACATATCTACTAGTGATAAATAAAATTCAAACTGAAACTCACAATGGCATTACACAGAATATGACTGATGAAGAGTTATGTAGTTTTGGGGCATCCGAAAACTCTACCAGGGTCCCACCTGAGTCTTAAAAACATTAAATATTGTGAAGTGTGAGGTAGAGATGGTGTTGGCAGGTGGTGGTGGGGGACAAGGAGTGCGACGTGATGCCGGGCTTCATGCTCTACATCACCACCAAACTCTCCAACCCTGCCTACGCCCCTGAGGTCTCTGCCAAGACGGCCATCATTGACTTCACCGTTACAGTCTACGGTCTCGAAGACCAGCTCCTGGGTAAGGAAGGGACATCTTAATCAGGCATCTCTATGCCTATATATGCTTCCTTGTGATATATGTCGCCCTGTTGCACTATTAGAGTAGAGGGACCCACCTTAGTTCATAAACATTTCCATTTAATCTGAGGAACAGCTGTGCCTTATGCTGTTATCATATTTACAGGTGTAATATCCTGTATAATATATTAGCTCATACCTCTTTTGTAAAGTATTATTACTATAACTATTATTATTTTCGTTATTATTATTACTACGGCTTTTACTCTTATTTATCGCACAATTGTTATTGAAATTAACTTTTCACAAGCATTATATATAGAACAGAATTGCATAGCTATCATATAGTAACTCACTGCAGGATGAGACCAAATGCGTTATTATACAAAATGAAGCTACCATTCATGACGTAATCTAAGGTAAAACTGAGCAAATTACACCACATCCTGTCTTGCTTGACAGGTCGAGTGATCAGGACGGAAAAGAGCGAGCTGGAGAATGAGAGAGTGGCACTTATCGAGGAGGTGATGGAGAATAAGAGGAGGATGAAGGAGCTGGAGGACAACCTCCTCTTCCGTCTCACTTCCGTCCAGGTAACAGACAAGCAGTTTCTTGGACGGGTGAGGGAGAAATGTATCGTAGGGCCCAAACTATCTTGAGGTTATCTTGAGATGATTTCGGGGCCTTTTAGTGTCCCCGCGGCCCGGTCCTCGACCAGGCCTCCACCCCCAGGAAGCAGCCCGTGACAGCTGACTAACTCCCAGGTACCTATTTACTGCTAGGTAACAGGGGCATTCAGGGTGAAAGAAACTTTGCCCATTTGTTTTTGCCTCGTGCGGGAATCGAACCCGCGCCACAGAATTACGAGTCCTGCGCGCTATCCACCAGGCTACCAGGCCCCTTGTCTGCTTTTGATATTGATTTCATTCTCACGTTATGTGGTAAAAGTGTGTCAGGTATGTTGGTATATAACCCTCGTGCTCAACTTGCTGCTTCATTAAGTCTCCTACAACACATACACAATCTTTAAATTAAATACAGAGTTGGCGACGGACTGCCATCTTGGTGTTCGGGTTGAACGTTCCTGGCTGGGCATTCTTTCCTCACTTCAAGGGTACCTCATGTTTGAATTCAGCTGGCTTCTTTGGGCTAGTACTCACCTAGTTGTGCTTGCAGGGGTTGGACTTAGCTTTTTGGTTCTTTTTTTTCAGGGATATTCCTGCGCGGGCCCCAACCCTCCGACTGGCCCACTAAGTGTTGCTTGTTTCTGTTTTACTTTGGCGGAGTATGAGTATTTATGACTCGTATGGTCGCATCAGTAAGATTTTGCCATATGTGTTTAACAACTTCTTCTGCTCTGTTGAATCTAAGTTGAATTCTTAATGGGTTTGTAACTGTGCACGGTGTTAGATAATGTTCCAGTGGTCTGTCGGGCATTTCTCCACAGTGCTGACATTTCCTCTCATCTTCCGGACGGTGTAAGTCTATTTCCCATGCACATGGGTATCCAAGCCTGATGCGATATAAGTGTACTTCTGTTGCTCTACTGTTCCCTTTCATCAAACTAAGTGGTTCGTAGTTGGTTGAATTCTTGTACCAACCCGCAGATCCTGATGTTGCAACTGCTGTGTTGTGGTCACTGTACATCTTTTGCATTGCTCTGTTTCTAATTACTTTCTTAATCTGTGATAGACTCTGTGGTATGTAAATGTCTACATTTCTCCTCTTAGTAGCAAGTTTTGCAGCTTCGTCTGCAATGTCATTTCCTATTATTCCCACATGACTTGGCACCCAGTTGATAAGTACCCATCGGCCTTGTCGTTTGAATGTTTGCATTAATGATATGACATTTGTGATCAGATGTATGTTATCACATATGTGTTCTTGTTGTAATGTTTCAGTGGCGGTTCTCGAAGTTGTATGTATGATAACATGTTGTCGGTGTTCAGCAAGAGCATGTTCCAAAGCCTTTTAAATGGCTAGCATCTCCGTTTGTAAAGTTGAACACCCATTTGAGAGCCTCCAACTATTTACAGAGTTTCCTGCTTTAACTGCAGCTCCGGTTTCTTGTCCCTGCTGGTTTACTGATCCATCTGTGAAGTAAGTGAAGCTGTCGGATGCCATGTTTGCTTCTATATGCATCTGTGCAATGTTACTTAGCAGATGAGGATTTGTCTGGTTCTTTTTTCCTTCAAGAACCATAATCTTAAAGTCTGCTGGTGGAAATTCCCAAGGGGCTTGTATAACAAAGTCTGCATGTATTTCGTCGACACCCTTCTCAGTGACTGTGTTTGTTATATCGAATGTATTGATGGTGTTTATCGCACAATGGGTCCAACTGTTGCTATTGGAGGCTCTTCTGTCCAGAGTTAGTGCTCCAGTGATTATATCTTTAAGTGAACTGATTCTAGGTCTAGTCAAAATCTTGGTCATTTGGTCTGGTGTGTGCTCATTGTAGTTACCCGGGGAACACTTACTGTGTGAGTACTGCAGTTACTCAAACACCAGTGGAGGTCAGAGCCTCCCTAATGGCTGCCGTACGCTGCCCTAAAGCGAGATGCTAAGAGAATATTCTCACCTTCAGAAGACCTTCCTCTTGTGGTACCTCATTCCTAGTTTGTGGTTGTCCTAATTCAGTCAATATCAGGTCAGTGTGTGTTTACGAATCCATGTACCTTAAGTAAATCAATCCAGGCTTCGGTATTGTGGAGGCTCTGTTGCATGTCCGGCTATCAGACACTACCAAGTTGCGGAACTGGTCTGTCAGGTGCCGACAAGTATTGTCACAGGAGGAGGAGTCTCGGGACTGGTATAGGAAGATCGGGCAATTGACCCGACCCTTAATGACATACAAGCCACTCTGAAGGTGTTAGAGGGTGCTTCAGTGGGATTACTGGAAGTTACCAAGATTCACGGAACAGCAGGGCCGACATCCATTGTTTATGAGTTCGACGGGCCCCTCCCTGACTGTGTGATGTTATACGGTACCTGATATCAGGTCCAGCCATACAATTTTCTTGTGTTACGGTGCTATGCTTGCCATTTATTGGGCCATAGTCACGTCACCTGCCATAATGCAGCATGCTGTGCAAACTTCGGCAACATAGGTCATACAGATAGAGATATTGGAGGGTGATCTGCCAGACCTCGCTGCCTTTTATGCCATGGCCCTCACACAGTCACGTCCAAGAGATGCCCAGTATACCTTGAGGCCCTACAGTTGAATATCAATCAAAAAACAGTGGGAACCCTTTGACAAGAGCTGTTCCAGGGGTTAAGTGCCCTCAATCAGCTTACTGTTTCTTCTCACCTCCAGGATCCCTCTGGTCGGGTTTTTCCTCAGGTAGTCTAGCAGACAGACGCTCTTGCCTGTCCCAGCCATATGCCTCATATGTTTAGGCTACTAAAAGATTTTTCCTCCTGGGTCGCCTCGACATCGACGAACTCTACCACGGATACAGACATGAACGCTCAGTCCCGACCAGAGACCCGACACTCGGCACTCTCCTAACTCATCCAGTTAGGAGGGCAGGGTAGCCAGCACCAATGTCATTGACACACCCGTCGATCAGGAGGTTCTGCTCCATCGGATAGCCCTGATGAGTGCTATATATTTTCTCCATCGGATAGCCCTGATGAGTGCTATATATTTTCTCCATCGGATAGCCCTGATGAGTGCTATATATTTTCTCCATCGGAAAGCCCTGATAAATGCTATATATTTTCTCCATCGGATAGCCCTGATGAGTGCTATATATTTTCTCCATCGGAAAGCTTAGGTGCTTTCGTAGGTGATTGTGACACCGGTAGAATATGAGACCCAGAGTGAAGCACCTGCTGGTCGCAGGCCCTGGCAAGAGGCTTAGCAAGCTATCGCTGCTTCTGTTAGGCAAAGAGGAGTTTTGTTCTACAGCCTTTGGACTGGCTGTGATTAATACCCTGCATTTTGCTTACCTTCTATGAGGGTTTTATTGCTTTTTCTGTTGGTTCTTATTTTGGAGATGTCTGTCCACAAGGTAGAAAGCTAGTTGCTGTATATCAGGGATAATGGCACCCCATCCTGATAATACTGTGGTGTTTTGGAATACCCGTTACCTTTTCAAGAAGATGCAATTCCTTCACAATTTTCTCGCTAGCTCATCACCGTTGGTCATGGGACTCTGTGAGACTTGGCTTACTGACGATCTTTCCTTCACGGTACCGGGGTATTACACAGCCCTGTTTCAGTTTCTCCTTGATTCCCCAGACCTCTCCTTACTTACGCCACAAGGTTTGGGAACCTGGATAGACCCACTCAGTGGGCACACTTCCATGCTTGTTCTTTGCCTCCTTTCTTTACGATGGCACAAATATGGATCGGGCCATATCTGGGTAATGATCACCTACCCAACATCATTTCCTTCAGGGGCACTGTTCGTCCCTTCTCTGAGCACGTAGAGATCCAAGTAGGTGTTCTCAGAGGATGGGTAGCTTGGCTATGAGACAGATGACTGGTCGACCCTTTCCCCAGTTACTGGGATCTGCATGGATCGTTGGATGCTCTCTCCGAGTCCCTCTTGAGTAAAGGCTCTCAGCACTTCAAGAGGACTAGTGGCAAGATCTCCAGTGAGGCACCGTGATCCACCACTGAATGCCAGCAGGCAGTGCTGGATCGGCGCTGTGCATGCAAGTCATGGCGACACCACCCCACCCTATTGCTGGGGCAGACTTTCCTCAGGGTGGATGCCAGTGTAAGCAGGTGGTCCTCCTTGCCAAAACTGGAGGATCGGCTGTAATAAGGGGAATAAATATTAAAGTATAGTGGATCCCCACTCACACTGGTTTGCAGGAATATAATAAAGCTGATGCCCTTGCTAAGACTGCAGTTAATAAAGGCAATATTACACGGAATTTGGAGTTATCAAATAAAAGTGTGACCTTTAAGGGTCTGGTCTGACCCTTAAAAGTGTCACTAGACAGAACTCTTACATGAATTTGAAGAAGCGGAACAGTGGAAACTGGAACTACCAGGTCAATTGTTCATCACAATGAAATGTCATACAAAACATGTTTATGGGGATAAGTAACAAAATCAACATACTACCAGACGTTGTCGCAGCTCAAATAAGACTTGGCTACAAGTATCTCTGGCAGTTTGGCTTGTGTAAGTGTCAAGATGAAGTAAAGTGTAAAGTGTGAGAACAAAGACAAGGACACTCACTTGAGAATTATATCTTAACTAATAAAATTGAGCCATTTAGAGATGAATGCAAACTCACGCTGTAAGAAATGGCAAACCATATTATTACTAAGAATACAAATATCTGAAATACTTGTACTGTATCCATATTTCGCTTCCCGTAGATAAATTACATATGAGATTAAGACGCAGGTAGTAAAGACCAATAATAACAAACTGCAGGTTTCATTTGATCCTGTAATATCTATAATTCCGTGAATAAACCAATAATATATTTGTGAATAGACTTACATAAGTGTGTAATGATTAACTGTAAATACAAAGTTACTGAAGTGGAACAATCTCCCTTACTAGCTGACAGTATAATTATTAGGTTTGTCGGATAGATGTAATTGTTATTGTAATAATGTCCATTGACGTCTTAAAAAAAGGACCTTTTGTGCCCTCTGTAATCCTTTTTAGCGCTACAGCTCACAGGATAAGTATGGTGTGCACAATAAACTTGTCGCCTCCGAAGGCAATAATCAAATCATTCTTGTCATTGTTGGGTAGGTGACTGAGTGTGGATATGGTGAATTTGTGTTGATTAAACACTTGTACAGACAGATCACTAACCTACCACCAGGGCTCGCTAGTGGACGACGAGGACCTGATCATAGTGCTTCAGGACACCAAGCTGACAGCACAGGACGTGAGCACAAAGCTTCATGTGGCCTCTGAGACTGAGCGCAAGATAAACATCGCTCGCGAGGAGTACCGGCCCGTTGCCACTCGTGGGTCCATACTATACTTCCTCATCACTGACATGGCAGCCGTCTCCTGCATGTATCAGACCTCCCTCAGGCAGTTTCTCATCCTCTTCGACATGTCCATGATCAGGTAACGACACTACTTTTCACAATGAACGTGATTTTCACAAAATTCAATTGGTGTCTCCTATAGTGGGTAGTGAACCTCCGAGTATTATCACTAGTTTAGTTCCTCCTACAGTGACTAGTGAGTCTCTCAGGAAAGTTCGCGTGTATAACTACTACTATTATACCTCCATAGCTAAAACAGCTAAGTATTAGCATAAAGACTTACCATTAATGTATAATTGTAAATACATTGTTATTGAAACACAAAACCTCTGCAACTAGCTGACATTATAATTATAAAGTTTTCAGGATAGATGTAATTGTTTAAGTAATATTCCCCTTTGAGTTCTGATAAAGACCTTGTGTTCTCTGTATTACTTTTTTGCGCTAGTGCTCAAAGGATGAGTATAGGGTGCACGATAAACTAGCCGCCTCCGACGGCAACAATCAATATAACGACGGAGCCTCCTCCCACAGGTCTGACCGAAGCAACTCTCCCAAGACAAGGATCGGCAACATCATCAGGTACCTGACCCACCAGGTGTGGAAGAACACCTGCCGGGGCTTTTACGAGCGCCACAAGTTCCTCTTCACGCTGCTCCTCGCCATGAAGATCGACCTACAGTGTGGCCACGTCTCTCATGAAGAGTTCATGAAGTTTATTAAAGTGAGAATATTCCCTGTAAAGTTCTAAATGATCTTAAATGTAATTAAGGGACTGTTGTTATTATGAAATATTATTGAAGATCTTTGTGTGATTCTCAATTATATATTACTGATATAATTATATATCAGTATTTGCACAAACAAAATTGCAGGTCTTTCTGACTACTACGTCTTTGGCAAATTTATCAAGATCTTGGTTAATCTCCACTTGAGATAGGCACACAATTGTCTTTCATTGTTGATTGAGGCAGGGCGGTTAAAGACCTCATCGAAGTGTTCGACCCATCTGTCCAAGATCTTTTTCTTTGTCAGTAGTTGAGTCCCATGCGCATGGAGGAGGGAAGCAGAACCTCCATCCTCAGGCTCGAAGGCTATAAATGGAACACAGCCTATAAATGGTTGTGGTCTATTTACAGCCTTCAGGGCATTATAGAAACTCTTGCAGGCGATGAGTCACAATAACGTGGCTGAAGTATGTTGACCAGACCACACACTAAAAGTTGAAGGGACGACGACGTTTCGGTCCGTCCTGGACCATTCTCAAGTCGATTGTGAGAATGGTCCAGGACGGACCGAAACGTCGTCGTCCCTTCAACTTTTAGTGTGTGGTCTGGTCAACATAGAAACTCTTGATGTCGTGACTGTCTGCATAACCTTGGATTTCATTGGCCTTCTTGACAAACCATGCATCCTACATGTCAGAGTTTTCTTTGCACCATTTTCCAGACACTGACAAATCAGTGGGATGCCCTTGCAGCCCTGGCATCCAATTTACATCCCCCCCAAAAAAAGTCCAGCTGGAACAGCCCACTAGTGGAGAAAATAATTAATGCCGTGCTGAATGTTGAAATATTAAATAAGGAGAAAGCCTGCATCTGAGTGGTGGGTAACCCCCATGCCAGGGACTTTCTTTCTGCAGAACCCATGTTTGTACAGGCACACTTCTAGATTAAGAAACCTTCTGTGTAGCAGTGACCTTCCGCCTTAGTGTCTTAATTCACGCTGTATTTCACAAGTGTATTTGCAACAAGGTGGTAGGAGACCTATATGCATTGCTCGGGATGTACTGTGGAAGTTCCAAGGTATGATATGCAAGATAACGAAGTTAATGGCATCACTATGAGGAGCCTTGCCTCAGCACAGCGCCCAGCAGAAAGAATCTCGTATCCATATGGTCCAAAACCTGGACGATCCCATGCCTCGCCCAAATGGCACCACAATATACCTCCTGGAAGAGGGGTAAACTGCTTGTGTAGGACTTCACATGTGTTTCCACTCTCACTGACACCTTCATACATTTAGGTGCTGATCTAGCAGGTAATGTGGCCAACCACATGGAGACAGCAAAATCGAACAAGTACAAGCAACTGAAAAGTCAGCACGCCTATGGAATATTCTGGAAAGTCAGCACGCCTATGGAATATTCTGGAAAGTCAGCACGCCTATGGAATATTCTGGAAAGTCAGCACGCCTATGGAATATTCTGGAAAGTCAGCACGCCTATGGAATATTCTGGAAAGTCAGCACGCCTATGGAATATTCTGGAAAGTCAGCACGCCTATGGAATATTCTGGAAAGTCAGCACGCCTATGGAATATTCTGGAAAGTCAGCACGCCTATGGAATATTCTGGAAAGTCAGCACGCCTATGGAATATTCTGGAAAGTCAGCACGCCTATGGAATATTCTGGAAAGTCAGCACGCCTATGGAATATTCTGGAAAGTCAGCACGCCTATGGAATATTCTGGAAAGTCAGCACGCCTATGGAATATTCTTCGTCACTGCTCATAAAGCAGGAGAGAGAGTCCTGAAAATTATTAACAGAAGTGTGACTCCTACTGACATCAACCAAAAGACTGAAGTAAAACTATGCCATAAGAGCAAGAAGACCACCAACTTGCTCATGAAAAACTCTTCTGACACCAAACAAAGCATCGTTGATTGAGTCAAATGTTGTCGATGCCTTCACATGCCCAAGTGGGGTCTGTCAGCCCAAACCAACTCAATATATAGGCAAGACAACATCTATTTCAAGACAACTAACTATGCACAAACAGCAAGGCCCTATCAAGGAGCATTTGGTTTCTACACATAATCAGATCATCACCAGAGATATCCTGATAAACAACAACAAAAATAATCGATAAATACAACGACAATAGAAGACTGGACATTGGTGAGGCATTACAGTATACATCCAGGAAACTTAGCGAACTATCAACAGCCAACTAACACCAAAATACTTTCCCGTCTTCGAAAACAAGACTAAACATACGACAAACTGACCGAGCCATCATGGAAACATAGGAGATTAGTAAACTGCAATAGGCTATTGGCAAGTAAGTGAAGTGCTTCACCTTCACCTGATCCCTGGCTTGATTCGGCAGCCCAAAGACTTGTAACCAGTGGAACTCTGACTTTGATAATGTTGAGAAGGTTCAACGTCCTTCTCCAGCGAAGAAAAACATAAGAAAAATAGGAGATTCGTAATCGAATCCCACCCTTTCGGTCATATTCATTAATAAAATCACAAGGATTCAATATATGAATCATTCATTGTATGACATTAAAAACTCAATAATATGTCTTAAAGAATGACTGTAACGGGGGAGAAGAACAGTATGTTTTTGAGAGAGACGCAGATGACAATGTTACTGCTCTCTACAGTGTCAACTTTTATGGTTATGGGGCTCAAGACTGAGAAACTATCCTTTTCTCTTCCCAGCACTCCTCTACCCTCGTATTGAAGTCAGCAGTTAACCATTATGTGCTCTAGTAAAAACACAGGGATCTCATCAACTCCCCTGAGGACTCACTAGTACTCTGTCCCCAGTGGGTGGGAGGTAGATCGTTAGATGTCAAGGTGATTATATGTAACAATCCTGGTCACCTTGTGACGTCAGTGATCATCAGGGTAATCACCTACGACCAGTACCAAAGGAAAAATCTTCAGCTCTCCGCGCTCCTCCACAGTAGCACTCCTAAATATGAGGCTACGCTCCCCGATATCTCCAAGTTTCTCTTTCCTCACTCAGTTGGTAATATATAATTACTTGGGTTTTCACATATAGATCAGACGGGGCATCAATTGGAAAATAGGCCAACGGGATCACAGCGTTTATAATTAAAAAAATATTATGAAAAGATATTAATTTTGAAATGGTAACTAGCCTCTGCTAGCCTCATTTGATTTTAAAGCAAACGGTCACTCTCGACCTTCAATAAACCAATGTTAATTTACTCGGTTGATGTAATGTTACTTTACTCAGTTTATATAATATTACTTAACTCAGTTAATATAATGTTACTTAACTCAGTTAATATAATGTTACTTTACTCAATTTATATAATGTTACTTTACTCAGTTAATATAATGTTACTTTACTCAGTTTATATCATGTTACTTTACTCAGTTGAAATGATGTTACTTTACTCAGTTGATATAATATTATTTAACTCAGTTAATATAATGTTACTTTACTCAGTTGATATAATGTTACTTTACTCAGTTTATATAATGTTACTTTACTCAGTTGATATAATGTTACTTTACTCAGTTTATATAATGTTACTTTACTCGGTTGAAATAGTGTTACTTTACCCAGTCGATATAATGTTACTTCACTCAGTTTATATAATGTTATTTTACTCAGTTGATATAATGTTACTCTACTCAGTTTATATAATGTTACTTTACTAAGTTGATTTAATGTAACTTTACTCAGTTAATATAATAATAAAAATGTGTTTTGATTCGAACTTGTATTGCCGGCACGCTAAGACTTAACATTAGCTTACAAGGTGCTGCCTCTTGCAGGGCGGGGCGTCGCTGGATCTGAAGACGGTGCAGCCCAAGCCCTTCCGCTGGATCCTAGACATAACTTGGCTCAACCTGGTGGAGCTGAGTAAGCTGCCCCAGTTCAACAACATCCTCGACCAGATCGCCGAGAACGAGAAGGACTGGAGGCTCTGGTTCGAGAAGGATAAGCCAGAGGAGGTGAAAACTAGTCTTGTGTTTTATTTCAGAGTAACATTAAATGTAAATTGTTGGGTCAATGTGTGAATTCTCCTGCTTTGTTGTTGTTGAACACTGGTCATGCTTTGTTGTTGCTGAACACTAGTCATGCTCTGTTGTTGTTGAACACTAGTCATGCTCTGTTGTTGCTGAACACTAGTCATGCTTTGTTGTTGTTGAACACTAGTCATGTTCTGTTGTTGTTGAACACTAGTCATGCTCTGTTGTTGCTGAACACTAGTCATGCTCTGTTGTTGTTGAACACTGGTCATGTTCTGTTCTTGATGAACACTAGTCATGCTCTGTTGTTGTTGAACACTGGTCATGTTCTGTTGTTGTTGAACACTGGTCATGCTCTGTTCTTGATGAACACTGGTCATGCTCTGTTGTTGTTGAACACTAGTCATGCTCTGTTCTTGATGAACACTGGTCATGCTCTGTTGTTGCTGAACACTGGTCATGTTCTGTTGTTGTTGAACACTAGTCATGCTCTGTTGTTGTTGTTGAACACTAGTCATGCTCTGTTGTTGTTGAACACTAGTCATGCTCTGTTGTTGCTGAACACTGGTCATGTTCTGTTGTTGTTGAACACTAGTCATGCTCTGTTGTTGTTTAACAATAGTCATGCTCTGTTGTTGCTGAACACTGTCTTTAGAACTGCCTTTAGAAACTTGTGTAAGGAATTGTTCAGGACCATGTATACCACTTATGTCAGACCAATCCTGGAATATGCAGCTCCAGCCTGGAGTCCATACCCAGTTAAATACAAAACAAAGTTAGAGAAGATTCAGCGGTATGCTACCAGGCTCGTCCCGGAACTGAGAGGAATGAGCTACGAGGAAAGGCTAAAGGAGCTATACCTCACGTCCCTGGAAAACAGAAGAGTAAGGGGAGACATGATAACCACATACTAAATTCTCAGGGGAATTGACAGTGTGGGCAAAGACAAACTCTTCAGCACGGGTGGGACACTAACAAGGGGATACAGGTGGAAACTTATTACCCAGATGAGCCACAGAGACCTTAAAAAGAATTTTTTCATTGTCAGAGTAGTTAATAAATGGAATGCACTAGTCAGTGATGTGGTGGAGGCTGACTCCATACACAGTTTCAAATGTAGATATGATAGAGCCCAGTAGGCTCAGGAATCTGTACACCTGTTGATTGACAGTTGAGAAGCGGGACCAATGAGACAAAGCTCAACCCCCGCCTGCACAATTAGGTGAGTACTGATCATGCTCTCCTGTTGTTGAACACAAGTCAAGCTCTATTGTTGCTGAACACTGGTCATGTTCTGTTGTTGCTGAACACTGGTCATGTTCTGTTGTTGTTGAACACTGGTCATGCTCTGTCACTCAACACTATAGTCATGCTCTGTCACTGAACACTATAGTCATGCTCAGTCACTGAACTCTATAGTCATGCTCTGTCACTGAACACTATAGTCATGCTCTGTCACTGAACACTATAGTCATGCTCTGTCACTGAACACTATAGTCATGCTCTGTCACTGAACACTATAGTCATGCTCTGTCACTGAACACTATAGTCATGCTCTGTCACTGAACTCTATAGTCATGCTCAGTCACTGAACTCTATAGTCATGCTCTGTCACTCAACACTATAGTCATGCTCAGTCACTGAACACTATAGTCATGCTCTGTCACTGAACACTATAGTCATGCTCTGTCACTGAACACTATAGTCATGCTCAGTCACTGAACTCTATAGTCATGCTCTCTCACTGAACACTATAGTCATGCTCTCTCACTGAACTCTATAGTCATGCTCTCTCACTGAAAACTATAGTCATGCTCTCTCACTGAACACTATAGTCATGCTCTCTCACTGAACACTATAGTCATGCTCTCTCACTGAACACTATAGTCATGCTCAGTCACTGAACACTATAGTCATGCTCTCTCACTGAACACTATAGTCATGCTCTCTCACTGAACACTATAGTCATGCTCTCTCACTGAACACTATAGTCATGCTCAGTCACTGAACACTATAGTCATGCTCTGTCACTGAACACTATAGTCATGCTCTCTCACTGAACTCTATAGTCATGCTCTCCCACAACGTTTACTTTAAATCGAAAGAAATATTCAAATTTCTCATGTTTATATATGAAAAAAGTTATTGAAGCTCTATCTAGCCATCATGTAACACAAAAAAATTAAAAGCTGGCATGAAAAGGTACTGTTTTAGGAGGAGAAGATCTGTGTAATTAACGACCATGGGATATAAAGTTATGCCATGAAACCTAATGATAAAATACAGAAATTCTCTAGTATGCGTTCACCACCAAGATGCCACTGTCACGTGTTCCCCACCAAGATGCCACTGTCACGTGTGCTCTACCAAGATGCCACTGTCACGTGTGCTCTACCAAGATGCCACAATCATGTGTGTGATATTGAAAATATTTTTGAGCTTCAATTCTCTTAGCATTGAGCTAAGATGCATATATGTATATATATATATATATATATATATATATATATATATATATATATATATATATATATATATATATATATATATATATATATATATATATATGCATAAATTGATGTATGTCAAAATTCTCATAAATTGTGTATGACCTAAAATAAGTTATTACTGGGCAATAACTTCTCTGGATAATGTCAGTTGTTTCCACCTCAACACAGAACAAGTGAAGAACAAAAATTGTTCAATTATATCTCCTTAAATTGAGGTGCAGAGACTAAATCAAAATACTTTAAGGATGTATCGAGTCAGTATATTTAAGTAGTAGAGAGTACCTTGGTAGAGAGTAGGGTTTAAAATTTTAACTGATTAAAAAACTGAGTAAAATATTATTAATTCAATTTTAGAGTAGTTGAATGAGTAATTCAATTACTCATCAACATATATTAATCTTTCCTGTGACTAGAAAGTCGGGCAGGAGGGTCGCGAAGCCATTGCTTATCGTGACTCTCATAAACAGTAACGTATATGATGATTTACACCGTTGATAACTGCTCACCGGTGTTCGGGTCCATGTTTAACAAACTCAACTCCGATCCATTATGCTTAAAGATAATTAAATCTCCGTTTCCAGTTGATTAGTTTAATCAGGTCAGTTTACATTAGATGAGGGAGAGGAGGCTGTGTATGAGGTGGTCATGAGAAGTAAACTACTACAAGACGCGTGTGAGTGTTCACGCCTCGAGTCTATACACTCACTAATGAATATAATAAGAGTAATCATCAACTGACGATTTGATGTTAATAATCAATTACCTGGCAAGTGTTGTATGAGGTGTAGTGCATCCCAGAGTGTGAGGGAGGCCTGGCGCAGCCGTACTGTGTGTGGAGGCTCTTGGCCTCGGCACGTCAGGGTCCCAGAGTGTGAGGGAGGCCTGGCGCAGCCGTACTGTGTGTGGAGGCTCTCCACCTCGGCAAGTCAGGGTCCCAGAGTGTGAGGGAGGCCTGGTGCAGCCGTACTGTGTGTGGAGGCTCTCCACCTCGGCACGTCAGCGTCCCAGAGTGTGAGGGAGGCCAGGCGCAGCCGTACTGTGTGTGGAGGCTCTCCACCTCGGCACGTCAGCGTCCCAGAGTGTGAGGGAGGCCTGGCGCAGCCGTACTGTGTGTGGAGGCTCTCCACCTCGGCACGTCAGGGTCCCAGAGTGTGAGGGAGGCCTGGTGCAGCCGTACTGTGTGTGGAGGCTCTCCACCTCGGCACGTCAGGGTCCCAGAGTGTGAGGGAGGCCTGGCGCAGCCGTACTGTGTGTGGAGGCTCTCCACCTCGGCACGTCAGGATCCCAGAGTGTGAGGGAGGCCTGGCGCAGCCGTACTGTGTGTGGAGGCTCTCCACCTCGGCACGTCAGGGTCCCAGAGTGTGAGGGAGGCCTGGTGCAGCCGTACTGTGTGTGGAGGCTCTCCACCTCGGCACGTCAGGGTCCCAGAGTGTGAGGGAGGCCTGGCGCAGCCGTACTGTGTGTGGAGGCTCTCCACCTCGGCACGTCAGGATCCCAGAGTGTGAGGGAGGCCTGGTGCAGCCGTACTGTGTGTGGAGGCTCTCCACCTCGGCACGTCAGGATCCCAGAGTGTGAGGGAGGCCTGGTGCAGCCGTACTGTGTGTGGAGGCTCTCCACCTCGGCACGTCATGCTCCCTCACCTGAGCAGGCTTTCCTTGTATTGTTTAATTAATAATTTGAATTGATATTAGAGTAATTACTATATTAAATACAAGTAAGTAAACGCCATTAAGTTTGTCCATCGAGTTAATTAATTTAAGAATTGACTTCGGTTAATTTACTTAACCAAATACTTTAGTTCTAATTTAATCATGTACCGAGTGAACTAATTGCAAATTAAATATTACAGTAATATAAACTACCCAATGTGGAAGTATGTAAATAATGTAAACAAACCTATGAAACTGTCGATTGAAGGTAAGATAATTTAATGAAAATTACTGTATACATTACCCCACACAATGTACATCTGATTAGATGTAAGTATAATATAACTAATTTGAAGTTGGAAAGGAAGGAAAACTGGTACAAGAGTTGAGGTGTATTTTACCATGGAAGACTAACCTATGTTATGGTGGTGACTGGCAGGTACAAGCCACGACCAACAGTAACACTTGTCACCCCACCACAGGAGGGCAGGTACAAGCCACGACCAACAGTAACACTTGTCACCCCACCACAGTAGGGCAGGTACAAGCCACGACCAACAGTAACACTTGTCACCCCACCACAGGAGGGCAGGTACAAGCCACGACCAACAGTAACACTTGTCACCCCACCACAGGAGGGCAGGTACAAGCCACGACCAACAGTAACACTTGTCACCCCACCACAGGAGGGCAGGTACAAGCCACAACCAACAGTAACACTTGTCACCCCACCACAGGAGGGCAGGTACAAGCCACAACCAACAGTAACACTTGTCACCCCACCACAGGAGGGCAGGTACAAGCCACGACCAACAGTAACACTTGTCACCCCACCACAGGAGGGCAGGTACAAGCCACGACCAACAGTAACACTTGTCACCCCACCACAGGAGGAGCTGCCGTGCGGGTACTCTCGCTCACTCGACATGTTCCGTCAGCTGCTGCTGGTGCGCTCTTGGTGTCCAGACCGAACCCTCTCCCAGGCACGACGCTACATTAGGAGTGAGTATGTTACTCGGAGCTTAACCTCGCCCTCGGTATGTGTGTATCACGTCATACGGAATACCTCATGAATAGTCATAGTCACTTCTGACAGCGCACAATAACCTTATTTATTTTCAATGAGCATATGTTGACTTCTCACCCAAAACGAAATGTTGATGCGATGATGATAGCTATGCTGCGGAGTCCATGTGATACACGGGCTCCGGCGTCAATGTGATGATAGCTACGGTGCGGTGTCCGTGTGACAGATGTGCTGCAGTGTTCATGTGGTGATAGCTACGGTGCGGTGTCCGTGTGACAGATGTGCTGCAGTGTTCATGTGGTGATAGCTACGGTGCGGTGTCCGTGTGACAGATGTGCTGCAGTGTTCATGTGGTGATAGCTACGGTGCGGTGTCCATGTGACAGACGTGCTGCAGTGTTCATGTGAAGATAGCTACGGTGCGGTGTCCATGTGACAGATGTACTGCAGTGTTCATGTGATGATAGCTACGGTGCGGTGTCCATGTGACAGATGTACTGCAGTGTTCATGTGATGATAGCTACGGTGCGGTGTTCGATATTCTGGAAGAGATTCATAAATTCTTGAAAAGAGCACTTTGTAAAGTAGGATTAAGAAAATCCAGGTATTCTTGGAAAGAGCAAGGAAAAGCTTAATGACAAAACTATGTCCTGGTATTACTCATATCTTCACCTGTATATAGGAAAGTGGGTGCAACACCAACATCAGAATGTGGATTGTGTTACAAAATTATCACAGTCCTCCCTCGCGAATTCACCCGTGCTCCATGTGTTGCCGTCACCACGACTGGCAATAAACACTACCATGGAAGCCACTAACACTGTCTATCTATGCTACTTTTATCAAACGCATCATCATTGAACGTAGAAAACGATTCATCTTTAGTATCATCTATATAAATTGGAGATGACATGGGTGGCGTTCAGCCACTACTGGATACGCTCGCTGTATCGTCCTCATCGGTGCTGTATCACTTGTATCTAGCTCTTGTATTAGGTCCTTATTGTTCCTTCTTCTTGAGGTTGTCTTGAGATGTTTTCGTGGCTTAGCGTCCCCATGGCCCAGTTCTCAGCCAGGCTTCCTTTTTGTTACACATCCCCTGGATGCAGCCCATAGCGGCTGTCTAACTCTCATGTTCCTATTTACTGCTAGGTGAGCAGGGGCATCAGGGTGAAAGGAACTCTGCCTATTTGTTTCCGCCTCTGTCAGTGATCGAACCTGGAACCCTACGTCTACCAATCTCGGGCGCTGCCCACTCAGCCGTCAAACCCGTCGTACCTAGCTTCATCAGTATCATGACCCCTATGTTCTTCCAACAATAATGTCTGATTTTCAACGACGGAGAAAAGAAGGGAACTATCAGGAGTAAGCGCCAAGCCATTACAACTATTCAGCACTTTGAACGGATCAGGATAAGGATTTAAGATGGGACGAAGGGACGGAATGGTGCCCACCCACTTGGACAGTCGGGGATTGAACGTCGACCTGCATGAAGCGAGATTTCCTGATGGAGTGCAATCTTTCAACACTGTGGCTGACAGGGAATTGAGAGCCAGAAGCGGGTGCACCACCCATGGTTGTTCATTCAAAACTGATCCAGCCAGCAGCCCTAGGGAAATCTGGGAATTTTTTCAGGATGACTGCCTCTCACTGGAAGTCCCAGGAGTCCATTCTTACCCAACCTACCGCGTGCGCGATTTGAATAGATACGAAATCTTAAATTGGTGTTTTCTCAGCATGCACAGTTTTTGCTAAACGAGTTACCTCGGTCATCGCAGTCCTGTGGTTTTAAATTAAACTTAGGAACATCAATACATCAGTCTACAGTAAAGTACATACAAGTTAATGTGGTTAACTTAGTTGTACTCAATTTGACTTTAAAGTTGGATAAAGTCTCTAAAAACTATCTATATCAGTCTCTCTAGACTCCACAACGTTGAAGTATCTAGTACTGGTCAACTTCAAGTCATTAGAACTTAACAAACTTCAAATTCACTCGGACATTCTCAAAAACTAAAAGAGTCACCCTCAAAAACTAAGGATCGGCAAAGTCAGTAATCATTGCAAAACATTCGGCTCTCGAGTCAATGATTGGCAGTAGAAGCTGGTTATTTCGGTGGCAGTGTTTGTGGTCAGAGACAGCATGTCTGCAAGTGCATCTGCCGAGATAGTGATGGTGGGAGCATCGGAGGCTGGATGTGGAGGATGCTGTTGTTTGTGTAGCCTGGGTCTTTGGTAGAGCTGGAGTCTGAGTTGAGATCGACCTAGTGGTCGATCTTGTGAAAGTTCCTTGTGTGGTAGGGGAGGTAGTGAGACTTGAATCAGGGGATATGATGAGATCCAGGCCATTGGCTAGGTATAGCATGTTCAGTTCCATGAAGGATCGGTGAGGGTCTGGTCCGGCAATCCTCTCTGATAGTCGTATAAGACCAGGGATAATGTCTGCATGTGACACGGGCTCGCCATAGTCCGTGCTACATGAAAATTTCATTCTGAGTGGCTAAATCTAAAACAACAACAACTGCATGTCATTCACAACCCGTTCTCGCAAATTTAATAAGTCAATATTGACTTATTAAATATGTGCATAGGTGACATACTTAACATAATAGATACCCTTAAAAAAATTCATAGAAAACACCGACCTTACCTAACCTTGTTAGTATCTTAAGATAAGCATCTTATTGCTTCGTAATTACAATTATTACCTAACCTATAATAGGTATAGGTTAAGTAATAATTGTAATTACGAAGCAATAAGACGCTTATCTTAAGATACTAACAAGGTTAGGTAAGGTCGGTGTTTTCTATGAATCTTTTTAAGGGTATCTATTATGTTTAGTATATCATCTATGCACGTAGTTAATAAGTCAATATTGACTTTACGAATTTACGAGAACGGGTTGCATTCAAGGGGCTGTGAAGGTACTGGATGGCCTCGAATCCCCAGTGTGAAGATTGGGTTGTCTGGTGGAAGTTGCTAATGATTGGTAGGACTGGAAAGTCTTCTGGTTTGTTAGTGGGAGCTGACGTTCTGGGATTGTACTTCGGGCTCTGGTGGAGGAGTTAGAGGCTTGGCTTTCTTGGCTTCGACCTGGGCCTTGAATTTTTCCTGTCTGCCACGGCAGTGGTAGAAAATTCCCGAGTGATCGCCGTTGCAGAGCAGGCAGCAAAGGTTTGTATTACAGATGGTGTAATGATGGTCCGGGGCGCAGAATCTGCACTTCTGAACGGGGACACTGACATATGTTGGTGGGGTGGGAGAGCTCATAGCACTTGAAGCAATGTTGGAACTCATGATATCGTTCCTATTTTACTTGGTCGGGTGATATCTTGATGCAGTAGCAGTAGAAACCTTGTGTGGCAGCCTGGGTTGCCACAGCTAAGGAGGTGAAAATTAACTTCAATGTTGTTTTTTCAACATTCCATGCCAATTCCTAACCGTAAGATTGGTCTTTATCATCGAGACCAGCCAATGGATCACGGAAAATTGCCTAGGAGATATCATCAACAACATTCGGGATGAAAACCAGAACATGACGGTATCTGCTGTTGGTCTCCTCAGAGGTGTCGAAGGCAGGCGTTACACAGTGAAGCTGAACTTCACCAGAAAAGCCAGGCTAACACACAATGATTCACCTGCTATGGCATCAAGATCCCACCCTAATGTGTGAAGAAGGAACGAATTCACATGATACACATATATAACACTAGATTGTTTCCTCCAAGGAGTGCCGGACCAACCGGGCTGTGGTGGGTATGTGGGCCTGCGGGCCGTTCCAAGCAACAGCCTGGTGGACCCAACTCTCACAAGTCAAGCCTGGCCTCGGGCCGGGCTTGGGGAGTAGAAGAACTCCCAGAACCCCATCAACCAGGTATCAACAGTACTTCAAGTACTATGAGTTCTCCAACCCCACCAACAAGTGTCAAAAGCCCTGTCCTGAAGTGCAGCATTTGCATCAAGGAGCACCACTACTCAATCTTCAAGGCAGAAACTCGATGCAGCCTGCTCTATCAAGGCAACCATACCGCGATTTTCCACCGCTGCCATCGTAGACAAGAAATTATCAAGAAACAAGATGCAACCAAGAAAGCCGAACCTTCCACCCTCGCTGCAGGAACCTCCATCACCATCTCAAGGACCTCAGCACCCACCAACCAGCCAGACGTCTTTTCAGCCTTACCCAACAGTGGCTCCATCCTTCAGGCAAATCGGCCACCACTTTGGGGTCCCGAGGACCAACCAACATCTTCACAGCCCCTCGCCTCATGTGAGGCATTATACCGGGTCTCATTTGGTTAGCAGACACACTCGCTGGAACAGATAATCAACGGTTCTTCCCGGAACTCAAGAAACTGTACTTGGCCAACGGGGTGGATCCCATCATCGCCCCCAGAAGACAGCCTCACTGACTCTCCTACTACAAAGGAGACCACAAGAACGACTAGGAGGAGAATCTCAACCCAGACACCAGCACCGCCCAAAACCCCGGCTTCACAGACAGAAGCCTTCTCCACTCCAGCTCCCAACGCGTTTTTCCATCATCTCAGCTACCGCGCTCACCGACGTACTGTCTCCGGTGACTAACATCACCACCAATCCTCCCACAATAGCTGCAAACGATAACCCAAGACGCCAGAGCCCACCCGAGACTGGGAAACCGAAGGAAAAGCCCCACGGCTACAAACGACGCTTAGGACTCTGCAGACGAGGAAATCCCTATAGGAACTCCATCGCCTTACCAAGCATACAACACTCACTCTGAACAAGACTTTCTCATGGAGACCTCTTCACCAGACTCCAATGACAGCATGGCCATGTCAATGCGAAGCAAGTCTCAGACTAAAAAACCAGAAAACCCAGAAGTGCGACATGACTTAGAACATTTGGAAAAATCCACCTGCAGTAGAAAAACGAAGCCTGAAGAAGAAAGAAACCAGATGAAGAACCAAGACTGAGGCGCCTCCATGCAACTTTTCACCTCCACCTCACATCAAGCCCTAGCACAGACTTCTCAAACTCACCTCGTCCTCCACGTCGCCTCCCGCCGCCCAAACAAAAAACCAAAATGAACACCTATGATAAACACCGGGCACCAACCCGTGGTGGATAGGCCACCGAACTTCTTAGCCTCCTCGTTCCACATCCACATACTCTTCCATAATTTCATCTCCCCATCCCTCTTCCTTCCCCCATCCTTTCCAAGCCTTTTGGACATCAAGTGTGAATCCTCCCCTTCATTACCTGGTGTTTGTCGTGAGGGGTTACTGTGCACCACACTATTATTGCAAGAGTACTCGACTGGGGGAAATAATGAGCCACTGAGTTTAAAGTAGTACTTTCCCGTGAAGTGAAGCTAGTCAAGTTGGCGACCTTGCATGGAAACATATGGGCAGGCAGCCCGACCTGGAGTAAATGTTGAGTTTCCGTGTCCACGGACACCCAGTAACGAAACTAAGGAGTGGTCAGGTTATTTCACTCCCTGCGAGGTGCAAGGCCGGGTTCGGTGAGGAACTCTGGCACGCAGATCGACTGAGGTGCTCCCGACTGAGGTGTTTCATGTTGGTATTAGTAAGGTGTGGTCATGTTTCATGTTGGTGTTAGTAAGGTGAGTGTGGTTATGTTGCATGTTGGTGTTAGTAAGGTGAGTGTGGTTATGTTGCATGTTGGTGTTAGTAAGGTGTGTGTGGTTATGTTGCATGTTGGAGTTAGTAAGGTGTGTGCGGTTGTGTTGCATGATGTATTACTATTATTGTTATATCTAGTGTTATACCAGGTGCTCTAACGTTACATCATGTGGTCTCGTGTTATACCAGGTGCTCTCACGTTACACCGTATTGTCTCATGTTATACCAGGTGCTCTCACGTTACACCATGTGGTCCCGTGTTATGCCAGGTGCTCTCACGTTACACCATGTTGTCTCATGTTATACCAGGTGCTCTCACGTTACACCATGTGGTCTCGTGTTATACCAGGTGCTCTCACGTTACACCATGTGGTCTCGTGTTATACCAGGTGCTCTCACGTTACATCATGTGGTTTGGTGTTATACCAGGTGCTCTGGGCGAGCAGTACGCAGACAGTGTGATCCTGGACCTGGAAGCCACCTGGGAGGAGTCCGACAACCGTACACCTCTCATCTGCTTCCTCTCCCAGGGCTTCGACCCCTCTGGCCAGATCGAGACACTCGCTAAGGCCAAGGAAATAGGTAGGTGACATACTGTTATGATCTCATTGTTCATCTTACCCTTGTGACCCACTGCTGTGATCCCACTGTTCATCTCACCCTCATCATTCATTTGTAGCTCATCATCCTCCTCCTCGACTCATTACTGTCCATTTACAACTGATCAACTGAAGACTTCATCATTTACAAACGTCATCTGAAGGCAGTTTGTTTTGATTAGTAAAATGTGTTGTGCTTTATGTGTGGTTGTGGCTGATCTTGCGCACCAGATCTTAATTTAAATTTTGCCCCGAGGGGCGAGTTTATTGGGCAGCGCCACTCATCTTGTGAGTGAACATACCGCCATAGCAGAATGTACAACACTCCCCAATAGGAAGAAAACCCGCTGGGTTGTTCATCCTGTCACTTGTACCCAGACACAGCTGGGACTTGCTTAACTGTCTCAAGTGAACAGCTCCTCAAACAAGAAGATTAACATTTATCAACCCTTAAAAGCTTACGTTATCTTGCGGGTGCAAAATGGGGAAATCTTTTAAGAACAGTATCAATATTTGACAAATAGTGTTTTCCTAACTCAAACAATGTGGGGTTTATTATTCTACAGTTATTCCTAATGTCTCTCAGGTGTTCACATTCACGTAGATAGTGGTCAAGGCGGTGTCCATCACTCTCACCACAGATTCTGCAACTTCGCTGATCAACTGTTGTTTCCATTCCAAATCTCCATGGATATTTGTATCCAAGACGGATTCTCGCTATTACAGATTCTCTCACTCGTCGTCCTCCTCTTCGGCCATACTGATTGGGATTGCCAGCTGCAACCATGTTGTACCATCGTACAGATTCACTGGTTTGTGCTTCTATCCTCCTTTCCTCAGTTACCTTGTCACGGTGATGTTGCCTGATAATACCTCTAATTTGTAGTTGAGTCTTGGGTATGAAGTATTCAATATGGTCTCCTTCAGCGCCTTCAGCAGCCAGCACATCTGCTCGTTCATTCCCACATATTCCAACATGGGAGGGGATCCACAGAAACTTGATGACTCTTCCCTGATTGGTAAGTACTCTCACAGCTCTCTTGATTTCAGCGACTATTGCAAGATTTTCTGCCTGATTTTTACTTAGGCTTTGCAGTGCTGCTTTTGAATCGGTGCAAATCACTGCACCATTAGTGTTCCGTTCAAGAAACCTTAACGCCATAACAATGGCAGTTAGCTCTGCTTGCGTTGAAGAGGCATAGTTCTCAATACGTGCTTTTTCTTCATTTCTGCGTTGGAAGGTATTATCCTTGATTACCGTGTATGCTGCACCAGCCCTGCCATTGATAGGATTAGATGACCCGTCAGTGTAGATTTGATCTAGTTCATCTCCGGCTTCTTTATAAATGTCCTCGAGATACTTGTGCCTCATTTCTTGTGGTATCATGTTGGATTTTTTCATTGCCATTTCATTGATGATGATCTTGCATGAGTCATCCTCCCAGGGAGGTAACCTCTCTACAGGCAGGAGCTCACGGGCTTGCTCAAGCAGGTGAAGCTCTTCAAGGTAGCAGACTGCTCTGTGATGCCATTTTTTGCTTCTCCTGTTTCCCCCTGAAAGTAGCACAGAGCTCAGTTTTTTCTTGGCAATATCATTGTAATGGGGATCTCTGGCTATCCTAATTGCAAGCTTAGCATTCAGCTCCTGAATTCTGTTTTTAATACTGGGAAGGGACAACTCCTCTCGTAGATTAGACGTTTTGGCAGTTCTTGGGACTCCAAGAATGATTGTCATGGCTTCATTTTGAATGCTTTCAAGCCTTTTCATATCGGTTTGGGAGTAGGTGCACAGTACTGGTGCGGCATAGTCTATGACGGAGCGCACATAGGCTGTGTACATCATTTTGAGCACGGCAATTGAGGCTCCATGTCCATTCCAGGTCATAGCTTTCAGTGCCTTGAGTCGACTTTTGCATGTTCCTATGAGTTGATTGAGCTCCTCTTTCTTTCCCTTGTTAGAGCCGACAGTGACGCCAAGGTACCGGTAGTGGTCAACCCATTCAAGTGTTACACCATTAATTTGCAGTTCTTCATTTGCTCTCCGCTTGTGATGGGAGTATGCCTTCGTCTTGTTTGTGGAGAGAGTGAAACCGAGCTCAATACATTTCCTTCCGAGGAGTTCAATGGACTGTTCAATTTTTCCCAAGGTGGGAGCTTGTATTAGGACATCATCTGCATATCCCACTTGTTGTGTTCCTTCCGGAAAATCAATATTTGCAATGGCGTTCATAAGTACATTGAATAGTGTAGGGCTTAAGACTCCGCCTTGGGGGGTCCCGAGTTCCATACTCATTGTTCTGGAGACTGCTCCATTGAAGCAAACCTTGGCTTCCCTTCCTGTGAGGTAGTCTTCAACCCATTTCATGAGTCTCCCCTTGACACCCATGCATGCAAGCTCGTCCAGGATCGCAATCCCCTGTGCTTTGTCGAAGGCTCCTTTGATGTCAACAAATACAGAGTACCTAGCCGTGTCATTAACCAAGTAATTAACTATACAATTTGCTGTGCTCCGTCCTTTAACAAATCCATTGACCCCCTCCCCTAACCTGCCTATTTTGTGCAACAGTCGGTTTAGGATGATCCTTTCAAGCATCTTGCAAGTGCATGACACGAGGCTGATAGGTCTGTAATTACCAGGGTCATTAGGCTTCGGTATGGGAATAATTATTGCGTGTTTCCATTGTGTGGGCAACACTCCACTTAGGAATGACTTGTTAAACAGGTGGAGTAGTGGATTCCCAGACACTGCACACAGTGCATTGAGTATGTCGTAGGTGACGCCATCTTCACCAGGTGCTGTACTTTTACCCTTTTTCATAGCGCCCCTTACTTCTTGGGCTGTGATTGGTTCCCCATACTCGTCATCACTAGACAGTGCTCTTGTTATCCTAATTCTTCTGTCATCATGTCGCAGGAGCTGTTCCCTGCTGATTTCTGCAGGGAGGGAGGAGGAGGATGCTGCATCACTCCACTTGTGAATTAGTTCCTCAGCCTTACCCTGGGGGTCTTTGTGAGCCGCAGGCCGGGCTCTGCCCCCCTTAGCTATCTGAATTTTTGCCCACACTTGTCTTGCAGATGTTTCCCGTCCAATAGAGCTAGTGAACTCAAGCCATTGTCTTTCCCGCTCTTTAATCTTCTCTTCCCTGGCTACTTGACACACTGTCTTAAACAACTCTTGGTTACTTTCAGTGGGATGTCTCCGGTACTCTCTACTCATGTCTCGCACATTTGCGTTAAGCATCTTTATGTAATCATTCTCATACCATTTTATTTTCTTCCTCTGAGGGTTACTTCGCCCAGGCGTACGGCGCGGAACTCTTAGACAGCTCTCAATTTGGTGGTTAAGGTCATCAACAAATGTGTTAATGTCTTCTGGGATTTGGTATTCCGTGAACCAGTCACTCATCCTGTTTATGAAGTGCGGCCTCATATCTGGTCCGAGTGATAACCTTTTTCTTTTATTTGTCTCTTTCCTTCTCTTGCTCATGTCGACGGTGGTAATCAGTGCCCAATGGTCACTACATAAACTGTGCACAATGTGTGTACTGGCATCCGTGTCCTGTGCATTCAGCAGGAGAGCATAATCTAATCTTCCTCCTCTGAGGTGAGTTGGCTGTTCATCACCCAGGACCCTAAGGTTTTCACTTCCCCTGACAAAGAGTGACAGTTTCCGTCCATTGACATTGGGCTGATGACAGTTGGCACCAAAGTGTGGGTGTCTGGCATTCAGGTCACCAACCAGCAGGGTAGGTTCTTCATTAACAAACTCAGGCAGTGCGTCAAGGTCAAGTTTACTCTGTGGCACATATAGGTTGATTATATGTAGGGCATTATTGTTTAAGTAAAGGGTTACTCCCAGTGATTCAAACTCATCCCCCATTTGCAGGTCATCAATAATCTGTGCGGGAATGTTGTTATTTACATAAGTGATGAGACCCCGTTTTCTTTCCCCATGTGGCAGGGAGAACTTGCGATAACCGCTGAACCTTGGGTTGAAGTCATCACCTACCATTGTCTCCTGTAGCACTATGACGTCAGTTTGGTGTTCACGAGCGTATTGTATGATGTCATTAATTCTATTGCGAACGCCATTGCAGTTCCATTGTAGGATAGTGAGACTTTCTTCAGCGTGGTTATCCATTGTGGAGGTGTTGGTCATCAGATGTACTGTGTGTGGTGTTGTTGCTGGTGAGAGTGTGTTCACTGGTGGTGTTGTATGTGGTGTTGCACCACCGTCATGTGCTGGTGGTACTGTTTGTATGCCAGTGCCAGTGGTCAGTGGTGTTGTGTACACTAGTGTCGTTGTGTTCACTGGTGGTGCTGTTGTCTTCACTGGTGGTGTTGCGTTCACTGGTGGTGCTGTTGGTGGTGTTGTGTTCACTGGTGGTGTTGTGTTCACTGGTGGTGCTGTTGGTGGTGTTGTGTTCACTGGTGGTGCTGTTGTGTTCACTGGTGGTGGTGTGTTCACTGGGTCGCACTGAGTTCACTTGGGTAGCACTGAGTCTGCTGTTATGTGCCGTGGCTCGTGTTGCATCCCCATGCACCAAGTTGCAACCTGCTGAACTCGCCTGAGGCAACTTCAGGCCCTGCAGAATGTGAAGTATGTCCTCCTGGGTCTTCTGGATTGTACATAGGGTATTCTCAAGTTTATTTTGCTTGCTTATTAGTTCTTGCATGAGTGGGTGATTTTTTATCATGTGGGTAATCATTGCTTCCATACCGGGCGGCATTGTTTTATCTGGACCCAGTGAGGTGTTGACTGGTGAGTGAGGCGGGGGAGTGGTAGGGTGGGGGAAAGGGAGGGTCGCCTGAGAGGCGGAAGGGCTGGTTGACTGGGAGGCGTTAGGGGGTATGGGTGATGAGGCAGGAATGGGGTTGTCGGGTGGGGTAGGGTTGGGGTTAGTGAGCGGGGTTGAGGTAAGTGGGTTTGTGAGAGAAATGGGGTCTGGTTGGGCCTGTGCGGGGTGGTGGTGGGTCACTCCACCACTACCCCAGGCTGGTGTCTGCCTACTGGAGGCTGGACCCTGGCTTGCTGTGGTACTGTTCACGGAGCCATTCCCGCCCCTGTTTACTGGTCCACCTGCTGTCTGCGTCTGCGTCGGCGTCCTTCTCAAGCCCTGCCAGTCAGGCCTCCTGCTGCAATATCTGTTCCAGGCATGATGGGGCTGCTTGCAGTTGACACATTTAGGTATTACCCCGCTACCCCCACCCTGTTTAAGCTTGTCCAGACACTGCTTGGTGTCGTGAGAGCCACTGCAACACCCACACCTAATTGGGCGATCACATTGCCACGTTCTGTGATCCCACCGTTGACAGTTGCCACACAAGGACGGACTGCCAATATACCTCTCCACTTTGCACGCCCTCATGCCTGGTATTTTAATGACTTGGGGCAGCTCTCCCTTCCACATAGCAATTGCTTGATTTTTGGGCAGTCCCCCTGGTCCGGTGTTGCGCTCGACCCAAACAATCTCGGTAGTCCTTGAGATATTCCACGTCAACATGAATGCTATAGTTCTTAATTATAATTTTAGTTTGTCTTGTCTGTGGGTTTGCTTCTAATAATTTGACATTCTTACCAAGATACTCGAGACTGGTCTCTGTGAAGTACTTCAGGGCACTGTAACCCTGCACCCGTGCACTAACATTGCCACCTACACACCTGCTCTCTATACAATAATTTCCTCTGTGGGCGCGGGCGGCCTCAATAATCCATCTAAACTTCTCTGATGCTGTCATTACCCCTGCAGGAAAGATTAGGGTGTGCCACTCACTGTTTTCGTCGTGTCGTCGTTGTTGTTGTTGTTGTTGTTGTTGTTGTTGTTGTTGTTGCTGAGGTTGCTGTTGCTGCTCATCCTGTCGCCGTGACTTATCCCGTTTCCTGCCTCTTCTACCTTGGACTACTTGGAAACCTTCATCGTCTATTGTAGAGTCTCCTGTATCAGTACTGTTGGAGGGCCCAGGGCTGGGATCCCGACCGGAGGGCCCCGGGTGTGGACCATCACCCAGGGGCCCCTGGCGGGGATGGGGGTCGTTATGGTTCCCGGGTACACCAGCCATGGTCACTTGTTGTTGTTGTCTCTTAGAAGTCTTACTTCTCGTGTCAGCAACCATCTATTTGCTGCGGCTCACTTCATGTGTTGTTGGGTGGTATGTCTTCAACACTGCACTCTGCCCTACGTACGCACACATGTACATATATACACCTACAAGGCACAAGGTTTACACTCACACGTAGCGTAGGGGTACTCTATGGTGTGCCCTGGCAGTCTCTTGTGTAAACACACTAGTCGCGCACACAGACCACGACCTTGGGTAGGGAGGGCACAAAGGCTATTTTTCACGCGCGTGGGGCCCCAGGCTTCAGGTACCGCGAGGCGACCCAACCTACGTCAGAACTCCTACCTCACAGATCTTAATGTTTTGTCATCCTTCACCTATGACTCAGCAAAATTGTCACCTATGACAAAATTTTGTCACCAATGACAAAAATCAAATAACAAAATTATTCACCAATAATAAACAATATCAACCAAATGTAAATAATATGTTAAAACAACTTTCAGCACCAAGTGCCAGTATTAACTACTTCCAACATTATCAGCCAATTACAAAAATCACCAACCAGCGGCAAACTGCCCAAGTTATCTACCAAGGGTCAACTTTGTTTACCATCTACCAACACTATTAACCAGTATCCATCAAATTATCTACCAGCAGTCTGCGTAAATTACTAACAGCTAACATGATCTACCTACAGCCAACATTATACAAAAAGCCAACATTATCTATTAACTTTTACCATTAGCCGACATTATCTCCCAGTAGCTTTCACCCTCTAGCAACATCTACTGCTACCTACCAACAGCTAACATTATCTTCGAAAAGGATAACATTGTCTACCCACATCTGACACTATTTACCAAAAGCCAACAATATCTACCATTATGTGACTTTATCTCCAATAGCAACAATTATCTACTAAAATCTACCATTATCTACCAAACACTTTCTACCACCAGAAATCCGATTGATATCCATGGGTCAAGGGCAGGAGGCTCACGCTCGACGCCTGCTGTCCGAGGCGATGGCAGCAGGTCGATGGTTGCTGCTACAGAACTGTCACCTGAGCCTCGAGTTCTGCCAGGAGATGCTAGACACCATCACAGAGTCCAGTAACATCCACAAGTGCTTCCGCCTCTGGATCACCACCGAAGTCCATACCGCCTTCCCCATTGGCCTTCTCCAGGTATAGTGTCTACGTGGCTATATGCCTTTTAATGCCACCAGTGATGATGATTGTTCATCTTTAATGCTCCATAGATCACTTATGGTGGCGATGTTTTGTCGTGTTGGTGGTTCTTTTGACAGTGACATCTGCATTCTATTGGCAGTAATGACGATTCTTAGTATGTTCATATCCTAATATCCACAAGAGAATGGGTTACTCAAATGCAAGTCACCGATTATAATACATATATTCCATAATTGTACAAACCCCGAGGAGGGAGAGACAGAGAGCCTGGTCTTGTAGTTATCTGCTCGTGGCATCCAGGCTGGTCTGTTGTCCCCCCTCAACTCCTCTGCCGTGTTGCAAGAGGTACTGAAGTCACAACTGTTCTCCCACCCTTTCTCAAGAAGACGAGGTAACAGAGTCCAGGAATCTGGCACAGTGCGTCTCGTGCGATTTGTGCGACCCTCTATGTTTACGTCGCTGTCGTCCATGTCGTTATCAGCAGACGCCGGAAGGCTCGATCTGAAGATGGTATCAGAAGATGAAAGAAAGCGGTAGGTAGATCTTCAGGAAGAAGGTCTGCTGATGGTGGGGGGGGGGTTACGTTCGTAGTTGTGCGTACCAGACCTCCGAAACAGCATCAGCCGGGGCAGGCATTGCTGGTGTGGCGTTAAAATGTGCCGCTTTCACCTGATCGATCATGACAACCACTTCAATACCTCGACGGTCGATAGTAATGGATTTTTGGTGTTTTCGATAACACCTGGAAAGGTAACTCGTATGGCTACTATAGTAGCTGATGCACAGCGTCAACTGTTACAAAAACATGGCTAGCAGAGAGAACGTCCTGGGGTGTGTGGGGAAGGCATGTCGATGGGTGACAAGGCGGTGTAGGACAAATCTACGACATTGCCTGCTGAAGCTTCTCCATGAAGGCCGACGTATCCGTCAGCTCATTGTATGGTGTTAGTGATCAGATCACCAAAAAGGCGGAGAACGGAACTATACACAAGGTCAGCCGCCGAAACCCCACTGTCTCTTTACTTGCCGAAAAGATGCCGAGGAGTACCAAAAGAAGGTTGTTGATCCATGAGGTCGGGTCTGGCTGTGCTCCAAGAGCCGCCATCAGTTGGCGTTGAAACCTTTCAATCATCCCGTTAATGTACGGATAGTAGGCCATAACCTGGTTGTGTGTGGTACCAAGGAACTCCATCGGTTCCCTCTACAAGTGTGTCTCAAACTGTCGACCCTGGTCAGTGACGATTGTTGCAGGGGCTCCAAAACGGGAGACCTATCCGAACGAAAGCAGGAACAACCGACTCAGCTGTCATCTTTACCATTGGAACTGCCTCAGGCCATCTGCAGAAGCGATCGACACAAGGGAATAGGTATTATCAGGGGCCCCTGGACTCTCTCAGGTGTCACCCAATTTTACCCTGGGGTTTCATCTCGTCAGGGAGCCGCCGATAAAATAAAATAAAACACAATAATATCCTTCTTTCACCTCCTCTACGACTAACACCAGTGGAGCGCACATTGGAGAGTCACTCGATAGTGAACTTGCACATGGAGAAGGGGCTCAACGGCATACTATTTGGGGATTCAGCTCAGAACTGGCCAATTGTCACGAGAACACACCTTAACTGAGCCACTATGAATCACCCTCTCCCTCTCCCTCCCTGTCTGTCTGTCTGTCTGTCTGTGTCTGTGTCTCTGTCTCTCTCTCTCTCTCTTTCTCTCTCTCCTTCCTTGTCTTAGTGTGACCTAATTCACCCATCCTCTTTTTTGTATGCTGTCGTCTGGCCTGCAATTACTTACTTCCTCTTAGGAATAGTCACCAGGACTCGGTCAAACACAGTTGTATACCAGACAAACATTTATTACAAACAACAAATAAATTATAAGATGATGAGGGATAGTGAGGTGATGATGACGAAAAAGGTGCAAAGATGTGTGACAGGGTGATGAGGATCAGAGTGGTGACGTAGAGGGACAGTGTTGTGACGTAGAGGGACAGTGTTGTGACGATGAGGATGAGCGGGGTGACACAAAACAATTAGTGGTGACAGGGAGGGTGATAACGACCACTGTGTGACAGGGAGAGTGATAACGACCATTGTGTGACAGGGAGAGTGATAACGACCACTGTGTGACAGGGAGAGAGATAACGACTACTGTGTGACAGGGAGAGAGATAACGACTACTGTGTGACAGGGAGAGTGATAACGACCATTGTGTGACAGGGAGAGTGATAACGACCACTGTGTGACAGGGAGAGAGATAACGACTACTGTGTGACAGGGAGAGTGATAACGACCATTGTGTGACAGGGAGAGTGATAACGACCACTGTGTGACAGGGAGAGAGATAACGACTACTCTCTGACAGGGAGAGTGATAACGACTTCTGTGTACTTGCTGTGATATTAACAATAAACTTATTACTACAGATTTCCATTAAGTTCACCAACGAGCCTCCGCAAGGTATTCGGGCCAGTCTAAAGAGAACCTACGCTGACATCTCTCAGGTCAGTACTCTCCTCCAGTCCCTAGGTCAGTACTCTCCTCCAGTCCCTAGCTCAGTACTCTCCTCCAGTCCCTAGCTCAGTACTCTCCTCCAGTCCCTAGCTCAGTACTCTCCTCCAGTCCCTAGCTCAGTACTCTCCTCCAGTCCCTAGCTCAGTACTCTCCTCCAGTCCCTAGCTCAGTACTCTCCTCCAGCCCCTAGCTCAGTACCCTCCTCCAGCCCCTAGCTCAGTACTCTCCTCCAGCCCCTAGCTCAGTACTCTCCTCCAGTCCCTAGCTCAGTACTCTCCTCCAGTCCCTAGCTCAGTACTCTCCTCCAGTCCCTAGCTCAGTACTCTCCTCCAGCCCCTAGCTCAGTACTCTCCTCCAGCCCCTAGCTCAGTACTCTCCTCCAGCCCCTAGCTCAGTACTCTCCTCCAGTCCCTAGCTCAGTACTCTCCTCCAGTCCCTAGCTCAGTACTCTCCTCCAGTCCCTAGCTCAGTACTCTCCTCCAGTCCCTAGGTCAGTACTCTCCTCCAGTCCCTAGGTCAGTACTCTCCTCCAGTCCCTAGGTCAGTACTCTCCTCCAGTCCCTAGGTCAGTACTCTCCTCCAGTCCCTAGGTCATTACTCTCCTCCAGTCCCTAGGTCATTACTCTCCTCCAGTCCCTAGGTCAGTACTCTCCTCCAGCCCCTAGGTCAGTACTCTCCTCCAGCCCCTAGGTCAGTACTCTCCTCCAGCCCCTAGGTCAGTACTCTCCTCCAGCCCCTAGGTCAGTACTCTCCTCCAGCCCCTAGGTCAGTACTCTCCTCCAGCCCCTAGGTCAGTACTCTCCTCCAGCCCCTAGGTCAGTACTCTCCTCCAGCCCCTAGGTCAGTACTCTCCTCCAGCCCCTAGGTCAGTACTCTCCTCCAGCCCCTAGGTCAGTACTCCTCCTCCAGCCCCTAGGTCAGTACTCTCCTCCAGCCCCTAGGTCAGTACTCTCCTCCAGCCCCTAGGTCAGTACTCTCCTCCAGCCCCTAGGTCAGTACTCCCCTCCAGTCCCTAGGTCAGTACTCCCCTCCAGTCCCTAGGTCAGTACTCTCCTCCAGTCCCTAGGTCAGTACTCTCCTCCAGCCCCTAGGTCAGTACTCTCCTCCAGTCCCTAGGTCAGTACTCTCCTCCAGTCCCTAGGTCAGTACTCTCCTCCAGTCCCTAGGTCAGTACTCTCCTCCAGCCCCTAGATCAATACCAACCACACCACCAACCACACCACCAACTACACCACTAACCACACCACCAACCACACCACCAACTACACCACCAACCCCACCACCAACCCCACCACTAACCACACCACCAACCCCACCACTAACCACACCACCAACCCCACCACTAACCACACCACCAACCCCACCACTAACCACACCACCAACCACACCAACAACCACACCACCAACCACACCACCAACCACACCACCAACCACACCACCAACCCCACCACCAACCACACCACCAACCCCACCACTAACCACACCACCAACCCCACCACTAACCACACCACCAACCCCACCACTAACCACACCACCAACCACACCACTAACCACACCACCAACCACACCACCAACCCCACCACTAACCACACCACCAACCCCACCACCAACCACACCACCAACCCCACCACTAACCACACCACCAACCACACCACCAACCACACACCCAACCCCACCACCAACCCCACCACCAACCACACCACCAACCCCACCACCAACCCCACCACTAACCACACCACCAACCACACCACCAACCCCACCACTAACCACACCACCAACCACACCACCAACCACACACCCAACCCCACCACCAACCACACCACCAACCACACCACCAACCCCACCACAAACCACACCACCAACCCCACCACCAACCCCACCACCAACCCCACCACCAACCCCACCACCAACCACACCACCAACCACACCTCCAACCCCACCACCAACCACACCACCAACCCCACCACCAACCCCACCACCAACCCCACCACCAACCACACCACCAACCACACCACCAACCCCACCACCAACCACACCACCAACCACACCACCAACCACACCACCAACCCCACCACCAACCACACCACCAACCCCACCACCAACCACACCACCAACCCCACCACCAACCCCACCACCAACCACACCACCAACCCCACCACCAACCACACCACCAACCACACCACCAACCCCACCACCAACCACACCACCAACCACACCACCAACCCCACCACCAACCACACCACCAACCACACCACCAACCCCACCACCAACCACACCACCAACCACACCACCAACCACACCACCAACCACACCACCAACCCCACCACAAACCCCACCACCAACCACACCACCAACCACACCACCAACCCCACCACCAACCACACCACCAACCACACCACCAACCCCACCACCAACCACACCACCAACCACACCACCAACCACACCACCAACCACACCACCAACCACACCACCAACCACACCACCAACCACACCACCAACACACACACGGTCCAGTACAATTCAGAGTTACTCCCCATTAACTAGTATTATGATAAAGACCACTTTTACTTCTCCCATTGTTTTGAGTCAGTACCTTTTCCTTATAGTGGGGATACTGAGTGTTTATTGTGTACAAGGTGTTGCAGTATATAAGGCGTCCCTTGCGTCTCTCCCTGCCTGCGGCCACAGGACCTGCTCGACTACACCAACGCTCACCAGTGGCCCAGGCTCCTCTACGCCACAGCGTTCCTCCATACCGTGGTGCTGGAGCGTCGCAAGTACGGACCCTTGGGCTGGAATGTTCCCTACGAGTTCAACCAAGCAGATTTTCAGGCCTCTGTCCAGTTTATCCAGAACCATCTGGACGACATGGACCCCAAGAAGGTGAGAATCCATTGGGTTTGACTGGTAGTGAGTGGGAATATATAATTGTTTTTTAATTTTGCTCCGAGGGGCTAGTTTATTTTCGATAACTCAAACAATGTGGGGTTTATTATTCTACACATATTTTTAATGTCTCTCAGATGCTCACAATCTCGTAGATAGTGGTCAAGGAGGTGTCCGTCACTCTCACCATAGATTCTGCAAGTCTGCTGCTGAACTGTTGTTTCCATTCCAAATCTCCATGGATATTTGTATCCAGACGGGTTCTCGCTATTATTGATTCTTTTCCGAGGCCACATCCTCTTTGTCCATAATGTTTGGGATTGCCAGCTGCAACAATGCAACCCGCTACCCTCTACACACTACCCTCTACACACTACCCTCTACACACTACCCACTACCCTCTACACACTACCCTCTACATACTACCCACTACCCTCTACACACTACCTGATACCCTCTAAACACTACCTGATACCCTCTACACACTACCCGCTACCCTCTTCATACTACCCACTACCCTCTACACACAACGAAGAACACCACCAGGTGTCTTATTAGTAACGCATCGCTTAATGAATCCCAGTGTACTATTAGCCTTATTACGAGCATTTATGCATTGATTTTTGGGTTTTAAATTCTTACTAATCGTAACTCCCAGATCCTTTTCGCAATCCAACTTCGCAATCTCAACACCATCTAGCTCGTATCTTGTAACACTATCATCTTTACCTAGCCTCAAAACCTTACATTTATCAGCATTAAACTGCATCTGCCAATCTTTTGACCATTTCAAAACCCCATCTAGATCGACTTGAAGTGATAGTGAGTCTTTCTCCGTGTTTATTTCCCTCCCGATTTCTGTATCATTGGCAAATTGCCTTGAAGCTCTCCACTCACAACATTTTTCACACAACGAGATTCACACTACCGCTATTTACTACCAGATGCACACTACTCGCTATCCTCGACACACTACTCGCTACCCTCAACACACTACCTGCTACCCTCCTGTTATATATATATATATCCTGTTATATATACTACCTGTTATATATATATATATATATATGTCGTACCTAGTAGCCAGAACTCACTTCTCAGCCTACTATTCAAGGCCCGATTTGCCTAATAAGCCAAGTTTTCTTGAATTAATGTATTTACTATAACTTTTTTCTTATGAAATGATAAAGCAACCCTTTTCTCTATGTATGAGGTCAATTTTTTTTTATTGGAGTTAAAATTAACGTAGATATATGACCGAACCTAACCAACCCTACCTAACCTAACCTAACCTATATTTATAGGTAAGGTTAGGTTAGGTAGCCAAAAAAAGCTAGGTTAGGTTAGGTTAGGTAGGTTAGGTAGACGAAAAAACATTAATTCATGAAAACTTGGCTTATTAGGCAAATCGGGCCTTGAATAGTAGGCTGAGAAGTGCGTTCTGGCTATTAGGTACGACATATATATATATATATATATATATATATATATATATATGACCGAAAAAGTAAGATTAATAATTCTAACACGAATTTTCTCAATCTTTCGTACATTTCTTTTCACTGTTGGAGGTAATTCAAAAATCAATTCTCCAAAATTCATTTTTATTTATATATATATATATATATATATATATATATATATATATATATATATATATATATATTAATATATTTATATATATTAATATATATATATTAATATATATATATTATATATATATATTAATATATATATTATTACATATATATATATTAATATATATATATATAAATATATTATAATGGATTATTACTACATGTACGTACAAAAATGCCTCTAACACTCAGTGCACAACACAACTACAGTGTTCGTCAAGCCCAGTGAACCTACATTCCAGGTACCCGTTGTCAACTGGCAAACACTGGCGAGTTCACCTTCTACATGGGCCAGTCTACCCACACAGTATCACGATGTGCATATGACCTTTGCTCTCCAGATACTCACTGGCAGTGGGCTACAGCAACACGCTGACAGGGCTCCCAAACTACCACACAAACAGGGGTAGCAAACACCTTGGCAGAAGCCTCCAGCAGCTTGCTAGCAGCACTTTACAAGATACACATCACTGTCTTCCTTTACTCTTACAGGCCAATCCCGGGTATGTCGGACCATGCAACACTATATATATTAGCATCTAACACACTGCTCTATTCCGACGGCGGCCACTTAATCTTCACACAGGACCAAGTCACGAGTTCGTGGACTACCCAAGGTGAACTGCCTTTCTCGACACAATTGCCTCCATATGTTTCCTCTGTTGACATAAACACGCATTAATTAGCTAGACAGTACACTGGATGACTCTGGCATAACACTCATTCACCGGGAACTTGGCATTGTGACTTGTAGCCACAACCTAGATGGCGCTGATCTTGATACGCCACCCACCAGACGTCATCATCATCGACCCCACATTCTGATTGAGGCAGAAAACCAGAGCCATTCGCTGATACCACGCCACCACCAACAGATGGCGTTGTCTACATAGCGCCCAAAACTAAGGGAGTTGGAGTGCAGTCCCATAGATGGCGCTGACATCGCCACTCCACATTCCGACGATAGGGTTTACACCGGAACATGGACATAGATTCCACATTCAATTTTAAATGTGAAGATGTTAGAGGCAAAAAGGCTGTATTGGGGTCTAGCGTCCCAAAAGAGCCAAAGAGCCGAAGCTCAACCCCAGCAAGCACAATTTTGGTGTATACACTACCCGATACACAACCACCAGATACACACTAATCGATACACACTACCCGCCACACTGTCTGAGGGATATGTGCTACGAGGACAGACTACGGGAGTTAAACCTCACATTGCAGGAAGACAGAAGAGTTAGGGGGGACAAGATCACCACATACATGATTCTCATAGGAATTTATAGGGTAGATAAAGACAGGCTATTTAACACAAGGGGCACACAGGTGGAAATTGAGTACCCAAATGAGCCACAGAGATATTAGAAAGAAATATTTATGTGTCAGAGTAGTTGACAAATGGAAGGCATTAGGAAGTGAGGTGGTGGAGGCAGACTCCATACACACCTTCAAGTGTAGATAAGTTAGAGCCAAATAGGCTCAGGAACCTGTACATCAGTTGATTGATAGTAGAGAGGTGGGACCAAAGAGCCAGAGCTCAACCCCCGCAAGCACAACTAGGTGAGTACTGACAGATAAACACAAAATGCCACAAACTTCCGTTATACTTTTACCTCCAGATTGAATATGATCACCCTACTCCAGGGTGTCCCCCAGGGTGTGTCGTGGGTGACCATCTGCTACATGCTGGTCACCCTACTGTGTGTTCCCCCAGGGTGTGTCGTGGGTGACCATCTGCTACATGCTGGTCACCCTACTGTGTGTTCCCCCCAGGGTGTGTCGTGGGTGACCATCTGCTACATGCTGGGGGAGATCCAGTATGGAGGGAGAGTGACAGAGGACTTTGACAAGAGGCTGCTCTTGACCTTCCTTCATGTGTGGCTCAACGAGAGAGTCCTCACCTCCGACTTCAGGTATGATAAACATACACGTGTATACACGCACCCTTGCACGCACATACCCACCTCATGCATGCATACACGTCCAAATAAACGCACACACATGTGTACATATTCACTCCTGGAAGCACATACTCACATCATGCACACAAACACTTCCAAACAAACACACACACACGTGTACACACTCCTGCAAGCACACGCTCACATTATGCACACATGATCTCGAAACAAACGCACGCACACATGCAGTGATTCAGTTGTATTCATAATAGTGGATAGTGTGAATGGTATAATGTATGAGCAAGTGATATTTCAATAACAATTGCCACTTTTCACTGTATTGTTGCCTTCAGCTCTGATCTGATGCCTCCCAGATCCTCAGAATTATAAAGAGGGTTAATTATAATGTGTCTGTATGTATGAACATGAAAGTGTTAGTTACTCCTTTTGATGATGCTGATTTCCATAATATCCCACGTCACTATACTGTGCGCTAACCTATAATGTCAGCTCCGTATTCTCATTATCAGTTTTTGTATACTTGGTATTTTTATCATTAATATCCTCTAATGATAGAGTCCTCTAATAATCGTTAGTTTATCATTACACAACTTGGTGTAATTAGTTATCTGTAAACTTTAATATTAATCAATTTATTATTAATCTTCTGTATACTTTCTTCCTTCAATAATAGCAAAATATATATTATGAGGTTTATATTAACTTTCTGTGTTTTGTTCTACCATTAAAATCTTATTTGATCGTTCAGCATTTAACATTTGTCCCCGTTAAATCAGTGAATAAACTATCATGTTATGTCCAGAACACGTGATATGGCCGGAAGGTGAAGTTGGATGCTTGAATGCTTGCTACAAATGCTTGCTACCATGAATGCTTGCTACCATGAATGCTTGCTACAAATGCTTGCTACCATGAATGCTTGCTACAAATGTTTGCTGCAAATGCTTGCTACCATGAATGCTTGCTACAAATTAAGGAAGCCACCAAACAAAGTTCGGTAATTGCTTTCATGTAAGAGATGGAGAGTGAAGGTAAGGTACCTTTTCTAGATGTAACAGACTCGGAGAAGAACGGTGCCTTTACGCTAGTAGTGAGTGACCTGATAGGTACATGGGAAATGTTGACACGTGTGGCAACTACGCTCTCACACATAGCTCAGCACGGCTCCTTCTCCTCTCTTGCCCTCACTCATCCTTTCCCGCTCTTCCGTCATCTCCCGTCCTCTCTGGCTCTCTCATCTCCCGCTCTCATCTCCTTTTCACTCCCGCTCTTCCGTCATCTCCCGTCCTCTCTGGCTCTCTCATCTCCCGCTCTCATCTCCCATTCACTCCCGCTGGCCGCTCATCTTTCGCCCCCATCCGCGCCTAATGCTGAGAATATCCTACAGATTCTACCAGGGCTACGGCCTGCCCATGTGTAAGGGCCAGACGGAGTACTTGGAGTTCATTAACCAACTGCCGGCCACAGACTCCCCAGAGGTATTCGGTCTACACACCAACGCAGACATCACGTGAGTATTGCTTCGCACGTGTAACGCGAGGGTGGGTTAGGGGAGGAAAGGAGGGGAGAGCTTGGTTTACTCCTAACATTCACGTGACGTGAATGGAGAACCTAGGCTTGTGAAGCCTCCCTTATCACCGGGATACGGGATTTGAAAATATATTGACGGGGCTGAGAACTGGTCACTAGATGCTCCTGGCAGTGTTTCTGATGGGAGATGGTCCCAGCCTCCCGTGTGACCCCCCTTCCCTGCCACACACCCGTCACCCCAACACCTGCCACACACCATCACCCCAACACCTGCCACACACCCGTCACCCCAACACCTGCCACACACCCGTCATCCCAACACCTGCCACACACCCGTCACCCCAACACCTGCCACACACCCATCCCCACAACACCTGCCACACACCCGTCACCCCAACACCTGCCACACACCCATCCCCACAACACCTGCCACACACCATCACCACAACACCTGCCACACACCATATCTTGAGATATCTTGAGATGATTTCGGGGCTTTTTAGTGTCCCCGCGGCCCGGTCCTCGACCAGGCCTCCACCCCCAGGAAGCAGCCCGTGACAGCTGACTAACACCCAAGTACCTATTTTACTGCTAGGTAACAGGGGCATAGGGTGAAAGAAACTCTGCCCAATGATTCTCGCCGGCGCCTGGGATCGAACCCAGGACCACAGGATCACAAGTGGACTATATGAGGATAAGGGACTATCTGGGTGAAGTGCAGTGGGAGGAAGAAATTAGAGGAAAAACAGTCCAAGATATGATGGACCTAGTCATACAGAAATGCCAGGAGGCCGAAGAGAGATTTATACCAACGGTAAAGGGAAAAAATAAGAAGGAATATAATAACCCATGGTTTAATAGACAGTGTCAGGAAGCAAAAATGGCCAGCAGACGGGAGTGGAGGAAGTACAGAAGACAAAGAACAGAGGACAACAGAAGCAGATACAATAGAGCTAGGAACGATTACATTAACATAAGACGAACATCGGAAAGGGACTATGAGAACGATATTGCAATCAAAGCGAAAAAACAACCTAAGTTACTACACAGTCATATAAGAAGAAAAATGTCGGTGAACGACCAAGTGACAAGACTAAGGAAGACAGAGGGGGCATATACTGAAAGTGACAAGGAAATCTGCGAGGCACTGAATGCCAGTTTCCATGGAGTGTTCACTACCGAGCCTGAGCAGCTCCCATTGTTGGAAGGGGTTACCCTAGATGAAAGACTATCAGATATAGAGGTGACAGCAGAGGAGGTAATGAAACAGTTGACAACTCTAGATGCAACTAAAGCAGTTGAACCAGACAAAGTATCACCGTGGATACTAAAAGAAGCAGCACAGGCCCTCAGCGTGCCTCTGGCAATGATCTTTAATGAGTCACTTATGTCAGGAGAATTGCCCAGTTGCTGGAAGAAGGCAAATGTCGTGCCGATCTTCAAGAAAGGAGATAGGGAGGAGGCACTTAACTACAGACCTGTATCACTGACAAGCATCCCCTGTAAAATACTGGAAAGAATAATTAGGCTGCGACTGGTTGCACACCTGGAGAACATTAGGTTTGTGAACAAACATCAACATGGGTTCTGGACAGGGAAATCGTGCCTAACAAACCTTCTGGAATTCTATGATAAAATAACGAGGATAAGACAGGACAGAGATGGTTGGGCAGACTGCATATTTCTGGACTGCCAAAAAGCCTTTGATACAGTACCGCACATGAGACTGCTGTTCAAGCTCGAGAGGCAGGCGGGGGTGGGGGGAAAGGTCCTAGAATGGATAAGGAACTACCTAACAGGAAGGAGCCAAAGAGTTACGGTAAGGGGCGAGAAGTCGGACTGGCGAACAGTAACAAGTGGAGTACCACAAGGATCGGTGCTGGGACCAATTCTATTTCTTGTATATGTTAACGACATGTTTACAGGCGTAGAGTCCTACATGTCGATGTTTGCGGATGATGCAAAGTTGATGAGAAGAGTTGTGACAGATGAGGATTGCAGGATCCTCCAAGAGGACCTGAACAGATTGCAGAGATGGTCAGAGAAATGGCTACTAGAATTCAACACGAGCAAATGTAAAGTTATGGAAATGGGACTAGGAGATAGGAGACCAAAGGGACAGTACACAATGAAGGGGAACAGCCTACCTGTAACGACGCGTGAAAGAGACCTGGGGGTGGACGTAACACCTAATCTATCTCCTGAGGCACATATTAATAGGATAACGACAGCAGCGTACTCTACACTGGCAAAAGTTAGAACATCATTCAGAAACCTAAGTAAGGAGGCATTTAGGGCGCTTTACACTGCCTACGTAAGGCCAGTCTTAGAGTATGCCGCCTCATCATGGAGTCCCCATCTGAAGAAGCATATAATGAAACTGGAAAAGGTTCAGAGGTTTGCAACGAGACTCGTCCCAGAGCTACGAGGGATGGGGTATGAAGAGCGCCTGAGGGAACTGTGCCTTACGACACTAGAAAGAAGAAGGGAGAGGGGGGACATGATAGGAACGTATAAGATACTCAGAGGAATTGACAGAGTGGACATAGACGAAATGTTCACACGGAATAGTAACAGAACGAGAGGACATGGATGGAAGCTTGAAACTCAGATGAGTCACAGAGATGTTAGGAAGTTTTCTTTTAGCGTGAGAGTAGTGGGGAAATGGAATGCACTTCAGGAACAGGTTGTGGAAGCAAATACTATTCATAATTTTAAAACCAGGTATGATAGGGAAATAGGACAGGAGTCATTGCTGTAAACAACCGATGCTCGAAAGGCGGGATCCAAGAGTCAATGCTCGATCCTGCAGACACAACTAGGTGAGTACAACTAGGTGAGTACAAGTCCAGCGTGCTGTCCGCTCGGCCGACCGGCTCCCACAACATCATCACAACAACACCTGCCACACACCCATCACAACAACACCTGCCACACACCCATCACAACAACACCTGCCACACACCATCACCACAACACCTGCCACACACCCATCACAACAACACCTGCCACACACCCATCACAACAACACCTGCCACACACCCATCACCACAACACCTGCCACACACCCATCACCACAACACCTGTCACACACCATCCCCACAACACCTGCCACACTCCCAATTTTTTAGTGAGTCTCTTACTAAATCTTAACTAAATCTAGCAAAATTCAACTTTTCCTACCAAAATTTAACCTAACAAAACCTAAACTAACTTAATTTAAAGAAATTTACTCTTTAATTCTTATGGGTAAGATGATAAGGATCACTTCAATATTTAAAGCATAGGATGAATACATATTTCTATGCTTTTGAAGCAGTTTAGGTAGAAATAAAATGTAACGTCCAATAGATCTTATGTTCAATCTTTAACGTAACGCTGATAAAGAATTAAATACAAACAATCTTAGGTTTATTAACAAAGATTGGTGCAAATGTTTAATTTTAGAACAGTCACAGAATAATAATGTTATAAGACTGGGAAAAAAGTAAAATAAGTTGGACAAAATCTAAGTTTTGGGATAAACACTAATTTAAAAATAGGGATGAAGGAAGCACACTGTCGCCGAGGTTAACTGAAAACAATCAGGGCCCTGATTGTTTTCAATCATTTCAATCAATTTCAATTGAATTTCAATTCAATCAATACCCAGTAGGGACCCTGGAAACACCAACCGAATCTGTCTCTATTTTCCGCATGTTACAACTTGTAATAAAGTTGTTACATCTTGGCTTAACGTGTTTATGACGTATTAGAACGTTGTTACAAGTGGCTATATTGGTTGTTATAACTAGTTAGGAGGTGTTAAAACTTGCCCGAACGTTGTACCAACGTCGTAGTTTCGGTGTGTGTTTGGCGGGGAGTCGTCGGGAAGAGTAAAACGGCACCATTTTGGCCCAGTTTACACAACTGTACACCTGGGATACCTGTTACATGAAACTGGAAACTGCAATTTAAAGACGCATGTTATACATGAATTATATTTATTGATATGATCATTAATGTCATTATTCATTTTCTATTTATTGCTAGCTGTACTTGGCCACGCGTTGCTGTGGCTCAGCAACGCATGTGCATTGCTGAGCCACAGTAATCTTCCCCTGTCTCCCAGTCCTCGCCGCCATTCTCCTCCTTTCCTGTCCCCTCATCCTCCCAAACATTCCTCACTCCCCTGTCTCTTCATCTTCCCAACGATTCCCTACTCCCCTCCCCTGTCCCTTTGTCCTCCCACCATCCCCAACTCCACCGTCCCCTCGTCTTCCTAAACATTACCCACTCCACCGTCCCCTCGTCTTCCCCACCATCTCCTATACCCTCGTTCCCTCGTTCTCCCTACCATTCCTCCCTCCCCCCTTCCCCTCGTCCTTTCCACCATCCCCTCCTCCCCTGTCCCATTGTCTTCCCCACCATTCTCCATTCCCCAACTCCCTTTTCCCCACCACACCCCCAACTCCCCTATCCCCTCGTCCTCCCCACTATTAATCCCCCTCCCCTGTTCCCTCGTCCTCACCACCATCCCCCACTCCCATCCCCTGTCCTCACCACCATTCCCCACTCCATCGCCCGATACATTCCCAAATGATCTGCTGTTCCCATCAGAAAATTGGGAACTTCAAATGACCTGATGTTTCCATCCCTGAAATATAAGAAAAACAGTTAAAAAACGATTTGATTAACAATGAAAAAAATACAAAAATAAACTATACTCACGAATTGAACAGTATGGTAATCAACACAGCTCAATTCCAATGCAATGTCGCACAAAATAATTAAATCAAAATTAAAATAAATCGAAAATTTAATTAATGAATGAAATCGGAAACATTGAAATGGAATTGTAACATATTTAGTATAGTGTATGTTGCTCCTACATGCAAAAGATGCCAGTTTAAAAAAAATGCATGTTTTTGCCTGTCACAGGTGTGGCATCTATAATTTATTCTTATGAAATGAACAGTGTGGTAAAAACACAGCTCAAATTTAATTAAATGTCACACAAAATAATTTAATCAAAATGAAAATAAATCGAAATCAATGAAAATGAAATCTATCAATGCATTCGGAAACATTGAAATGGAATCGTAACATATTTAGTATAGCGTGTGTTGCTCGTACTTAAACAGATGGCGCTGTTTAAAAAAAAAACATGTTTTTACCTGTCACAGGTGTGGCATCTATATAGTAGGTATATAAAAACATGCACCTATTCTAATGAAAGTTGTGTTAAAATTTCAAAGCAATCGCTAAAGAACTCTCGGAGATTACAGTGTATGTTGCTCTTACGTCCAACAGATGGCGCTGTTTTTCAAAAAATGCATGTTTTTTCCGGTAAAGGGTGAGGCATGTATATAATAGGTATATAAAAAACACGTGCTTATTCGAAAGCTCCGTTGTGGTAAAATTTCACAAAGTTTTCACTCACATGAAAAAGAAAGCATGTTTTTTTCCCCGTCACAAACGTCACATCTATATAATATGTATATAAACCCCGCTAGGATGCTAATGGAACGTTGTGTGAAAATTTCAAAGCAATCGGTGAAGAACTTTCGGAGATTAGCGATTTTGAACAAACGAACATTTACATATCTTTTTATATAGATAAGAAATATCCCCAAAATTACAAAACACTTTACACTTAACATTCATTACTACGTGAGTGGGTGCATTATCTGGTGACTGAGAAGTGGTGAGCGTGGCAGGTTCCCCGCAGGTACCAGATCAACACAGCCAAGAGCATCCTGGACACCATACTGAGCATGCAGCCCAAGGAAGGCGGCCAGCGGGATGGAGAGACCAGGGAGGCTGTCGTATCCCGCCTCGCCAGTGACATGTTGGGCAAGCTCCCCCCAGACTATGTCCAGTATGAGGTGAGTAGTACACATACGCTAGTATGTGGTGAGGGGGACTCAAGAACACCAGTATGAGGTGAGTTGTACACATACGCTAGTATGAGGTGAGTTGTACACATACGCTAGTATGAGGTGTGGACACAGGAACACCAGTATGACACCAGTATGAGGTGAATAGTACCCATACTCTAGTATGTGGTGAGGGGACACAAGAACACCAGTATGAAGTGAGGGGACACAGGAACATCAGTATGAGGTGGGTAATATTTCCAATTGGACCAGTATTATGTCCCCCTTGGACCAGTATTATGTCCCCTTGGACCAGTATTATGTCCCCCTTGGACCAGTATTATGTCCCCTTGGACCAGTATTATATCCCCCTTGGACCAGTATTATATCCCCATGGACCAGTATTATGTCCCCTTGGACCAGTATTATATCCCCATGGACCAGTATTATGTCCCCTTGGACCAGTATTATGTCCCCTTGGACCAGTAATATATCCCCATGGACCAGTATTATGTCCCCTTGGACCAGTATTATGTCCCCTTGGACCAGTATTATGTCCCCTTGGACCAGTATTATATCCCCATGGACCAGTATTATGTCCCCTTGGACCAGTATTATATCCCCATGGACCAGTATTATGTCCCCTTGGACCAGTATTATGTCCCCTTGGACCAGTATTATATCCCCATGGACCAGTATTATGTCCCCTTGGACCAGTATTATGTCCCCCTTGGACCAGTATTATGTCCCCTTGGACCAGTATTATATCCCCATGGACCAGTATTATGTCCCCATGGACCAGTATTATGTCCCCTTGGACCAGTATTATGTCCCCTTGGACCAGTAATATATCCCCATGGACCAGTATTGTGTCCCCTTGGACCAGTATTATGTCCCCTTGGACCAGTATTATATCCCCTTGGACCAGTATTATGTCCCCTTGGACCAGTATTATATCCTCATGGACCAGTATTATGTCCCCTTGGACCTGTATTATATCCCCTTGGACCAGTATTATGTCCCCTTGGACCAGTATTATGTCCCCTTGGACCAGTATTATATCCCCATGGACCAGTATTATGTCCCCTTGGACCAGTATTATGTCCCCTTGGACCAGTATTATGTCCCCTTGGACCAGTATTATGTCCCCCTTGGACCAGTATTATGTCCCCTTGGACCAGTATTATATCCCCAGTATTATGGACCAGTATTATGTCCCCTTGGACCAGTATTATGTCCCCTTGGACCAGTATTATATCCCCATGGACCAGTATTATGTCCCCTTGGACCAGTATTATGTCCCCTTGGACCAGTATGGACCAGTATTATCCCCTTGGACCAGTATTATGTCCCCTTGGACCAGTATGGACCAGTATTATGTCCCCATGGACCAGTATTATGTCCCCTTGGACCTGTATCCCCTTGGACCATATGTCCCCCCTTGGACCAGTATCCCCTTGGATGTATTATATCCCCTTGGACCAGTATTATGTCCCCTTGGACCAGTATTATATCCCCTTGGACCAGTATTATATCCCCTTGGACCAGTATTATATCCCCATGGACCAGTATTATGTCCCCTTGGACCAGTATTATGTCCCCTTGGACCAGTATTATGTCCCCTTGGACCAGTATTATGTCCGGTTAGTCGCAAACCTCGCGTGCTGGCCTGACTGTTCAGCCCGTCCCCCGAATGTTTGCCAACGTCAAGAAAATATTATACACAATTGCTCCTAATATAACCTAAGAGAGGACCCGTGAACAGAAAACGGGTCATTATGTTAATTTGTGAACAACCTGTGTTACTTACTCCCTTCTTAGGGAGCCGGTCGGCCGAGCGGACAGCACGCTGGGCCTGTGATCCTGGGTTCGATCCCAGGCGCCGGCGAGAAACAATGGGCAGAGTTTCTTTCACTCTATGCCCCTGTTACCTAGCAGTAAAATAGGTACCTGGGTGTTAGTCAGCTGTCACGGGCTGCTTCCTGGGGGTGGAAGCCTGGTCGAGGACTGGGCCGCAGGGACACTAAAAAGCCCCGAAATCATCTCAAGATAACCTCAAGATTACAAAGAACGTTGCATTTCGCTCGTATGCGTTATTCAAGGCCAAAAATTGTAATACTAGAAAATGGAAGCGGCTCCCGAAAGTGAGGCACTGTCCCGTTTTCTGCTTTAGGTCCTCTGGTAGGTTAGGAGAGAATACTTTATATTGACCGTTTTCTTGACGTTGGGAAACCTTAGGAGGACGGGCTGGTTCACGAGCCGCCACTATTTTTTAGTACAACAAATTTTGGCCTTAGGTAGAATATACGTCAAAATGCGACGTTCTATTAGAAGGACGTGTTGGACAGTCACCGTTTTAATTCACCTCACACTGAATCTGGGCGTCATACATGTTTCAACCAGTTCTGCCTAGAACAACCACTTGGGAGCACACTTCTGGGTGTGGCGCTCTGTGGACCCCTATGGTGGTAACATTAGCGGTGTGTGTGTGTGCTGTAATGTCTTACTCTCTTTGACCTCACGTGGATATCTTCTCCTTGAGGTTATCTTTAGATGATTTTGGGGCTTTTTAGTGTCCCCGCGGCCCGATCCTCGACCAGGCCTCCACCCCCAGGAAGCAGCCCGTGAAAGCTGACTAACTTCCAGGTACCTAATTACTGCTAGGTAACAGGGGCATTAGGGTGTAAAAAACTCTGCCCGTTGTTTCTCGCCGGTGCCCGGGATTGAACCCGGGACCACAGGATCACGCGTCCAGTGTTCTGTCCGCTCAGCCGCCGGATTCCGTCTGATATTCGGAGGCTGTGTGACCACTGACATGTGAGACCACGGCTTCCACCTCCACTTGTGCAGCGTTGTAGTGCTGGGGTCTACTTGCTCGTACTTACTGCTAACTTGTGCAGCGTTGTAGTGCTGGGGTCTACTTGCTCGTACTTACTGCTAACTTGTGTACTACGACACACAGATCCGTGAGGCCCTGCAGAGGATGGGCGCCATCTTGCCTATGAACATCTTCCTCAGGCAAGAGCTGGATCGCATGCTCAAGGTAGCTGGAGTAATAATGTTCATAATAACAGTCATTGTAGTACAAATAATAAAATATAATGTACAAATATAATGTTCATAATAACAGTCATTGTAGTAGTCAGTCTCAACACGCCTTGAAATATTGTCCTTAATAGTCATATCAAAAGTGTAACAAATTATTGTAGAAAATAGCAACAGTAACTGTGATAATATAAATATTATTTATAACATTATTTATAATAAAATTACCAGGTTTTGCAGGTGTTGGTATAACACTGTGTTCCTCCAGACACTGCAGGTGTTGGTATAATATTGTGTTCCTCCAGACACTGCAGGTGTTGGTATAATATTGGGTTCCTCCGGACACTGCAGGTGTTGGTATAATATTGGGTTCCTCCAGACACTGCAGGTGTTGATATAACACTGTGTTCCTCCAGACACTGCAGGTGTTGGTATAATATTGTGTTCCTCCGGACACTGCAGGTGTTGGTATAATATTGGGTTCCTCCGGACACTGCAGGTGTTGATATAACACTGTGTTCCTCCAGACACTGCAGGTGTTGGTATAACACTGTGTTCCTCCAGACACTGCAGGTGTTGGTATAACACTGTGTTCCTCCAGACACTGCAGGTGTTGGTATAACACTGTGTTCCTCCAGACACTGCAGGTGTTGGTGTCACACTGTGTTCCTCCAGACACTGCAGGTGTTGGTATAACACTGTGTTCCTCCAGACACTGCAGGTGTTGGTATAACACTGTGTTCCTCCAGACACTGCAGGTGTTGGTATAACACTGTGTTCCTCCGGACACTGCAGGTGTTGGTATAACACTGTGTTCCTCCAGACACTGCAGGTGTTGGTATAACACTGTGTTCCTCCGGACACTGCAGGTGTTGGTATAACACTGTGTTCCTCCGGACACTGCAGGTGTTGGTATAACACTGTGTTCCTCTAGACACTGCAGATGGTGTTGCATCTGAGACTGGAGGTGAGTGTTGTAGAGGTATGCAGTAACTGGAGTGTTCCTGCAGGTGATGAAGGTGGTGCGTCAGACACTTCAGGACCTGCACCTGGCCATCGAGGGCACCATCATCATGAGTCCCTCCCTGAAGGACACACTGGATGCCATGTACGACGCCAGAGTCCCGGAGCGCTGGCGCAAGGTCCGTCCTCCTCTCCTTAACTCTTACATCCTCTCCTTCCTCCACCTCTCTGCTATTCTCAACGCCACCACACACTCACTACTATTAACTGTTATTTTATCAATTTACAGACTTTTAATTTTAAATTCAGAATAATTATGTGTTAGTTGTAACGGCTGGGCTAGCAAGCCATCCTCGGGCAGTGCTTGTCCAAGCTCTGGTCTTCCACAGTCTGGTTAGTTATATTTTCTGTTCAACACTTTGGCTGCTGATTAATTTGGGAGATTCAGTTCCCTATGCACAAGTTTTCAGAATATTTAAATATAATTCATTTTCATGAGTTCTTAAAAGGGGAAGACAATATGAAAACTACAGGTGCTTCATATTGACTGTGGTGAGCTGAGGAGGAACACAAACAAAAATGTAATATTTAAGTTATAAACAAATACAAACTATAAATACAACATAAAATATGTAGAATATGTGGAGATTATTTTGACAGTTGCCACAACTTGAGTGTGGGACGACCACAATGACAATTTGGCCCTGTCATTGTTCACTCACCAGGGGGTGAGGCTGTGTCAGCCGTGCTCCACCGTTGTTTCCCAACGTGTGTGGTAGTTGGCTATTCGCTGGTGACGTGACAGGGACCTTGCGGCCGTGAAGGAAGGCGTGATGGGAGTTGATATTGCCTCCCCCCCCCCCCCCCTGTGAAGCGATTATTATCAGATGGTTTGGAATTCTCCGGCGGTGGAAGTGGTGTTATTTGACGTCCTGCATGTTGATGTGGCCGCCGTCGGGGGCGTCCAGATCGTCTCTGCCCACCGGGCAGTGGTCAAGTTTAGGTCTGACGATGTATCCTCGGCTTTTGCGGGTCACTTTGTTGGGTGCTCCTTTATGTTGCCCAAGGGTGCTGGTACTGTAGCCGTTTGCGACTGCAGTGGTGCTACTACGTATATGAGTGTCCATGGTGCACCCTTTGAGTTTCCTGACGACCTGCTGCACTGTTATTTTGGGCAGTTTGACAGGGCGTTGAACATTTGTATGAATGTGATTTCCTCTGGCCAGCTGAAGGGCGTAATTAATGGGATCCGAACACTCACTATGAGGCTTATGGCTGCCGTCCTATCCTCAGTACTCCTGATGGGGTATTATATCCGCTGTTTTCATGACCTATTTCCGATGTGGCTTGTAGGGCCATCAAGCTGCTGGATGCCATGCTGGCGCCGTGGAGCTCGTCAATCTCTTCTGGAAGGAGGACTTCCCTCTCTGGAGGCCCCAGAGGACTCTGTGTATGCTGATGCTAGTGTCGACGTGGATGCTGTGCCTGGGCGGCATGTGGCTGGTGGGCCTTCGGATGTTGTGGACCATGTGGTGGATGCTGTGCCTGAGTGGTCCCCTGTATCTATGAACCCACTGAATGGTGGTGAGGGCGTTGTGGAGGTGGTGTGTGTGGTCCCTCTCTAGCCTCTGGCTGCTGTGGCTGTGGCGTTGGGTTCTTCCGTGGTCCAAAGGACTGTGTCTTCCGCTGTGGCTTGTGGTGGAGCCTTGCCTAATGATAGGAGGGTTCTGTGGGGAATTTGAGAGTTCGTTACCCTCTGAAAATGATGTTGGTGATTTGCCTCGGCCTCTTGCGGTGCCTGTTGGTAGTCTGGCCGTGATGGGGGCGGATGTCCCTGTTCTGGTGCCGGAGGCTAGTGGGAGGCCCTCCTTGCCTGCTCCTCTGTAACCCCGTGTGCGGGTTCCCCGGAGTGGGGGATTGTTGCCCCCTGCTGTGATTGCTGGTGGGAAATGGGATTTAGTTCTTGTACTGAAAAAGGATGCCGTGCAGCAAGACTCCGTGATGAAATGCCCTGTGCCAGAGGTCCCCATGCAGATGGCTCCAGTGAAGGTGGGCCAAGTGCGGTCCATTCCAGAGTTTATGCACCACCCTCCCCCCCATCACTCGGCGTCTGTGGAAGACAAGGCGCTGTGGAACGAGTACTGTTGGAAATATCATCGGAGTCTATTTCCAAACAAGTATTAGACTTTCTGGGCCCGTTCGTGGGTTTGATGTTTTTTCTTTTGATTGTTAACGTAGTTGGGCAGACCCTGATTCTTCGATGCTTTTGTTTCCATTTGTATTCTGTGCTGTTTTGAGTTTTTGTTTTGACTTTTTGTTTGTTTTCATATGCATGCTTATATTGCTCATTGTGCTTTTTCTGTACAGTTTGCTTTGTGTTTCTGTCCTGTTATGGTGCTCCAGTGCCTTTTATATTCGCCTATTTATGTGCAATGTTTATACCATAAAAAATATACAATTTGGCCCTGGTAGTCCTCTAAAGAAACATCAACAGTTCTAAAAAAAAAATTACATACATCAACAGACTACGTTTGTCCTGTACTGTGATCATTACTAATATATTGTTGTTGGATGGTCAGTAAGTGTTTTTGGTGCCCAAAGCTCTACAGTTTATAGACCTGAAACTAACCCCCAAAACAAAACAGCTTTCTGGTTCGTGAATTCTTATATTTTGATTGTTGTCGCCGGAAGTGACTAGTTTATTGTTCAGACCATACTCATCTTGTGTGCGGTAGCGTTTAAAAGGGTTATAGTGGGGGCATAAAGGGTCTTAATCAGACACCAACGGAGATTTTACGTGAACAATTACATCTACCCTTCACACCACATAATTAAAATGTCTACTTGTTTGACATTTTATTATTATAATATTTATGTATTTATAATAAATTATGCATAGATGGTAGGATTTAAACTCTAAACTATTTTAGAGTTTACTTTAGTCCTGGACTATGTTTACCACAAAAGTATATTTACTGGCTGGTTAGGAAACTGTTGACGGAGGAAGTGTCCAACCTGTCCTTTTACAAATTACGTTTGAATTTGGCTGTTTCCCTGTATGGCTTCCCTTCCTATCCGACCCGTTGTCATCGTGGAGTCTAAGTGGGCGGCTGCCGGAGTGTGATGCTTCATGGGTCAGTCCTCTGCCCTTTTGGACCCTTATGCTCCCGCTGCTGTCTTCTCGAATTCTGCCGGATAACTTTTCCTTTTTGCTTGTGTTTCGTTTTTCTCCCCCTTCCTTCTTCTCCTTTCTTATTGTCATTTCCCGCTGACCTTTGCCAGTTTTCATTATTCTTTTGACCTTCTGTTTTGACGTCAGGGTGTATGAGGAGGCATACTCTCTCACCCGTAGAATTGTGGTATCCAACGTCTCGAGTGAGGGGACGCTTTTATTGTCAATCCTTCTTTCATCACTGAACCCGATCTCGACGGACAGACGGTTCTTAAGGTGGCATTTGCGGAGAGTATACTCATGATGCACCCCTGGAGGGCCCCGGCAAGACCCGGCAACATGTCTCTTGTTGGGCATCCTATCCTCTAATTGTGGCTCCGTGGTGGGTGTGGGGGCACATTCGTGAATGAAAGTCTTTCCTCTCGTTTTTATGTTGTGTACTGTTCCTCTTGTACCTTCTCGGGTTCGTGGAGTGGGCGACCAAGCCCCCGAGTCGGAATGTGTTGGAAGACCGGGCTCTGTAGCTCCCACTGCATTGGGCCCAGACCTTGCTCCTCCTTTGACACTCCTGACTACTCCCCTCTGCTCCCCTCTCTCCTCTGTGGTTCGGTCGAGCCACAAGCCCCCATTGGTGACCACTTCGTCCCATGGCACCGATCAGTCTCTTATTGTGACCACTGTGCCTTTTAACCCCTCTCTCTCTCTCTCTGGGGGTTCTCAACACTGTCCCCGCCACAGCCGCACTCGCATGATCCCTTCCCATACTAATGCTTACCAAGCCGTTTTTGGTCCCGATTTGTGGGCTAAATACTTTGATCTCCTCCCTCTGGATTCTACACCTCCTGACGAATTCTCCCTCCATAGGCACCTTGTTGATTCGGTAGATGCCTCTGTTACTTTCAACCCCACTCGTCTCAGTACATGTGTCGTTGTTGCTCCTTTTAAGGACGCAGCCACCTAATTGGTCACTTTATCTTGCCTTTGCGACACCCCTGTTCGATTCTCCAAGAACGTTCGTTTAAATGCCAGCGTTGGCCCTGTTCTCCTACCACACCATGTTGCAACCGGCGTTAGGAATATACAGGACTGCCACGAAAATATTCGGCATATCCTCGAAGCCCAGTGCCATTCTGTCCTCCAAGTGGACACGTTTACTCGTCCCCCTCGTGGTCGTCGTCGTCAGCCCCTTCGGGATATGAAGATTACCTTTGATGGTAGGACCCTTCTGCCCTCTGTCATTCTGGCAGGTGTCAGGTGCTCTGTCCAGAAGTACTTTCTCTCTCCTCGGCTCTGTAATAAGTGCTGGAAGTTTGGGCATGGTGCCCTCCGATGCTCCAGTACTGTCTCTCTCTGTCTCTTGTGTGGGGACGTAGGTCGCTCTAAGTCGGAGTGCACTTCTCCTCAGGCTCACTGCCTCAATTGTGGTGAGGTTCACCCTACTTTCTCCTGCGCGTATAAACATTACAAACTTGAGGTGGCCGTCCTCAACTAGGAGCACCGGGAACGTTTGTCTTTTCCTGAGAGAAGGCGCCAAGTTCGCTGTCTCCCTACTTTCGCTGGCATCTCTTATGCTCGCATGTTGCGCTCTTCCTCTCCTCGTCCTTCCCATCTCTCTCAGTCTCACAACCGTTTCCAGGCTTTAGACCCGGACCCGCCCTCCGCCTCGTCCTCTGTTCCTTTACGTTCTGTCCCGATGGATCCCCCTCCTAGCTAGGGTTCCCTTCTTTCTACCTGTCGTGTCTCCTGTGTCTTCTTTCTTACCTCCCTCCGATCATCCTTCCCATCCTTCTCCTCCGTCTCATAGCTCTCCCACGCCGCCTGTCTGTGTGGGCTGATGTCCATCACTCTCCCAGCGGTCATCATGTTGTTTGCTCTCGTTCTTCTTCTCCTGTTCGAGACGCTTGAGTCTATTGCCCAATACGTTGATGCTGGAACGCCTGTCTCTTTGAGTCAGAAGTGTAAGCTTCTGTAAGTAAGCGGGTTGGGTGGAGCGAGAGGCAGGTGGTGTCAGCGGGACTGGTGGAGCGAGAGGCAGGTGGTGTCAGCGGGACTGGTGGAGCGAGAGGCAGGTGGTGTCAGCGGGACGGGTGGAGCGAGAGGCAGGTGGTGTCAGCGGGACTGGTGGAGCGAGAGGCAGGTGGTGTCAGCGGGACGGGTGAAGCGAGAGGCAGGTGGTGTCAGTGCATATGTTGTGTGTTGCAGTTCTCGTGGGAGTCGAGCACACTTGGGTTCTGGTTCACAGAGCTGCTGGAGCGCGACGCACAGTTCCGCCGCTGGTACACCTACGGCAGACCCAAGGCCTTCTGGATCACCGGGTTCTTCAACCCTCAAGGCTTCCTTACCGCCATGAGACAAGTATGTGCCACATTTCATTAGTAGTAAGTGCTATATATGTAGTGGTGATAGAAGCAAGCAGCAGAAAGGCACTTACTAGGATATATTTAACAGAGCACTCCACTGTTTTGTCATAGTTTACACTATATTTGCAACGATATTATAATGTATCACCAAAAGTAGAATATTCCTGAAATAAATAATCACATATTTCAGAAATGTTAAAATTTCTTTACAGCATGCAGCCTCAGCATGACAAGTATTATAATAGAGGCATCAACAGCAACCATTTGATATGTAAATGCCATTCTCTATTAGAAATAAATGCTTGTATTTGGTGTTGCAGGAAGTGACGAGGCAACACAAGGGGTGGTCGCTTGACTGTGTCATCCTGCAAAACCTGGTGACCCGCTTCAGTCGGGAGGACATCCACGACCCGCCGCCAGAGGGAGTGTACATATACGGGCTCTTCCTGGAGGGCGCCGCCTGGGACCGCAAGCAGGGACGGCTCATGGAGTCCCGCCCTAAGGTCAGTCAAATCACTCTTTGGGGTTTTAAAGTATGAAAACAATTTTCTAAATGTTATTATTTGTCATATTACTCCACCTTTTATGAGGAATCACTTTACTATTTTGTCAATTGTCATTAAAACGTTTCGGATGTACACAAAATAGTTCATGCGAGCTGCCGGTGTGCTCCAATATAGTAGTTTCAAGGAAATTTTTATTCCGTGTATATAATATTACTGTTTAGTAAATTTATAAGTGAATTTTGGAAGTAGTTGAGTGTATGACTTGGGCTACATGTGGCGGACCTGGTGTATGCAGGTACTGTATGAGCCGATGCCTGTGATCTACCTGTATGCTGTCAACACCACCAGCGGCAAGGACCCCAACCTGTACGAGTGTCCCATATACAGGAAGCCCAAGCGAACCGACGCCACCTACATCGGTTCTATAGACCTGGAGACTACCGACTACCTCCCTTCCCACTGGACGCTGCGAGGGGTGGCTCTGCTCTGTGACATCAAGTAAACCCTCTGAAGAATAATGTAATGTAATGCAGCAGTGTCCGTCCTCTCGCACTTGCCTCGCCACAGTCGGTCAGTCAACACGCACCGCACCCGCTGCCTCGCCACAGTCGGTCAGTCAACACGCACCGCACCCGCTGCCTCGCCACAGTCGGTCAGTCAACATGCACCGCAGCCGCTGCCTCGCCACAGTCGGTCAGCCAACACCCACCGCAGCTGTTGCCTCTTAATATTTGACTGTTGTCTTTACATGTGCTGGCGTCAAGCTGTGGTCATGCACAAGCTCTCTAAAGCCACACAACTCACCACAACAAGTGAACATCGTGTTTACTAATTTGCTTCGTGTGCAAGGTTAAATTTGCGAATATTTTGTTGACCACTACTTTCCCTAGGCCTATTTAATAGGCCGATACTAAAGGTTCAAAATTACAAGCATTAGTTTTACTTTTCATTATAGACCCCATTAATTTTAACACTAATTAGAACTCTAATTATCAAAAAAAATTATGTAAAGGGGAAGGGAAATGCTTGTTTTCTCTGGTAATATAGTGACAAACATTCTTGGGCTTAAAGAAACAGTGGATATTTTTAGTGTCTAATTAGTGCTAAAATGAATGGGAGTCAGTAATAAAAAGTAGCCATTTGCCCGAAAGGCTATGCATATTTGTGGCTTTAGGTATTGTATGTACTAGCTCTATATATAAATCCAACATTATGTTTGTAATTCTTCATCAATGTATGTACTTTTATCTAAATAAAAATTTGAATTTGTTAAATTTGAATTTGTAAAGCTAATTACTTGTTAATGGTGGTAAAGCAACAGTTGGTGGACGCAGTTCTCATTGTAAGGATCCCCCCCCCCCCCCCGAGGCCTGGGTGCTGGCGGGTCAACCCAACACTACTTCAGCCAACGGAGAACTAGCTAAACTAATCTCCCTGCAAATCAGCGCCCCCTGACGTTAATATATTAAATTCCTCTTACGGTGGCTGCGCTATCAGGCACCTTCATGATCATGTCTCTTTTATATTATGATCACTAATGATTCTACTCCGTTCATTATTCCACCAATTTACTTTGTGAGAGACTGGTATAGACAGCTCGTGTTCCTCGGTGTTGAGCTGCTGTTCTTATTGCACCTCTTAAAATGGTCATTACCACCAGTAATTAATTGTCCCAAACAATGAGTGCAACATTTCGTGCACTATTCACAAGTGACAGGGATTACATAAAATGTTAATTTTCGCGCAGTTGGTTCATTAACAAACTGTTTAATTAATCGCTTTCTTCGGTTCTTTTCATTATATTTGATTACGGTGCAGTGGCGGCGTGGGGACCTGCGCACATCTTTGACCCAAGTTCGAGTCAGTCGCGCATTGTTCTTAAACCAATATACTGTAGTAACTGTGATAAGTGATGAGAATTCTTCTCAGCATAGTAGTCTGTATAGAAAGTTATAAGCACAATAGACTTCATGTTACGAAAAACATAATCACCGGTCATTACATACTAAGAAGAAGCTTATAATTAGTTGCTGCTAATAACCTCAGTGTGCTATATTAATATGCTCTCGCGAACACTGATTATGTCATTTATGTGAAGAGTAACACGTGTTATATTTCCTGATATATGAGGCTTAACTATTTCTTGAACAATATATTGAACATATTCAAAACGTTAACTCTGCAATGTTTGCTTCATACAATGACATCTAAAGCTTTATGCAATGGAACTTTCCAAGCTTCTAGAGAGTCTTGGTTTCTTTCATGTCATAGGCAACTCGATACCATTGTTTACGTATCCATGTATCCTGCTGAGTAGTTGGAATAATGTATTATACAGTACAACCTGTATGAATGAAACGCAGACATTGTACAACCTGTATGAATGAAACGCAGGCATTGTACTGTACAACTAGTATGACGCGTGGATATTGTATTGTACAACCTGTATGACATGTATATATTGAACTGTCCAACCTGTGTGTTGAACTGTTCATCCTATATGACAAGTGTATATTGTACTGTTCAACCTGTATGTTGAACTGTCCACCCTGTATGTTGAACTGTCCAACCTGTATGTTGAACTGTCCACCCTGTATGTTGAACTGTCCAACCTGTATGTTGAACTGTCCACCCTGTATGTTGAACTGTCCACCCTGTATGTTGAACTGTCCAACCTGTATGTTGAACTGTCCAACCTGTATGACAAGTATAAATTGAACTGTACAACCTGTATGTTGAACTGTCCAACCTGTATGACAAGTATAAATTGAACTGTACAACCTGTATGTTGAACTGTCCAACCTGTATGAAAAGAATATATATATTGAGCTGTTTAACCTGTATGTTAAACTATTCAACCTATATGACAAGCATATATTGAACTGTTCAACCTGTATGACACGTGTATATTGTACTGTACAACTTGTATGAGTGACACTGATTAAACAATGTGCTGTACATATTTATTGTATTACAAAATGATTGTTTATGTAATATCAGTTTATTCATTAGTTATCATAATTGTCGTCTGTATCATGTCAGTGAAAACATCGTCTAAGTACATTTTACATTACAGTCAAAAGGTAAAGTATGTGTCGTATTGCTGCAGTATTCTTCATTAATTCATTGACACTTTAGATATTAATAGCCAGTATTTCCTTTCCCGTAAAGCTTGCTTCGTATTAGACAACTACCAACATGACACCCATCTATTGAGGTGTATTATAATTGTTAAATATAATGAGAAGAGTAAAGATATATGTTTTTAAAATGTAGTTTCCATTTACAATATTTACTACAATATCCTTGTTAGATGGTTTCCTGCAGTGCCACTGAGCACACCTGTGTGTGGGGTGGTGACTACTGAGATGTATGGTACAGTCATGTGTGTGGGTGGTGACAACTGAGATGTATGGTACAGTCATGTGTGTGGGTGGTGACTACTGAGATGTATGGTACAGTCATGTGTGTGGGTGGTGACTACTGAGATGTATTGTACAGTCATGTGTGGGGTGGTAACTACTGAGATGTATTGTACAGTCATGTGTGTGCGTGGTGACTACTGAGATGTATGGTACAGTCATATGTGTCCGTGGTGATTACTGGGATGTATGGTACAGTCATGTATGTGGTTGGTGACTACTGAGAGGTATGGTACAGTCATGTATGTGGGTGGTGACTACTGAGATGTATGGTACAGTCATGTGTGTGTGTCTCTCTCTCTCTCTCTCTCTCTCTCTCTCTCTCTCTCTCTCTCTCTCTCTCTCTCTCTCTCTCTCTCTCTCTCTCTCTCTCTCTCTCTCTCTCTCTCTCTCTCTCTCTCTCTCTCTCTCTCTCTCTCTCTCTCTCACTCTCTCTCCCACTCTCTCTCTCTCTCTCTCTCTCTCTCTCTCTCTCTCTCTCTCTCTCTCTCTCTCTCTCTCTCTCTCTCTCTCTCTCTCTCTCTCTCGTCACCAGGACAAGAGCAAAAATCCATGGTGAACATACAAGAATTATTACATAAAAACAGAAAAATATATATATTGATAATATTACATTTCAGTAGCTATGGCTGCTACAAACCGATAACACTCCAATATCATATCGTCTTCATCATATAACCTGTATTAAGCTGTCGCTCAATTATGGCCCACAACCTACTGCCTCCCCAGTGTTTGTGGTTGAACATCTGGCCCATAAAAATATCTCAAACAACTTGGGGTTTAATACCTGGCACGTAAAAATATCTCCAACAAAACAGGAAACCAATTTGTTTTGGTCAGTTGGTCAATCGATGACCAATAACACTATCTACGGCGCCGATGTCACTGTCACCGTGATGTCACTACGGTGCCTTAGGGGCCACGTGTTAGTTTTTTAAACTTTGTTCAATGTCAACAAACCTTTTTTGACAAGTTATATACGAAAAGGGCTGCAATTGTCCCAAGTTTCAGTACTGCAGCCTAAATAGAAAGGGACATTTATTTTTGTTTTCAACGAATATTTCACTTTTTCAGTAAGTTTCTACAACCACAAGTTTCAATTATAATGATTATATGACACTTTTTTGACACATAAGTATATAATGAAGGATCTGATGCCGCGGATTTTCCAAAATATGTTTAGTTTTACTAATACAAATAGTCAAAGTTCCCCCAAAAAATTATGCAAATATATCATGTTTATTGCTATTATAAAACCAATAAATGAACTTAGGGTAAAACGCTAGCATAAGATTTTAGAGACATAAACTCTACATATAAGATGTAAGTTTCATGTAAATTGAATAAAAATTAAAAAGTTGGGACTCAGTTTATGTTACTTGAAAAATAAATCATTAAAAATTAAAATCTGCGCTGCTGCCATCTGTGGCTGAGGTTGACATCAACCAATTTCCTCCAAAATTATCTCCCTTACAGATAGGCTTACGTGCAGTCAGGTGTGTAAGTTTCATGCAAATCGACCGATAAACAAATAAAAGAAATCAAATTGAAAAAACAAATATATATATATATATATATATATATATATATTGTGTGGTGTGAGAAACCACAAGGTCTCCTCTGAATACTTTTTATTTTCTTCTCCGAGGCTATGGGTCCCCACATTGGCACCAGAGGTGGTACCCTCTGCTCTTCCTGCTCTTCCCTACATAATTACGCCAAAATACAAGATACTATATACAAGATACGTTCACCAAGTATCGCCAAACGTTTTGCCCAGAGAGCAAAACGTACCCAGCACACCTGGCCACCGCCGTAACCAGCTAACTGCTCATCCTCTGCCTGCCTGTTGCTGATTGGCTGGTGTCTCGTCGCACCTGCCCTCTGCCACCACCACAAGTCGACGTCTGGGCTGCAGTGCGCCAGTCTCGTCAGAATATCTCAGTGCTCCATGCAGTTGACATCTCTTGCTGGTAGACTAAGCCTTGGCTTTCGTGTACTAAGGGAGGTGGCAGCTCGAAGCCAGTATTCCAGCACTCATATTTTATTTTGCTATCACTGTAACTTACTTGTCTTAGCGTAACTTTTCATTTGCCAGTGATTATTCATGTTATTTTCTTTGTTGACTTGTCCTGCATATTTTTATGAGATTACCTTTATTCATGTCTTGTTTTCTAGAGTAATTAAAATTTCATTGTTTATATACTTGTGTTTTGTGTGTCTTCCCATTACCTTACCACAGACGAAAGGACCAACTTTTCTCTCTTTTTTTATGTCATGTGACGAGGCCCTGCCCCTAGCTTTTGAACAGCCGAACACCAACGCTTTACCGTCACATATATATATATATATATATATATATATATATATATATATATATATATATATATATATATATATATATATATATATATATATATATATATATATATATATATATATATATATATTGCGCACGCAAAAGTGTTTGTCACTAATCAGTACTGGTGTGTTCATGTGACTTTAATGCTGGAAGACATGTTGACTCTCTCAAGGATAGCAGGAAGCTTCTGTTCTTCCCTCATGTTAATGATTTTAGTGGATCTTCGAACACTAAGATTAACCCTCGAAGCTTAAATTTATATTACTCGTAATTTATTTACAATAAAAGAATAGAACTTAATTTGATAAAAGGAATAGTTATACACCAGAGATATTATAAAATACCCAAAAATTACTATCAATTACAGATAAAAGATGCTCCAAAAATCATAACAGTATGGCACACTCTCTTGTCATTCAGCAGTTTATCAAAGATGGACGAGACACTAGCAGCTTCATTAATAAGGGCTCCTAATAATTTTTTCAGAAAAAACAACATAGTTCGCTTTCCTCCTCGAACAAAAAATCCACAAAATACACACAAAAAAGTGTGCAATATAATGGGTACAATTACAGTTATTACAGCGGGGACACAGTTGCCCCCAGAAACTCCACCACAGCATGAACTTTACAAAAACAAACACCCAAATTCTGTACAGCTCTGTACGACTGCAGTGATACTCAGGAAATTACTATTAGAACAGAAACTTTAGCACTTTCGCGCTCACGGCGTTCAAAAAAAAATCATACCCTATCTGCTTTAGGCGGTTCGCGCGCCTACACGGTAAGACCGAAAAAGTGTACACTCTTTTGACTGTCCTGACAATAATTGAAGGCGCACGTATTTAAATTTGGTATCACTGTGTTCGCAATAAAATTGTCTATAAGAACATACCTATAAAATGCCGCCAAAGCATAAGGACTATTAACACCAAATAAAAAACTATTCAGATCACTCACCGAGAGCGCCAAACAGCAACAAAATGTTTCCACTCTCTTAATGGTTGCGAAGCCTACAGTTCTCCTACATCGCTAATTGTGGTATCATTGGAATCGCAATAAAATTCTCTACACGGACATATGCATATAAATATAGATTCAATGTCATAGCCCACCCAAAACAGTGTGGGAAGTGGCCGAAGTGTTACTTGCGGCGGCATATCGGCGAAACTCGCTTTGAAAAGTGTATATTCAATTCACTGTCCTGACATTATTTGTCGATGTATGTATTTCATTTTTGTACCAATGTGCTCGCAATAGAATGTTCTATAAGAACATAAGTATTAAAGGTCACATAAGGATGCGTTCGACCGGCAACATATATAAAAACTACGTCGATTATACTCGTCGTGTCAATAATACAATTGTTTTACCACGATGATTCACTGCCACGCGGTTCTCTTTAAAAAGCTGTTCGGCTATTAGAGAAAACGTAAATTTCATGGCAAACATTTGTAAACTATTCCCAAGTTGATCGGATAATAAATGGATTTTATACAAATATTTTTTCTCGTGACTCCCGAGAGGGGCACGCGTGCGGTGTGATTAATAATATTGGTGACAACGGCGGTCTGCTGGGATGCGCCAAAGTGATAACTGGTCAGTTGCTGTTTGCAACACATTCCGACGATACGTACCTAAATCTGCGGCGAAATTATTTAACCAAAAATTGGCCATAATGCTTGAACCTGATCATCTTGGGTTCTGGGCTCTGAAGCCGTAGCGCAAGCAGGCCGAGCATGTTTTATCAATTTCACAGACAGGAAGTAATTAGTTAAATTCAGTTAAAAAAATTCCTCCCAATTCCTATTTATCCCTTCGTCCACTCATGCTTCAGTGGCATCTCAACCCTCTATAATAATAATAATAATAATAATAATAATAATAATAATAATAATAATAATAATAATGATTTATTCACGACAAGGTACAATGGTTCGTGAGATTACATAAGCTTGCTATGTTTACATTCATACAAAGCCACTAACACGCAATGCGTTTCGGAACGGTTCTTACTCTAACATATCAGGTAAGATGAAAGAGTACATTGTAGCAAGGTTTTTATATCAACAAATAACTACAACATAAGTTGTCAGAGGTGGTTACACTGGTAAGGATATATGTCTTAAGTACTAATATTGAGGAAGTGGGTAGTTCAAGATACAGTGTGAGGTTGAAGCACAGGGTAGGAAACTATGAGGATGAAATTAGGTACTTTATGGTTTTACTTTTGAACATTGCATAGGCTGGATAATTCTTTAATTCACCGGGGAGTTAGTTCCAAAGACTGAGCCTTTTTATTTGCATGGAGTGTTTGTACAGATTAAGTCTGACTCTTGGGATATCAAAGATATGTTTATTTCTGGTGTGGAGCTCATGGGTTCTGTTACACAATAGCTATTAAGGAAAAGTTTCAGATCATTTTAGCATTTAGGAACAGAATTTTGTACATTTAGATAGCACATGAGAATGTGTTGTGTACGTTTAG